TTGGAGTTAGGCTGCATGACCCAAATCAACCTCTCTAAATATGCATGTCCTCATCTATTTTTTTAAAATGGAGATAATATATTTGCAAAACTTATTATAATGGATGTGGGGCCATTTCCAGTCATCCTGATCTATATCTGGCCACTGGACCCAGATGGCTCAGGAGGAGAAAGTGAGGCTGGTGACTTTGCACAGCCCTCCCTCACATAAATCCAATTCACTTGAAAGTCATGGCATCACCTTCCTGATGTCATAGTCCTCTTCAGAGAACAATTTAAGTGTAATACAATGTTAAAATAATTATCTCAAGTCCTTTGAGTAGGGAGAGGAATTAGGCATGTTAACACCTGAGACTAAAGCCAAATTATACTCTAGTGGCTTCTTAGTTTCCCAAAAAGCTGAGTACTCGCCAATGAGACCTAAATCCCAGGGCTATACCCATTTTTACCCATTATTGTTGCTGTTGTTATTTGTTCTTTGCTACTGTTAATATCTTTGGGTTCCACTTCTTACCACCCATTTCCTTCTTTCCTTCCCCTCCTCCATGTCTCCATATACCTTAGAAAACCCCAAAATAGTTTCTCTTGCTTATTTTGAATAATGAAAGCAAATACACAAATTCTGGAATAATAGGGTAAGGTAAGCAAGTATGCATATAAAAGAAATCTATTTAGTCCAACCAGAAGATTTTCAACTTCCTAAATTAACTCACACAAAACCAAAACAAAACAAAAACCCATTCCCCAGGCCTAACCTAACCATTCTGATCCTCCCTTGGCCCAGAGTGCAACCCTGAGTGAGTCATTTAATCGCTGTCTTTCTCAGTTTCCTCACCTGTAATAAATGGGGATAATAACAGCACCTGCCTCCCAGGGTTGTTAGGAGGATTAAATGAGATATTTGTAAGGTGTTTTGCCAACCTTAAAGCACTGTATAAATGCTAGTTATTATTGTTCTTATTAATTATTATTATCATTGTCACCGCTAATTCCCTTCATGGGACCAAAAGTATTCTCTTCAGAGTACATACCCATCAAAATCTACCTAGACTCTCTGAGCCAAACTATTGATCATTTTTTTGCATTCTACATCTACTTTTAGCCAATCAGTAATTCACTGACCTGATATTCTGGCAGGTATGAGGTGCTAGAATTCCATAATCCTTTCACTAACAGAGAATACATCTATCTTCACTTCTGGACAAGGAGCAAAAACAAGAAATACAAGCAAAATTCTCCAACCCTTCAAAATCAGAACAGTTCAGTTCAATATGCAAGTCATGCCTAAAGTTCATAACACTTAATCCCATTCCTTTCATCTAATTTCATGGAGTCATTGTGAGAATAAATATTAAAGACTTATATAAATGTGTTGTTATCAGTCATGTTGTAGCTGAGACCTATGTTTGGGTCATTTGCTTAGTTTTGTAATCATGGGCAGATTATTTAATATCTCAGAGCCTGAGTTTCCTCATCTGAAAAATGGGAATTAATAATACCTCTAACTACTATATTATAGGGCTGTTAAGAAGAAAGCACTTTGCAAACCTCAAAATGCTATATAGTATGAGATATTAAATTGTATCATTATAGAATAGAATATTATGCTATATTATACTACACTGTGTATGTACTATACTATGTTGTGGTATGCTATACTACATTATATTATAATTTTGCTCTGCTTCATTGTGCATTCGTTCATGTAGGTATTTCTATACTTGTCCTGTTCGTCATTTCTTGTAGCTCAGTAGTATTCCATTACATTCATGTACTGTGTGCTACAATTTGCTTAGCCGTTCCCCAATCAATAGGCTTCTGCTTTGTTTCCAACTTTGCAATCACAAAAAGTGAAGCCCCTTGTAAGTAAGGTGAATTTTAGTGTGTGCAAGAAGGATTTTGTTATTCCTTTTTAGATAACAGTTCCAGAATTCATGGCCAAAATAGATAATAATTCCCACAAATTATTGTTGAAAACATCTCCACCAGGCTTGCGCAGTGAGATGTAGGGATGACAAGAGGTAGGCCTGCACTGTTTTAGGTCATGATGATAGTGTTAAAGTTAACCTATGAGCTTAATGTCGGTAAGATGCCATTTTTGTCTGTTGCCCTACAAAGCAAGTGGGCACTGGTCAGTGAGTGGAGACCCCCTTAGGGATGAATGCATAAGCTGGAATGCTCTGTGTGCTTTGATTGGCCTCTATCAAGGCTTGGGAGGGGGAATCTGTGTGTTTGCCTCAACTGGCCCCCATTAAGGCTTAGGGGATGAGGAGTTATACTTCTATTCTTACCTACCCCTGTGAGAAGTGTGATTAGGAATGCTGTAGGAGCTGGTGCTCCCATTATCAGCAACACCCTATGAGAAGACTAGACTAAAATAAAGAAAGCTTATTAACCCCTCTGAACCTGTCTTCCTGTCGACCAGACCAAAAGTGAACCTATGTTAGAACACCTGCTAGTGTTAGGAGCCCTTCTGGGTTCTCCTGTCCAACAAATGGCGTTACCTGTGTGTTTACCTGTGAAACACCCCTACTGATTAAAAAAATTTAATATTATCTAAGTGCAGATACGGGAGTGCATTTGCAGACCAGTAGTTTGCCTTGGAGACAATTCTATTCAACTAGACCAGGAAATCATCTTTATATGCCGCATATGTTTGTAAATGTTTGCTAAATGAATGGACACCTCCTTTGCCTCTTGCTCTTCTCTCCACTCTCACCCTAACACTTCTCCTGGATTTCCTAGGGGAGTTCTGAGCCCTCCAAAGCTTGGAGGGAAGACAGGCAGTGTGCATTCTTCTATTAAAATTAGCTTAACATTTCTCCAAAGAACATCAGTATCTAGTGTGAAAATGCTTCTCAGAGCTTCCCCCTAGCCAGACTCCCTCTGAAAAGTTCTTTAGAAGGACATTACTGATAATAAGATTGCACTGAGTCTTATCTTGGTCAAACTCCCACCCAGGCCTGAATTGATTTAATCTGCTCAGGTTTGGGTGGAGGTAGTTTCTTCTGCCTAGACAGCCCAAGACTAGGGGTGCTTTTTCCTGTTCTGGATGGCAGGATGGTATCAGCCACTGTTGATTAAGATTAAGTGACCTAAATCATGTACTCAAGACCTCATTTTAATATAGCCCACCTTGCTATGTGTTGACCCATCAGAGTTGATTGGCACCCCTTGGGAATACCTACTCTTTGAAGGGCACATAACCCTGTACCCCCAAATCCCAAATGGAGCCAGTTCTGGACTGGTCCCCTTAGGAGGGCCTAGTTCTGGACTGTAATTCCATGCAATGCATGTCAATCCAGACTGAGAGAAATTGAAACATGGACACATGCACCCTAATTTCATTTGTCTTTCTTAGAACAGACTCTGGGGTTCGACACTAGGAACCAGTCCTCTAGGTTCTAAATAGGGAGCAGGGCCACACTCATGAGATGTTTTGATGTAAATATGTGATGAATGAATGAATGAGTAGAACTGTTTTTAAAAGTTTGGGGTGAGGAAGAAGTCTAGTTAAAATAGAGGAGGAATTGTGAAGTTGAGGAGTAATGTACTGTAAGTGATTTGCCCAGGGTCACACAGCTAGCGAGTATTATGTGTCTTGGCTGAATTTAAACTCAGGTCCTCCTGACTTCAGGGCCCATGCTTTATCCACTGCACCACCTAGGAGTCCTTCTTAATGACCTTCCCCACCCCTGCCTTTCCAGTCTTCTTACATCTTACATGCTTTGGCTTACTCTAAATAACACTTGCTTCCTTGCTGTTCCTGTTTTTAGAGCAAGACATTCCATCTGACCCCATTCATTTTTGCTAGCTGTTCCCCCATGCCTGGAATTCTCTCCCTCCTTGTCTCCGTATCTCCTGGCTTCTTCCAAATCTGAGCTAAAAACCTATCTTCTGCACAGTGCCTTTCCAGCTTGTAGACTTTATTTGCCTCAAAGGAAAAGAATACCTGTGGGTGAGAAATCAGGACTCAAATAAGAACCCCAAAGTGATGATGCTTCAGAGTTCTGGGAATTGAAGGGTATCTAATGGAGGAGAATAATATGCCTGAAGGTCAGAAAATCTAAGTTCTGGATGGAAAGAGGGAGAAAACAGAGAAAGGAGAAAAGAAAAGTAGCCTTGTGATCTACTCTTTAGGGGGAGAAAGGAAGATATACTTTTTAAATGACTCATGCTTGGAAGCAGGAAAAAGGAGACAACATAGGACCTTCAAATACTTCCCAGAGTTCCATTTGACTGAGCATATCTCATTTATTTACATTCCATTTCCTGGACAGAATCCATAAAGTGATGTTTTGTTTGGTTTGGTTTTTCTGGACTTCTCTATCGTTTCCTATTTATTATGATTGATAATATCAGCTAAGGCGGCTAGGTGGAGCAGTGGATAGAGCACTGTACTTGGAATCAGGAAGGCTCATCTTCATGACTTCAAATCTAGCCTCAGACATTTACTAGCTGTGTGACACTGGGCAAGTCATTTAACCCTATCTGCCTCAGTTCCTCATCTGTAAAAATGAGCTGGAGAAGGAAATGGCAAACCATTCCAGTATCTTTGCTAAGAAAACCCCCAAATGGGATTACGAAGAGTCAGACGACTGAGGCAAATACAATTAGGTGACTTATCTAGGGTCACACAGCTAATGTTGGAGGCTGGATTTGAACTCATTCAAGCCCACCACAGTGGGCTAACTTCCCCACTATGCCACCTAGTGGCCCCAAATATCAGCTATAATTGAATACCAAAAGCCTAAAAGCTTCCTTTGTTTTTGCCTGAGGAGGGATCTTTTGGCTTCATTTAAATCTCATCAGTCACACCCACTAAAAGAAGCTCTAAGACAGAAACATCCTCTTTGAGGGTAAGTAATTGATTTGGAAGTTCACTCAGCCCCTTAACTAATCTATTTTTGGCATCCCTTCCCCGCCTCCACCTCTGAGTCATTAAGAGACTTCCCTTCCTGGCTATTTGGTCTATAGAACAGTTCTCTTCCTCTATTGCAGTGTCCACTGGTCTTTGTATCAGCTGCTATCCTGGGACTTGGATGAAGACTGGAGACATATGACTCCCATAGACCTTACAGCCATGGATTCTGCTGCACTTGTCCTGCTAATGGGTAAGGAACCCTTAACTTTGTGGGTAACTTGATACAGGCTTAGCTTAAAGGGAGGGAGGGTCGAGAAGAGTCAATTACCAACTCTGAGAGTAAGATTCTGGAGATCTGGTTCCTACATTGCATAAAGTATGAATTGCGGTCATTGATGCTCAGATTTGGGGCTGTTTGAGAAAGCACAGGGAGAAATGTTGCCTGTGTGGACACATTTCAGAGAAGCCTAAAGTAAACAGAATTGAGCTGCCTTGATTCAAAGTTCTCATTTCTAGAATCAAACTTTTCTTTGAAGTGTCCTATTATGATCCTGTAGTGTTACCCTTTTGTCTTATACTTTGTTGGAAAGAATTAAAAGTAGGTGAGGGGAATAAGTAAGATCAATGAAAAGAAGAATTAAAGTGTCAAATCAGCCAGACACCAATGTAATAACTTATTCTCTGGGAAAATGGATGGGCTATAATGAAAGACTGGGACACATAGAAAGCAGTGAGAAGGGATGAAGGGACATTTGAGAATGGGAGAGCACCTCAGGAAATTAGAACTAAAAGGAAGAGAGAAGACCCAAGCTATCTTGCTTCTTGAGTCCCTTCTTCTTTACTTGTTCCTTCCCCTCCACCCAAAATTATACACATTTCCCTTCATTCCCCCCCAAAAATAAAACAAGAAAAAGAGCCACCTTCACTCCAATCTATTGCCCCTTCCATGTCATCATCTCACGTAGGCTTTTTACCCTCCATAGCCAAACTCCTTGTCTACATTCACTAACTATACTTCACCCACTCCACTCTAACTTTTTAAAAATTTTACTTCCTTCACACTACTGGATTACATCAACTTTCCTGCAGTTCTCACTTCCTCCTCTGTCCCATCGCTTTCTTTTTCATCTGCTTTCCTCCCAATTATTGGATTGAATCAGTTTTCTTGGTCTTCAGTAACCTAATCATCAGTGGCATCAATAGTGGTTCTCAGTTCTCATTCTCCACCCCTGGGCAGCATTTGACATAATCAGTTGACCAGCCTCTCCTCCTAGATGCTGTCTCTTTCTTGGCTTCAGAGACACTGAATTCTCTATGGTTCTCTCCAGCTCTTTTCCAACAATGGATTTGGTTTGAAAAATTTTAAAGAATTAATAATGCTTACAGTACCTACCTCACAGGGCTGTTCTGAGTTTTAAAATAGATGATGTCAATACACTTTGTAAAGGCTATAGAAAAGTGTTCAATTCATTTCCTGAGACAGTTTCCACATATACTTCTAGTCAATTTATTTTTCTTAGAGACTGAGGAAGAGGAAATAAAATGTGATATTTTGTGACATAACATAGCTAATATTTATATAGCTTTAAGATTTACAAAACTCCTTGCAAATATTTTCTATTCTATTTTGATCCTGATAACAATCCCATGAGGGAGATACTATTATTATCCTCCTTTTACAAGTGAAAAAAAACTGAGGCTAACTAGTTAAGTGACTTACCCTCATTCACATAGCTAGTGTGAGATACAGGATTTGAATTTGGGTCTTTCTGACCTCACTGGGGCAGCTGAGTGGCACAGCAGATAGAATACCATGCCTGGAGTCAGGAAGACCCATCTTCATGAGTTCAAATCTGGCCTCAGATACTTACTAGCTATGTGACCCTGGGTAAGTCACTTAACCATGTCCGCTTCAGATTCTTCATCTGTAAAATGAGATGCAGAAGGAAATGGCAAACCACTCCAGTATCTCTGCCAAGAAAACCTCAGATGGGGTTATGAAGAGTTGGGCATGACTGAAAAACAATGGAACAGCAACTTCCTGACTCCAGGTCCTGCTCATGATCTACTGTTCTACCCGCTTGCTATAATTAGGTGACTTATGGATGATTATCCCCTGATGAAATAAAAACCAGACTCTGACTATACCTTTCAGGTCCCCTTTGTTGGTTCACTAATTATGGGAACTCCCCAAGGCTCTGTACTTTGCTCTCTCTGTCTGTCTCTCTCTCCTCTCCATCTCTGTCTCTTTCTATGTGTCTCTCTGTCTCTCTCTTCTCATTCTTCTTCTTTTTTTTTTTTTGCTTTTAGGCGATTGGGGTTAAGTGACTTTCCCAGGGTCACACAGCTAATAAGTATCAAGTGTTTAGTCTGAGGCCGAATTTGAACTCAGGTCCTCCTGACTTCAGGGCCAGTGCTCTATCCACTACGCCACCTAGCTGCCCCCTCTCTTCTCATTCTTGGCAATCTCTTTCACATCTACGATTTAAATGGTCACTCATGTGAATGATGTATCTCTAGCTCCAGTCTCTTCTGAACTTCAAATCTGCATTTCCAACTGCATCTTTATCTGGTTGTCCCCACAATACCTTATTGCCTTTCCCCAAACCTATTCCTCTCAACCACTTTGTTTTTGTTAGTAGCAATACCACTTCCTCAGTCACCTTGTCTCAAAATCAAAAACGTATCTTTGATTCTTCCTCTCAACTACATAAAATTAGTTGCCAAATCCTATTGATTCTACCTTTGAAATGTCTGTCCTCCCTTTTCCTCCTTTTCCTCTTTTCTACTCCCACTGTAGTGGGAATGTAGTTCAAGTGTAGTTCAAGGTCTTACCTCTTACCTGGACTATTACTATAGCCTGCTAACCATTCTCCCTGACCCCTTTCTAATTAATCCAACAGACTGATGCCAGCCTTGTGTTCCTAATAACACTAGTATTTCCACCCTGCTCAAAAACTTTCAGTAGCTCCCTATCACCTACCGAATAAAATCCATACACCCTAGTCTAACATTCAAGGCTTTCCATAATGTGATTCCAACTTAAAGTGAATATGGCACTTTTATATATAAATAGCTTTATTTCAGAGGCAGCTAGAGGCATAGTGGATAGTGCACTTGACTTTGCAGTCAGAAGATGTGAGAATGTGAAGGAAGGCAAGGTAGTGCCTGCTCTCAAGAAGCTCAGCCTAAATGGGGAGAAAGGATGCAAACAACTCTGTACTAAGCTATACACAGGATAAATTCCAGGCCATCATGCAGCTCTGCCTCACTTAAATCCAATTTATGCACAAGTCAAGACATCACCCTTGTGATGTCATTGGTCCTTTTTGGGAACAAAGGACGAACAACAAAAACAGGATAAATTGGAAATAATCAACAAGGGGAAGACGGTATTAGAGGGTATTAGAAAGTCTTCCTGTAGTGGGTGGGGTTCTAGCTTGAACTTGAAGGAAGCCAGTAGGGAGAGAGGAGGAGGAAGAGGATCCAGGTATGGAGGACAGCCAATGAAAATGCCCCCTGAGCATGGAATATAATATTCCAGAGGGCAAAGGAGATAGGATTACAGCCAAGAATCACCTACCCAGCAAAACTGAGTATAATCCTTCAAGGGAAAAAAATGGTCATTCAGTGAAATAGAGGATTTTCAAGCATTCTTGATGAAAAGACCAGAGCTGAACAGAAAATTTGACTTTCAAATACAAGACTCAAGTGAAACATGAAGAGGTAAACAGGAAAGAGAAATCATAAGAGACTTATTAAGGTTGAACTGTTTACATTCCTACATGGAAAGATGATATTTATAACTCATGAGACCTTTGTCAGTATTAGGGTATGTAGATAGATAGATAGATAGATAGATAGATAGATACATAGATAGATACATAGATAGATAGAGGGATTTAGGGGTTATATCTGGAGAATAAAATTAAGGGATGAGAGAGGATTGTACTAGGAGAAGAAGAAAGGGAGAGGTAGAACGGAGTAAATTATCCCCACAAAAAAACAGAAAAGAAAAGGCTCTTACAGTGGAGGGGAAACGGGAGAAGATGAGAGGGAATGACTGAATCCTATTCTCACAGGATTTGGCTTAAGGAGGGAATAACATACACATTTAATTGGGTAAGGAAATCTGTCTTACCCTAGAGGAAAATAGGGGGAGAAGGGGACAAGAGAGCAGGGGCACGATAGAAAGGAGGGCAGATTGGGAAAGGGGGTAATCAGAAGCAAATACTTCTGAGGAGGGACAGGGTCAAAAGAAAGAATAAAAAGGGGGGCAGGATAGGCTTAAGGGAAATAGAGTTAGTTTTTCACAACATGTCTACTAAGGAAGTATTTTGCATAACTGCACATGTATAACCTATGTTGAGCTGCTTGCCTTTTCAATGAGGGTGGGTGGGTAGGGAGGAAGGGAGAAAATTTGGAACCCAAAGTTTTCAAAATGCATGTTTAAAAAAAATGTTTTCACATGCAACTTGGAAATAAGAAATACTGGAAATGGGGTACAGAAGTCTATCCTGCCCTATAGGAAAATAGAAGGGGAAGGGGAGGCAGAGATAGAAGAGAGGGCAGACTAGGGGAAGGGATATTCAGAATGCATGCCATCTTGGGGTGGGGGAAAGGGTGAGATCGGGTAAAAATGTGGAACTCAAAATCTTGTGGAAGTAAATGTTGAAAACTAAAAATAAATAAATTTATATTAAAAATTTTAAAAAAAGAAGAAAAAAAAATGCCCCCTGAGTATCTTGTTTGTGGAACAACAGGAGGCCAGCGTCACTGGGCTTCAGAGTTGGGGGGAGGGGGTGTAAGGTATAAGCAGACTGAAATTTGAGGGGAGGGGTCAGGTTATCAAAAGACTTTGAAAACTATGTAGGATTTTCTATTTCATCCTGTGGGTAATAGGGAGCCAATGGAGTTTATTGAATGGGCAAGGGTGTGTGTGACATGGTTAGACTTGCATTTGAGGAAGACGTCTTCAACAGTTAGGAGGAGGTGTGACTGGAGCGAGCAGAAACTGTGGCCTCCAGGAAACTGCAATAGTCTAGGCATGAAGAGGTAAGAACTTGTACAGGTGAGTGGCAGGGCAGAGGAGAGAAGACAACAAAGAAAAGAGATGTTACAAAGGTAAAATCAATAGGCCTTGGCAATAAATTGGATATGGGATGTGTATATGTGTGTGTGCATGTATATGTGGGTGCATGTTTGAGTGCGTGTGTAAGAAAGAGAGACAGAGAGAGAGAGAAGTAGAAAATGACACCTAGGTTGCAAATCTAAGTGACTGGGAGGTTGATGTATCCTCAACAGTAACAAGGAAGTTAGGAAGAAGGGAGGGTTTTGGGGGAATGATAATGCTGAGATTAAAATGTTTATGGGATATCCAGGTCTAGATGTCTAACAGACAGTTGGAGATTCAAGACTGGAGGACCTTTCAGAAGTTAGGGCTGGTTAAGTGGACTTGATTCATCAGCATAGACAGAGTAAGACTCAGGAAAATAAATTCCTCTCTGGCTGTTCTTTCAACAAGAGACTTCATCTCCCCACTCTGAGCATTTTCACTGGCTGTCCTCATTATCCCCCTTGCCTGCTCTCCTTCCCTATCTCCACCTCCTGGCTTCCTTCAAGGCCCAGCTAAAATCCCAGCTTCTATAGGAAGTCGCTCCCAATCCCCCTTAACTTTAGCACCTTCTGTCTGTTGATTATTTCCAGTCTTTCTGTTTGTAACCACTTGTTTTCATGTTGTCTTTCCCATTAGATGCTAAGCTCTTTGAGAGCAGAGACCTGTCTTCTGGCTTTCTTTGAATCCCCAGCCAGTGTAAGACAGTGCCTGCCACCTGTTTATTGACTCACTGTCTTACCCTCCTCCCTTCAGCTTTGGCCTCTTCTCATGGATTCAACCTGGACACAGACCATCCTACAACTTTCCAGTCAGATGGAGCTGAATTTGGGCACACTGTGGTCCTGTATGAGGGTTCCCGGTAAGGATGTGGCTACAACGTAATCTGGAGGGGCTTAGGGTAACAACTACGTGACCCAGTGGATAGAGTGCTGCACCTGGAATCAGGAAGACTTCAGTTCAAAGCCTGCCTCAGATATTTACTAGATGTGTGACCCTGGGCAAGTCACTTAGCTTTTATTTGCCTCAGTTTCCTCAACTGTAGAATATGAGAAATAACACCTACCTTGTAGGGTTATTCTGAGGACCAAATGAAATAATCATTATAAAGTGCCTGGCACACAGTAGGTGCTGTCTACTTATTCCTCCCTTTCCCCTTCCACGTGCCTTCATCCTCCCCAGTATTCTCTTCTTTCTATTCTCTTATTCTGGGAGGTAGGAAACAGTCACAAGCAGCTTTGTCTCTATATTGGAATTGGCAACATTCTCAAAATGATATTCGGAGTTCCTAGTAATTCTCCCCTCTTAAGTATGCAAACTTTCTTCCTTGATGTACTTCACATCTCTCAGGGTGATGCAGCTTTCTCCTCCAAGTCGTCTACTCTAGCTCATCCTAATAATGAGAGTTCTTCTGTGACTCTCTTCTGCCCCTATGATAAGCACTCAGTTTCCACTTCTCCCCACAGCCTGGTGGTAGGAGCCCCCTTGGAGAGGACATCCCCTAACCAAACAGGGCAACTCTACAACTGTGAATATGGCATTGGGAGTTGTGAGCTCATCCCCATGCAGAGTAAGTAAAGGCTTCTATCCTGGGAGCACATCCTGGATCCTGCTTTCTGCTCCTAACTCTTTACATAGCTATCCTTTTCTCCAGCCTTTGCTCTGTTTCAGAGACTTGATGCCCCTACTGGAATTTCAGCTTTCTGCTTTTCATAACTTAATTCATCAGCCTCCAAGCCCTGCTGCCTCTGCACACTGCCCCTACTCCAACCCCCTTCCCCCCGCCAGGTGTCTTTCTTTTGTCTTTAAATTTTTCTCTTTTATTTTTATTTTATGGAATAAAATTGGCATTTTCATAACATAGTATAATAAAAAAGATGATTTCATAAGAAAGTGCAAATCTATTATGTACAACTTGTCATTCCTTTTAACATAGTTATCATATAAATTTCTTTTCTCCCCCCTTTTTTCTCCTTCCCCCCCATTCCTGCCCTACAGATGGGCATTATACAGAAATATGTACATACAGTTATCCCTTCCACATTGCTGGGGTTAGGGGCATGACTTCCCCTTACTCTGGAAAATCCACATAAATTTTTTTTGACCCTCCCTTTGCAATGGAGAAGAAGTCTGAATTTTTTTCTTTTTCTTTTATGGAGTGCTCACAGTACCTTACTGTAAAATTTGGGCTAAGTATTTGGCCATAGGCTCTGTGTTGTCTGTTGGCCTTCATGTGTTATCTGTGGCTTCCACAAAACTCCCCAAAAATTCCCATTTAATTTCTTGTGCTGACCCATGATATATAAAAACTGTGATGGGGAAGGTCATGATATGTAAGAGATAACTGTACGTGCAAAATCATTCCATACATATTTCTATTTACCAGTTCTTTTCTAGATGCAGATAGTGTCTATCTTCATAGGGCCTTTGTAGTTAATTTGGGTATTTATAATAGTCAAAATGGCTTATTTGTGCATAGTTGTTTTAAAACAATATTGCTATTACAGCATAATCTTGGTTCTGCTTATTGTCTTTCCTTTGACTTCCCAGACTCTGTATATGTCTCAGGAAGACAGGATCACAGATTTAGAGATGGAAAGGACTTTTACTCCAGTCCCCTTCTTTTACAGATGAGAAAACTGAGACTTGGAGGGATTAAATAACTTGTTCAAGGTCACACAGCTGGCAGAATTGGGACTTGAACCTTTGTACTACAAATCTATTATGCTTTCTCCCGTACTATACACTATCTTGACCTAAAGCTGAAGCATGCTCCACCAGAGCTGTGCTAAGTCCAAAGGGGTGACCCCTCTCAGCCCTATGCACCCTATATATGTATAACTATGCATGCCTGTGTCTCTCCAGTCCCTCTAGAGGCAGTGAACATGTCCCTGGGTCTCTCTCTGACGGCTGGTAGAAACCCTTCACAGATTCTGGTGAGTTAGGCTGGGTCACAGGAGGGTAATGGGGTCCTGGAGGGAAAGAAGAGGTTGGGGCTGGGAGACACAATGTCTGCATGTGGAAATAGAGCTCAGGTGGAACCCCTGGGACCTAGCAGACCCTCAAACCCTTTTTTTGGCTACTTAGGCCTGTGGACCTACAGTACATCAAGCCTGCGGGATGAACACTTACATGAAAGGTTTCTGCTTTGTGTTGAGTTCAAATCTGCAGCAACGTCAGAAGTTCCCGCCAGCTCTTCAAGGTAAGTCCCTAGGTGAAGACTGTAAGATTCCTTTGGAAGATATGAGCTGGGATGCTTCTGATGGGGAGGGGCATGGGGAAAATACTCAGATTGTCAATTCATAGAATGAGCATTTATTAAGCTCCTATGTACTCTATGCTCTGTGTTACATGCTGAGGACAAATGACAAATAACAAGGCAGTCCTTACCCTCAAGGGGTTTAGATTCTATTGAGGAGAAACATGTACCGAAAAGTGAATTGTCAATATAGACAAAGTAAATACTGCGCAACTTCTGGGGAGGGGGTAGGTCACTAATGACCAAGTGATCGGGATAGTTAGAGGGAATACCTGAGCTGAGACTTGAAGGAAAACCCGGAGGGGGGCAGCTAGGTGGCGCCGTGGATAGAGCTCTGGACTTGGGGTCAGGAGGACCTGAGTCCAAATCTGACCTCAGACACTTGACACTTAATAGCTGTGTGACCCTGGGCAAGCCACTTAACCCTGACTGACTCAGGAAAAAACAAACAAACAAACAACAAAAAAAAACCCATGGAAGTCATCAAGGCAGAGATGAGAAAGGAGTACATTCCAGGGACAGACTCTACAAAGGCATAGAGAAGAAGGTTGGAATGTCTTGTCTGGGGAGTCAACAGACATTCATTAAGCCATTATTATGTGTCAGATCCTGTGCTAAAGACTGGGGAAACAAAGGCAAAAATGAGCTCACCTTATAATGGGGGAAATAGCCTACGAAGAATGATATACAAAGAAAGATATGTACAGTGTAAATGGAAGGTAATTTCAGAAAGAAGAGAAGGAGAGGGGAGGGAACAAGCATTTATTAAGCACCTACTATGTGACAGGAGCTTTGCAAATATTACAGTTGAAGAAACTGAGGCAAAGAGGTTAAGTGACTTTGCCAGGATCACATAGCTCGTAATTATCTGAGGCTGGATTTGAATTCAGGTCTTCCTGTCTCCAGGCAGAGCATTCTATCCACTATACTACTCTACCTGCCTGGAGGAGAGGGAGGGGACGGAATTGGAAGGTTTGATTTAAGCTGAAGCTGGAACAAGAAGGCCAGTTTGGCTGTAACACAGATTAATGAAGATTATAGTTCTGGATGAATGGGACTCTATGAAGATAGAGAGGAAATACTAGGAGAGTAGGAGTTACTTGCCTGAGGCTTTATTAAATTTCACCAGATTGCTCTGTAATTTGGATGGACTGGGCAGCATCTGATAGGGATGGTGTTATTGTTGTGCAGTCCATGTCTGACTCTTTGAGACTCCATGGACAACAGCATGGCAGGCCCTTCCATCCTCCACTATCTCTCCAAGTCTGCCCAAGTTCACATTCCTTGTTTCCCTAACTCTATCCATTTTATCCTCTGCCATCCCCTTTTCCTTTAGCCTTCCATCTTTCCCATCATCATCTAATGAGTCCCATCTTCTCATTATGTGGTCAAAATTCTTAAGCTTCAGTATTTGATTTTCTGATGAATAACCTGAATTGATTTCTTTAAATATTGACTGATTTGATCTCCTTGGTGAGGTGTGCAGTAGGATTGGAGAATATGTGCGTCTATAGGGATGGGGAGAGAACGAGGCAAACTGTTGCAGTAGCAATGTATTGATCCAGATGGATGGCTGGGAAGTGAACCTCCATCCACCTTTCGTGAACAACAGATCATAGATTTAAACCTTGAAGGGACCTCAGGGACCATCCCATCCATCATTCTATAGGTCATGACACTCATGCTTAATATACATGTCACAGACTGACAAGAATAAGCTACTTTTGGGTTTGACATTTAACTAAGGCAGCCAGACAAAGGTATCCAATCAAGTTTGGAAGAATCAATCAATACAGAGTACCTGACAAGCTTTGGTCCCATCACCACTATCTTGAGCCCCAGCCAGACTACAGAGAATGCACTGCACATTTCATGATTTGTAATATTTTCCACTTAGAGATCATACCTTCCAGTGTCAAAGAGGCTCTTGGTACCCCCAGGGAATATAAGTTCTTTGTGAAAAAGGACTGTTTCCCTTTGTTTTTATACCCTAAGTTCTTACATAGCACAGTGTTTCATATATGGTGGGCCCTTGAAGAAGAAGGAACCCCTCCCACTGTGATGAAGGGGCTTCCTTTGTGCTTTGGAAGGGGTTGAAGGACCCCTGCAGTGAGGAGAGGCAAGGAACAGAGAATGGAGGAGGTTCCTGTGTTTGGATGGGTGGGAAGGGCCCTGAAATTGAAAGGGGAACATATAGGGCCATAGGGTGTTTAGAGATGACCTACCTGTGGTAGGGAGAAGAAACCCCGAAAGAAAAATGAGGGAACTAAAATGGAAAAGTGGGCTAGTTTTGGTGTTAGAGGACCTAGGCTCAAATCATAGCTCTGATACTACCCATGAGATCATGGAATAAGTGATTTTCTCAGGAATTTTTGTCTTATCTATAAAATGTAAAAGTTGAAGTCCCCTTCTACCTACAATCCTGTTTTTTTTTTCTGATAGGGAATTGCAGGGGCCTGGAGAATGAATTGTAGTGCTAGTGTGAATGACGGCAAGTGAGTGTTATTGCTGTTAAGTTGCTTAGTGTATCCTACTCTGTCACCCCATTTTTTTAATGGATTTTCGGCAAAGATACTGGAGTGGTTTGCCATTTCCTTCTCCAGGGTCCCTATTTTGCAGTTGAGGAAATCGAGGTAAACAAAGGTTAAGTGACTTGCCCAGGGTCACATAGCTAGTGTCTGAAGCTGAATTTGAACTCAGGTTTTCCTGACTCCAGATTTAGTACTCTATCCCCTGTGCCACCTAGCTGGGAAGTGGGTAGCCCCAGTGAAATGGACATGATGATAAAGATGACTATAGCAATGACAGCACCTACTTATTTGGCACTTTAAGGGATACAAAATGTTATCTCATTTGATACTTTCTTACCATTCTTCTCTCTTCCAGAGTGCCCCAAACAAGATAATGATATTGCTTTCCTGATTGATGGCTCCGGCAGCATTTCTGGCTCTGACTTCCAGAAAATGAAAAACTTTGTGAAGGCTGTGATGAGCCAGTTTGAAAAGCCTAAAACACAGGTAAGCAGCTGGGACAGACTGCCCGGGTTTGGCTATGTGTAGGAAAGCCCAGACACACGAGCTAGGGAGCATATTAGATAGGCAAGTATTGAGACAGGTAGGAAGACCTTCCTTCTCAGCTTTCCATTCTGTTGTTGCTATCACGTAGGTTATCACTGTTGACTCCATATATCTATGTATACGCACTCACCATCCCTGGTCTTGGGGCTCTCCTTCTACCAACCAGACCACTCCTCAGTCTTTGCTGGATCCTCATTCAGATCATGCCCTCTAAACAGAAATACACCTCTCCTTCTACACTGCTCTGCTTGGGATCTCAGCAGCTCCCAAGGACTTAATTACAATTATCTCCATGCTGATAATTCTCAAATCAACCTATCCTGCCCTAAACTCTCTTCAACCACCAGTTTCACATCTCTAGTCGCCTTTCAGACATCTCAGACTGGACGTCCAGAAGACATCTTAAACTCAATATATCCAAAACCACAAATTAATTATCTATCCTCCTAAATGTTCCCCTCCACCCCCATACCTTTCCTATTACCATTGGGGGCAACACCATCTTCCCAGTCCTTCAGGATTGAAACCTGGGTGTCATCTTCAACTCCTATCTCTCACTGCTCCCCCCCACCTCCACCCCATCCAATCTGCTGCCAAGGCCTATTGATTTCACTTTTGCAACGTCTCTCAAATATACCCAGTTCTCTCTTTTGACACATTGTTATCGCTCTGGTACGGGCCCTTATTACCTTATCCCTGCACTGCGGCAAATAGCCTGCTGGTAACTCCACTTGCCTTAAGTCTCTCTCCACTTCAGTCCATCCCTCTATCTGAATAGATAGCCACCAAAGTGATTTTTCTAAATCCCAGATTCCATTATGTCATTCCCCTACTCAATAAACTTTCAGTGGCTACCTCCAGGATCAAATTCAAAATCCTTTTTGAGGGGTTCAAAGCCCTATATAGCCTAGTCCCCTCCTATCTTTTCAGTCTTCTTACTTCCCATCATGTATTCATATAGAATATGTCCAATGACAAAGGCCTTCTTGCTATTCCATGAACAAGACATTCCATCTCCCAGCTCCAGGAATTCCTCTGGCTATTCACAGAATGCCTAGAACGTTCCCACTCCTCATCTCTGCCTACTGCCTGCTTGGATTCCTTTAAGGCCTAACTAAAATTCCATCTTCTACTGGAAACCTTTCCCAATACCTCTTACTTCTAGTGGCTTTCCTTTTTAAATTATTTTCTACTTATCATATAGTTTGTTGGTATGTATTTGCTTGTTGTCCATTAGATCGTAAGAACAGGGACTGTCTTCTACCTCTTTCTGTATCTCCAGTGTTTAGCTCAGTGCCTGGCATGTAGTAGATATTTAATAAATGTTAATCGACTGACTGACTCAGCTGTATTTCCTTCATCATCCAACTTTCTTGTGGGAGTAGCGAACAGAGGACGATCATTGCTGACTCAAAACACAAACACACACACACAGACACACACACACACACGGCCTCACTATCCTGCTTCCTTATGGGAATTTCAAACAGAGTGATCTCAGGGGCTTTTCCCCCACAGTTTTCCCTGATGCAGTTTGCAACCAGATTCTGGAAACATTTTACCTTTGACACATTCATGAAGAGTCGTGATCCTGGAGAGCTGGTGGATAATATTTTTCAACTGCATGGAGTGACAAAAACTGCCACAGGCATCAGCAAAGTGGTGTAAGTGCCCTTCTTCTGACACTGTTCTAGCATGGGTGCCTTGCTCTCTGCTTAGAGGGTCAAGGGGACATGTTGGAGTGAGAGATGCCCATGTCTTGACAGGAAGGAGTAGCGCTGGGAAGGAGGAGGAGGAGAAACTAAAAAGACCACTTTCCTGAGAGTATTTCTGGCTCCCTTCCTGCACCATAGAATAGGACTGAATCCTTATTCAGGACCAGATCTCTTTCATTTTGTTTAGAGGAGCTGAATGATTCAGCCTCAGATATACAATGTCTAGTATTGGCTCTTTCCTCCCAGTCTTGGTTATGTTTCAGAGTTGAACTATACATGGACTCTCTCTTCCCTCCTTGGAGCAGCTACTTCCTGCCCATTTTTTCCCTGGGGCCAGCTGTATTTTTGGACTTAATGAGTTTCCTTTCCTAGGGTCAGTCTCAATAGGAAGGTACTCCATGAGACCTTGGCCCTCTTTCTTCCCTGGGCAGAAATGAACTCTTTCAGAAATCAAGTGGCGCACGAGAAGATGCCACTAAGATCCTCATTGTCATCACAGATGGCGAAAAATATGAAGACTCCCTGGAATACAGAGATGTCATCCCCATGGCAGATGAAGCAGGAATAATCCGATACGCAATTGGGGTACAGAGGGGCCTCAATCTCCATAATTTCTTTTCTTTCTTTTTTTGGGGGGTGGTGGTGGTGCTAGGCAATGGGGTTAAGTGACTTGCCCAGGGTCACACAGCTAGTAAGTGTCAAGTATTTGGTCTGAGGCCTGATTTGAACTCAGGTCCTCCTGACTCCAGGGCCAGTGCTCTATCCACTGTGCCACCTAGCTCCCCCCCTCCCCAATTTCTTTTCTATCTAGTCATAAATAGCTTCTCTTTCATGGCTTTTTTTCCAAAAAGGAGGCAGCTTCTTCCTCTCTGCATGTGCTCTAGTGGTAATGTCCTGCATCAAGTATAACTTCCCTTTCATCTCTCACCAACCCTCCTGCTCTCAAGATGCAAACCTTGTCCTAACATGGAAGACAATGAGCCTTTTCCCCCCTCAGAACTTCCTGGGGTAAGGACATTCTCCATGTAGCTCTAACCCTCTTTTTCCTGGCTGAAGGTGGGAAAAGCCTTTGATGATCAGAAGTCCAAACAAGAACTAGATGAAATTGCATCAAAACCTTCCAAGGATCATGTATTCCAGGTTGACAACTTTGAAGCACTCAATAATATTCAAAACCAGCTGAAAGAGAAGATCTTTGCCATTGAGGGTAAGTCACAGCCCCAGTTCCTGAGCCCTTAAAATGTTTCACTCCCAAAACCTATCTCCCATGCTATAGCAAACTTGTCTCTAGTCCAAGTTTCCTCCCTAGGCAACTAGGTGACACAGCAAATACAGTGAGGGTTTTGGAGTTAGGAAGACCTGAATTCAAATCCATCCTCAGACATTTACTAGCTGTGTGACCCTGGGCAAGTCACTTAACCTCTGTTTGTCTCGATTTCCTCCTCTGTTAAATGGAGATCATAATAGCTCCTATTTCCCAGGATTGCTGTAAGGATCAAATGAGATATTTGTAAAGTGCCTAGTACAGTTCCTAGAATAGAGTAGGTGCTTAATAAATGCCTGTTTCATTCCTGCCCTTCAAAATATATAAAGATACTGCATTCCTTGTCCTGGCTATTACACTCTGAACACTCCAAAAGTTCATGCCCTTCTCTCTTGACTATCCAAACTCCTTCTTTCAACCAAAAACTAAAGTATCTTTACTCTTCACAGGTACCAAGTCTACAGATACTATCTCCTTCCAATATGAAATGTCTCAGGAGGGTTTCAGTGCTGCATTTACATCTGTGAGTGGATCCCTCATTAGGGCAGGGTGACATAGGGGAGAGGGGAGGGAGAAGGGAAAAGCAGAAGGGAAGATCAAAGCCCAGAAGAAAGCTGTCGAATCAGTGACAGGCACTTCTGTTTGGGATACCCCATTCTCTGAATATCCCTAGCTCTGAAAAGTTTTCTCCCAGGATGGGCCAGTCCTTGGAGCCATGGGGACCTTTGACTGGTCAGGTGGTGCCTTCTTGTACTCCCAAACTGGAAGTGCCATCTTTATCAAGACATCCAATATAGATAAGGACGTGAATGACGCTTACCTGGGTACGTAAGGAGGGGCTGGGAAGGAGAAGGGAGCAAAGGGTATGGGAGTGGGGGGGGTCTCTTGGGTCTGGGAAGAGATTGGTTTGGCGAAGAATGTCAGGAAGCCAGGAGGTGAGAGACATAAGGTAAAGACTGAGATCCATTGGGGCTTTGTCTTTTCAGGTTATTCTACTGAGGCATTCACTTGGAATGGGGCTCAAAGCCTTGTTCTGGGAGCCCCTCGATACCAGCACATTGGGAAGGTCGTGATCTTTGTGAATGGTTATAGAACCTGGGTGCAGAAGGCTGAGGTCAAAGGGACACAGGTGAAAAACTAAGAACCTGGGATTATAAAAAAAAAAAAGTACAGTTCTGTGAAAAGAGAAACAGTGTAGTGTATGAGAGAGAGCGCTCTGGGTATTGAGCGGAGATCTGAAGAAGACTCTTGTACCTGGGAGACACAGGGATTCTTTCCTCTACGGTGAGAGGGAAATGTGATTTCAGCCTCTGTCTTCTCAGATTGGCTCCTATTTTGGGGCAACGCTCTGCCCTGTGGATCTTAACAGAGATAGCAACACTGACCTGATCCTCATTGGAGCTCCCCATTACTATGAGCAGAATCATGGAGGCCAGGTGTCCGTCTGCTCATTACCTTGGCAGGTAAGGAGGTTTGGAAGTGGGGATGGGAGCATAGTTAAGAGAGTAGTCTGAAAACTCATCAGCCTACTTAGATTTTAAAATAAGGCAGGGGCCTCCAAGATTAATGTTAGAAGAGTTAAATCTGAGAATGAGCCCAGAGTAGCTAAGATATAATGCTCTCTCTGTCACTCTTTCTGTCTGTCTGTCTCTCTACATACACACACACACACACATATATGTAGTAGTGTGTGTGTACATGTAACTATCGATCTCTATGTGTATGTATATATATATAAAATTCTCCCTCACTTGTGTTGTCATATACATATACACACACACACATATATATATACACATACATACATATATACATATATACACACATACATACACATATGCATTGGAGAAAAGGGGAGGACCAAAGAAAGAGGCATAGTTTGTGATAGAAGGGATGGTAATATTAGACTGTGGAGAGAAGGGGAAAACCACTTGACTCATATTTGGCTTCGACTTCCTTGGCCAAGGAAAATAATCTTTGTCCTGGAGAAGATATGACAAAAATGACTAATAGAGAGTTAAAAACTCAGGACAAGTAAGGAGGTAACAAAAGAGTACCTAGCTGATCTAAAGGAGTCTGAGCCACCAGGCTCAGGCAGGTTACATTCCAGGGTAAGCATTAGGTGTTGAGATGAAGCAAAGTTAGCTAAGATTTCTTTGGTAGTTCCCTTATAGCTAGATGTAATTTCTTTTCTGAGAGTGAGTTATTTAAGATCTATATCTAGTCTTCTGCTAATTTAGGTATTTCATATTTTCGAAGGTATTCCTTTATTTCTTTTGTGTGCTCAGTTTTTGTTATCAGTTTTGGTAGCACATAACTACATGATAGGTTCTGATTATTCTTTTATAATTTCTCCTGCTTTTGTTGTGATTTCACCTTGCTCATTTTCTATTTCATTGATTTGATTTTCTGCTTTCTTAATCAGATTAGCAATGTCAAAAAACCAGATTTTGGTTTTATTTATCATTTCAATGGTTTTTGATTCCAACTAATCTATTTCTCCTCTGATTTTTAATATCTCCTTTCATGCTTATTTTAGGCTTTTTTATTTGTTGGCTTTCTAATTTTTAAAATGCATATTCAATTCCTAAATCCTTTCTTTTCTGTTTTGTTAATGTATGTTTGTTAGCTTTCTACTTTTCTTTCCTCACCCTCTTACTGAGTGACTTACTATTGATGTTCTTTGAAAGATGATAGAAAATAAGAGAGACAGTAAATAGAGATCTGGCCTTGGAGTCAGGAAGACCTGAGTTCAAATCCAGCCTCAGACACTTTACACTTACAAGCTATGTGACCCTGGACAAGTCACTTAACCCAGATTGTCTCACCAAAAAAAAAAGAAAATAAGAGAGGCTCCACAGACTGGAAGAGGACAAATAGCCCTATTTTTGAAAGGAGAGAGGGAAGTCTGCAAATTAAAGAACAGTGAATCTGACTTCAATTCCTGCCAAAATTCTAGAATGAATTAATAAAGGGATGAATAGGAACTTTCTAGAAAAGGAAGTGATGACCACAGAGAGCTCACATGGTTTCACCACAGATTAATCCCGTTTCCTTCTATGAACAGTGCTACTAAACTATTGGATCAAGGAATGCTATTTACTTTGACTTCATCAAAGCATCCAACAAAGTGTCTCATGCCATTCTCGTGAAAAATAATGGAAAGATGTGGGCTAGATGACAGTGGGATAGCTCAGTTCACTAAATCTGAAACTAGAACCAGAGTAATCATTAATGAGCCAATGAACCTGAAATGAACTCTCTAAGTACCTCAGGGATATATGTCAGTAGCTCTGTACTGCTTATCATTTTTATCTATAACTTAATAATAATAGCTAGCATTTATATAGTATCTTCTATGTGCCAGACACTGTGCTAAGCATTTGACAAATACCTTGTTTTTATCTTCACAACAACTCTAGGAAGGAGGTACTATTGTTATCCACATTGTTTTTTTCTTTTTGGTGAGGCAATTGGGGTGAAGTGACTTGCCCAGGGTCACATAGCTAGTAAGTGTCAAGTGTCTCAGGCCGGATTTGAACTCAGGTCCTCCTGACTTCAAGGTCAGAGCTCTATCCACCATGCCACTTAGCTGCCCCATCCTCATTTTATAGATAAAGAAACTGAGGTATCAAGGTTAAGTGACGTGCCCAAGATTACACAGCTAGTAAGTGTCTGAGGCTGGATTTGAATTCAAGTTCTCACTGCACTCTAGCTGTATAAAGATATAGAGGTCATGTTCATGAAAATAACAGATGATCTGTAGCTGGGAGAGATAGCTACTATCCTAACTGTATTTAGCATAAAATGTCATAGATATCATGCTTATCACAGATGACACAAAGATGGGAGGGATAGTTAATAACACTGGAAAACAAAGTTGATATAAAAATTTCTGGACAGGTTGGAACAGCGTACTAAATGATGAACTGACTCATGGTGGATGGCAGAACTGAGATCCCAAAAGACCTCCGTAGGCTTAAAACACTAGGACAAAACTAATACAATGGAAATTAACAGGCATAAATATAGTAGTATACATACACACATATACATCAACTTCAAAAGTACAAAATAGAGAAAATCTAAGTTTTAGTAGATTTCAAACTTGACACAAGTATAATAAGACACAAAAAAACCCCAAAAACAAAATAAACAAAACCAATATGACCTTAGAATGTATTAAGAAAAGGATAGTGTACAAAATAAAGGAAATTGTATTCCCATTATATTATGCTTCAGCCAGGCCATATCTAGAATATTTTGTTCAGTATTTTAGAAAGAGCACTGATAAATGGGAGAAATCCAGTGACCAGAATGGTGAAAAGGCTCATAGTCACACCCTAGGAGTTAAGTGAATGTTTAGACTAGAGAAGAGGAGAAGGAACGGAGGGAGCAACAATGTGATAGCTATTTTCAAATATTTAAGGTCCATCATTTGGAAAGTGGGCTGGGTTTTGTTCTGCTTAATGCCAGAAGGCAAAATTAGGAAAAATGGGTAGAAGATTCCAGTAGGTTATCTAACAATTAGAACTGTCTGTGTGGAATGGGCTGTCTCTGGAGGTAGTGGGTACCCACTTACTATTGCTCTCTGAGCAAAAGCTATATGAACACTTGTTGGATATGTTGAAGGAGGGATTCTTAGATCCAGGTCAGACTAAGCAGCCTCTGGCATTCTTTCTGGTTCTGGGATACTGTGATTTTGCAGGATGAAAATCTGGTACAAATTGGAAGAGTTGCTTGGATTTTCAAACCTATCACAACCTTCATTTTTCAGAATGCCAAGTGGCAGTGTAACAGTATTCTTAAAGGACAGCAAGGACACCCCTTTGGACGTTTTGGAGCAGCCTTGGCTGTGCTAGGGGACATAAATGGGGATAAGCTAACAGATGTGGCCGTGGGGGCACCAGGGGAGGAAGAAAACCATGGAGCCATCTATTTTTCATGGAGCAGTTGAATACAGCATCAATCCTTCCTACACCCAGGTAAGGTTCTATAACAGTCTGGATTAACACAAAGCCTCCAAGCTGATTTACTTTGCTTCTAATGTCTCCTGAGTCTAATCCATCCTTCACTGTACTTAAGAATAACAATATCTATCTTGTGTTTCATGGCTATTTTATACTTCAAAATACGTTCACATTATCACCTTGAAGCTTTACCACTGTATGGGGTAAGCAGAGTTGTCTGGTAAAATGGTTAAATGGAAAGAACTCTGCATTTGGAGTCAGGAAATCTGCATCTGAATACTAGCTATGGCACTTAGTGCCTTTGGGACCCTGGGTAAATCATTTAACCTCTCTGGGTCTTAGTTTCCTCATTAGCAAAAAGAGGAGGGGTCTGTGAGGTCTATATCTATGATTCTAAAATAAAGAAATGGTTCAGGGGGCAGAGCCAAGGTTGACAGTACAGGTAGCATCTCAGCTGAACTCCACCAACATTCCCCTCCCAACAACTATAAAATAACACCTGGAATCAAATTCTGGAGCAGCAGAGCCAACAAAAGATTAGAGTGAGATTTTTCCAGCCCAAGACAACTGAGTCAGCAGGAGAGGTCTGTGACATTGGGGTGGAGGCTGGCCCAGACTTCAGTACATGCCACCAGCCACAGGCCTTGGAGGCAGATGCACCAGCTGAAGCAGCAGCTTCAGGAGCTTTCAGTCCAGAGATGGTAAAGGGCGTCAGACAACTGGTCAGAAGGAGATTACTAGGGGCCCTTTGCTGGAACTGGGTGTAGGGCCCTACGGCATTGCCTATACACAATTTCAGATCATAGTTCCTGAGGGAAAAGGAGCACTAGTGGTTACAGCCACAGGAGAGCAGAGGCCCTGGTCTGAAGAGGACTTGTCATTGCGCACAAGGGTGTAGAAGCCTTGGTCTTATTTCCAAGGCAGAAAGGAACACCAGCACTTGCAGCTATAGAAGAGAAGGGGCCCCAGTCACAAATTTCAGAGCCCAAAAGAGTACGGTTGCAGGGGAACAAGGTTTCTTCCTGAGTAAAGACCAGAGCACAGGCCAGGAGAGTCATGACCACACCTCTCCTTGGATTATACTACCTTAGGATCACTGAAAACTTAGATTCCCAGAGCTAGCTCTGACAACAGCAGCACAAAAACAAAACAAAATTTAAAAAAAGAGTGTTGGGATAGTGCCTCTCCACCTTGAGAGCAGAGCCCAACTTTAACATAAAGTTAAAGTCAAGAAATAGGGTGGGAAGAATGAATAAACAACAAATAAAGAAACTCACCATAAAAAGCTATGATAAGAAAAATCAAGACACAACTTAGAAGACAATGAATTTAAAGTAGCTACAAGCAAAGCCTCAAAGAAAAATATGAATTGGACACCAGCCCAACAAGAATTCCTTGGAGAATTCAAAGAGATTTTAAAAAATCAGGGGCAGCTAGGTGGTACAGTGGATAGAGCTCCAGCCTTGAAGTCAGGAGGACATGAGTTCAAATCTGGCCTCAGACACTTGACACTTACTAGCTGTGTGACCCTGGGCAAGTCACTTAATCCCATCTGCCTCATCAAAAAGCAAAAAAAAAAATCAAGTAAGAGAGGTAGAGGAAAAATTGGGAAAATAAATGAAAATGATGCTGGAAAATTAGGAAAAGAGAGTCAATGTCTTGGTAAAAGAGGCTCAAAAAAAAAATCAGAACTGGCCAAATGGTAAAATAGGCACAAAAATCAACTGAAGAGAAGATTTCCTTAAAAAGCAGAATCGGCCAGATAGAAAAAGAAGTACAAAAGCTTACTGAAGAAAATAATTCATTAAAAATTAAGATTGGGCAAATGGAAGCTAATGACTCTAAGGCATCAAGAAACAATAAAACAAAGTCAAAAAAATGAAGAAAATAGAAGAAAATGTGAAATACATCATTGGAAAAAAAACTGACCTGGAAAATAGATCAAGAAGAGATAAAGAGCCTAGGCAATAATTTTCAAGAAATTATCAAGGAAAAATGCCCTGATATCCTATAACCAAAGGGTAAAATAGAAATTGAAAGAATCCACTGATCACCTCCTAAAAGAGATCTCAAAATGATTATAGTCAAATTCAAGAGTTCTTAGGTCAAGGAGAAAATATTGCAAGCAGCCAAAAAAACAATTCAAATATTGTGAAGCCACTGTCAAGATCACACAAGATTTAGCAAGTTCCACATTAAAGGAGTGGAGAAGTTGGAATATGATATTCCAGAAGGCAAAGGAAATAGAATTACAACCAAGAATAATCTATCCAGCAAAACTGGTATAATCCTTCAGGGGGGAAAGAGGATATTGAATGAAATAAAGGACTTTTAAGCATTCTTGATGAAAAGACCAGAATTGAATAGAAAAAATATGGCATTTAAACAGAAGACTCAAGAGAAGTATAAAAAAGCAAACATGAAAGCAAAATCATAAGGGACTCAATTAGGTTAAACTGTTTATATTACTATGTAAGAATATCATTATTAGGGCAATTAGGAGTCCATGTAGAGAGAGGACATGGGTGTGAGCTGACTTTGATGGGATGATCTAAAAAAACAACAGCAACAGCAACTAAGGGCTGAGAAAAAGGGGAAGGGAGAGGAAAAATGAAAAAATTATTTCACATAAAAGAGAAGTGCAAAGAAGAGCTTTTACAGTTGAGGAGGAAATGGGGGGGGCAGCACTTGAACTTCATTCTCACTGGAATTAGCTAAAAGAGGAAATAACTTACAAACTCATTTGGATATAGAAATCTATCTTTCCCAGCAGGGAAGAAGTGGGGGGATAGAATAAGAGAAAGGGCATGCAGGGGGGGGGGGGACAGGGCTAATAGAAGGGAGGATGGACTAAGAGAAGCAAAAAGACTTTTGAGGAGGGACAGGGTAAAAAGAGAGAAGGATAAACAGGACAAAAATAGGATGCAGGAAAATATAGTTAGTAACTGTAAATGTGAATGGGATGAACTCACCCATAAAACGAATATGGAGAGCCAAATGGATTAGAAACTAGAATCCAACAATGTATTGTTTACAAGAAATGCACTTAAAACAGAGAGATAATGCAGAGTAAAAGTAAGAGGCTGGAGCAGAATCTATTATGCTTCAGCTAAGGTTAAAAAAACAAACAAACAACTCAGGGGTAGCGATCATGGCCTCAAAGCAGAAGCAAAAATAGACCTAATTAAATGAGACAAGCAGGGAAACTATATTTTGCTAAAAGGTACCACAGACAATGAATTAATATCAACACTAAATGGCATAGCATCCAAATCCTTACAGAAAAAGTTAAATGAGTTATAGAAGGAAATAGACAGTAAAACTATATTAGATATTAGTGAGGGACCTCAACTTTCCCCTCTCAGAATTAGATAAGTCTAATCATAAAATAAATAAGAAGTTAAGGAGATGAATAGAATTTTAGAAAAGTCAGACATGATAGATGTCTAGGGAAAACTAAACGGAAATATAAAGTAATATACCTTTTTCTCGGCTGTACATGACAACTTCACAAAAATTGACCTTGTATTAGGGCATAAAACCCCCGCAACCAAATGCTGAAAAGCAGAAATATTAAATGCATCCTTTTCAGATCATAATTCAATAAAAATTACTTTTTTTGCACTTGCTTTTCTTTGGTTTTTGAAACATAGCTAATATGGAAATATGTTTTGCATGATTCTACAGGTATAATTGATATCACCTTTCTTGCCCTCTAAATGGGTGGTGGAGGGTGGATGGGAGAAAGAATTGAAAACTCAACAAAATTTTAAGTGAATATTAAAAATAAATGATAAATTTAAAACATATAAGATGGTGGTTGGCAGAAGAGAGTATGAGCACATGGCCTCTCAGAAAGTCCCTTTTCCCCAACACCATTACCATCTCATCATAGTATTTATATACAGTTCTTTAAAGTTTGCAAAACAATTTGAGGATGTTATCTCATTTGATCTTACAACAAACCTGTGAAGTCAGTGCTATTATTACTCTCCATTTTTCAGATGAGGAAACTGAGGCTGAGAGAAGTTAAGTGACTTGCCCAAAGTCACACAGCTAGTAAGTGTCTGAGGCAAGGATTCAAACTTGAGTCTTCCAGACTCCAAGTCCAGACCTGTCCATTACAACACCCAGCAACCTCCAATACATTCTCTTCTCAGGTCAGATTAATCCTTTTGTTCCAGTCCTCTAACACAAAGCTGTCTTCTACCCTGGTGCCTTTGCTCATTATACATCTCTTACCTCCCAATCTACAATGACCTCATTTTGTGCTCTCTGCCAGTATCAGTCCTGCACTCTACTCAACAAGGCTCAGCTCAAAGTTGAGCTTCCTCCATTCATAGCTTGTCTTATCTCATTCTAACCCACATGGATCTTTCCCATCATGATCAGGCTCTTTATAATATAGTATTTATTGATGAGGGTTGGAGGGGGGTCTCCATTTGTTCATGTGAAAAGCTAACAGACAGACTTCCCTGCGGATTTTTTAGGATCTATCTCATTACTTTTGCCGGGCAGCTAGGTGGTGTAGTATCGGGAAGACTTGAGTTCAAATCTGGCCTCAGACACTTACTAGTTGTGTGACCCTGGGCAAGTCACTTAACTCTCTTTGCCTCAGTTTCCTCATTTGTAAAAAATGAGCTAGAGAAGGAAATGGCAACCCACTCCAGTATCTTTGCCAAGAAGACCTCAAATGGGATCACAGAGTCAGACATGACTGAAACAATTGAACAATTTCTTTACAGTCATGCCTTTTCTTCCTCTACTATTAAATGAAAGGTACTGAGGGCAGGGATATACATATACATATACATATACATATACATATACATATACACACATATATACATACATACATACATACATATATATACAGAAGTCATTTAATAAATGCTTGATAAATGAATACATGGAAATGTCCCTCTCTTTGTCTCTTGTCTCTTACTGATTGGTTTTTCCTTATCCCCAATAATGATTCCTAACATATCCACTTTTCTTTATGGCAGCCCCCTTCCTTCACTGGATTGAGGATTTCCTACAACCACCCTTGATTAGCCTTTCTCTTCCCCTCTTTTGTAAACCTGCCTCCCAACATCTCTGTCCCAGTTGTACTCTGCTCTTCACTAGTTAGCCCTATGATTTCTGATTCTATTTTCAATTTCTTCCAGAAAATCAGTGGCTCCCTCCTTTCCCCCACACTCCAATATTTTGGGCAGTCACTGAGTGGAGGACAAGACATCACCCAGGATGGCCTCATGGATGTAGCAGTGGGAGCCCAAGGACAGGTATTACTGTTCAGGTGAGGACAGCCCTTCTTCCTATTCTGTCCTTAAATCCACATCCTGCCCCTTTGCAACCCACTCTGCTCTGAGTATAAGTATGTTGTTCTTAACCCCTCTTTTATGCTCTACAGGACACAGCCAGTGCTGAAAGTTAAAGCATCCATCCAATTTATGCCAGTGGAATTGGCAAGGTCTGTGTTTGAGTGCCAGGCACAGGAAGCCACCAACAGGGAAGCAGGGAGTGCCACTGTCTGCCTTACTATCTCCAAAAGTATTCAAGACAGGCTAGGTAAGTTCCTTACCATCAGACCCAGACATCCCCCATTTAGTCTGTCCTGTACAATCCATCATCCCATTCCTGAGGATACACATCTGACCCAAGAATCTCCATGCTATCTTGAAAACAGATCGAGAAGTTCCAGGTTCTCTATGTCCTCTATCTTCCCTTGTTTCATCTACAGGTAATGTCCAAAGTTCTGTGAGTTATGACCTGGCCCTGGATCCTGGACGCCTAAGTCCTCGTGCTGTCTTTGATGAGACAAAAAGCCGGACACTAAAGCGAGTTGAAATCCTGGGATTGGGGAATCACTGTGAGACTGTGAAGTTGCTGTTACCAGTGAGCTTGGGGATGATTGTATGGGTTTATGAGAGGGGGATAATGCTTGTAAAGGCAATCACGAAGAGCCAGTAGAGGGTTTGAGCAGGAGGAGAATGAGCTGATGGTAAACTTGTATTCTGAGAAGACAGTGTAGGTAGATTGGAGAGCTGGAGAACTCATGACAAAACATCTGGCTCTCTTTATCTTTGCACTCCTACTACCTAGCACAATGCCTTGCACATAGTAGGCGCCTAATAAAAGCTTTTCTATCAATTCATTCATTGATTGATTCCCACAGGAATGCGTGGAGGACTCAGTGACTCCCATCATTCTGCGCCTCAACTTCACTCTGGTGGGACAGCCCATCCCTTTTTCCGGGAACCTCCGACCTGTTCTAGCTATGGGCTCTCCGAATCACTTCACAGCAGCTGTGGGTCCCAGTCTCTGGACACTTTGATGATGAGAGGGTGATGGGATTTCAGGAAGTAGAAAGAAAGGAGTTCCAGAATGAAATCCTATTTCTTCTCTTTCACAGCTCCCTTTTGAAAAGAATTGTGGTGATGATCACATCTGTAAAGATGATCTCAGTGTCACTTTCAGCTTCTCCAGGTGAGACACTTTGCTTTTATCCTCTCTCCAGTCCCTAAGCTTCTCTCACAGAATTCAGGATACTTGTCTTCTACTTCTATACTTTGGCCTTAGTTTTCTCTGACAACTTGGCTCTTTGCCTAGAACCTATGTAACCAGCCATATGTCCCAACAGCCTCCCACTCTTCCATGGCCAAACCCAGTCACAGTTCAAATAGAAGTTTTCCATCTTGATTCCCTTCCCCCTTCAGGCTGCAGACCTTGGTGGTGGGGTACTTCCTTGAGCTGGAGATTGAAGTGACAGTGAGAAATGAGGGTGAGGACTCTTACAGGACCATGGTCACCTTCACATATCCCCCAGGACTGTCCTATCGTCGAGTGTCAGTGGCCCAGGTAAACCAGCTCCTTAGTATGGAATGAATGAGGTGTAAAAAGATGAAAAGCAACCAAACAACATTTATTGAGTACTTACTATATTCCAGGCACCAAGTTAAACACTGAGGATACCAAGAAAGGCAAAAACAGTCCCTGCCTTCATAGAAACTACTTTCTAATGGTAAAGACAATGTATAAATAATAGTTATATATAAGACACATAGAGTAAAATGAAGGATCATATTCAGAGTATAAATAAACAAGGACAAATGTAAAGTCAAAGGTTCAGCTGCCCAAATACAGAATGGGGAAGACCTACCTTGACAGGTTCATGGAGAAAATATCTGATTGCAGGTTAGTGCTTTTTTAGTGATCAAATATCACTTTAATGTGTTATTTTCCCCCTTTCCTCCTCTCAAAAAGAAATGTCAAGGTTCCTAGAATCATACATTTAAAACCAGAAGAGACCTTTGAAGCCATTAAGTACAACTCTCTTATTTTACCAATACAAAACTGGGGCACAAAGGGGTTAAGAGACTTGTTCAGGATCACACAACTAGTAAGCATGTAAGGTAGGATTTGAACCTGGGTCTTCCTAACTCCAAGTCTACTGTCCTACTGCACTATGCCATGCTGTTTCTCACACACTACTCTTGGGATTCGTAAAGAATAATTGAATAGAATAGATTAGATCTCCCTCTTCACACTACTTCCTACATTGAGTGGCAATTGCCCCCTAAATGAAAGATTTGGGATAAACTACCGCATCCATGGGAGGAGGAAACAAGACACATCCATAAAATTAACAAATCTAAGAGGGGTCTCATAGGGAATTTTTTCTAGTCCATAAAGGTTTCAGGACCAGTAAAGACAAGTTGAGATGCTTCTGAGGCCTATGTTTTGAATTGAGTCTCTACTAGATGTCTGAGACTGATGAGGCTTGTGGTCTCTGCTTGGCCAATGAGGGAAGTGAAAGAATATGAAGAAATTTCAGCCTAACTTTTTTTTCCCCCCATTGGAAATTCTGACTACTTTTTTTTTGCGATTATGTAAAACATTTCCATATTAGTCATTTTGTACAAGAAGACTAGAATAAAAGAAAAAAATGAAAGAAAGTGAAAAATAGCATGCTTCAGTCTATTCAATCAATATCAGTTCTTTCTCTGAAGGCAGATAGTACACTTCATTAGTCCTTTGGGATTATCTTGGATCATTCTATTTCTGAAAATAGCGAAATCATTCACAGTTCTTCATCGAACAATATTGCTGTTACTGTGTACAACATTCTCCTGGTTCTATTCACTTCATTTTGCATCAGTTCATGTAAGTCTTTTCAGATTTTTATGAAATCGTCTTACTTGTTTTCTCTCTTACAGCATAATAATATTCCATTACGATCATATACCATAGCCTTATTTAGCCATTCCCCAAGTGATGGGCATCCCTTTGTCAGTCTAACGTCTTACAGTATGACGTGCTAAACCTTAACCTACATTTGCTTCTGAGTCAAAATAACATGACTCAAGAATTTTTTTTTCCTTCTTGAGAAAGGGTAGATGGTAATCACTAGGGGTTCCAGGAGGTTTGCAACACTAGAGATGACTCTATGGGCAGCTCAGAGGCTGTCTCAAATCAGCTGGGGATTAGAGGGGAGGAAAAAGAGTGGGTAGCAGCTCCAAAGATAGCTGGAGGGAAAGGGAATTATAACTCAATGTCCTTTTCCACCCCCACCAAGATTTTTTTACATAAAGAGCCTCATTTCTTTTTATTATTTTTTTTTAGGCAAATTGGGATTAACTGACTTGCCCAGGGTCACACAGCTAGGAAGTGTCAAGTGTTTGGTCTGAGACCGGATTTGAACTCAGGTTCTCCTGACTTCAGGGCCAGTGCTCTATCCACTGTGCCACCTAGCTGCCCCTAAGAGCCTCATTTCTGATACTCAGTAGGGATGCTTGGATTTTTTTTTAAGTTTTTAAGGGATTCTAGGACAGTGATTGGCTGAATTGAATGGTGAATGTGGAAGTAGAGAAGTCAGCCTTCCTATCTCTCTTAGAATTTTTAATCAGTTATTTATAAAAACTAGAGCACTACAAAAGGGCACACTAACTTGTTGTTTGCTGTAGAAGAGGACCAATGACTTCAGAAGGGGGATGTCTTGACTTGCAAGTGAATAGGATTTAAGTGAGTCAGGGCTGTGCAAATCATCAGCCTCATTCTCCCCTCCAGAGTTATCAGAGTCCAGTGGCAAGGTACAGGTCAGGACGACTGGACACGGCCCTGGCTGCAGTGGGAGACCTTGGCCTTTTTAAGCTAAGGTCTTTTCCAGGTTTGTTTGTCTGAGGCAATGACCACCAGTAGTTAAAGGCTAAGTAAGAATGGAGGCAAAAGATGGCCTAGTTTACTTTCACAAAAAAATCAGTCTGGGAGGGGAAGACTTTCAGAGTTTCTGCCCAGAACATAAACAATTGCTATTTATACTCACTCTGAGCCATGAATGTAATTAAATATTATTTCACTGAGACAGAGTAAGAGAAACATGGGAGGATTTATAAAAACTGAGGCAGCGTGAAGTGAGCTGACCTAGGGAAAAGCTATAAAATGACAACAGTCCAAAGGAAAACAACTATGAAAAACTTGAGAACTATGATCAACACAATGACAAATCACACCCCCAAAAGACTGATAGTGAATCATTTTCAGAACCTCTTGGCAGAGAGCTGACAAAACAGAATGAAGCATACATTTTCAGATGAGGCCAATGGAGGAGCAGAGAGACCTCACAAGGATTCTAATCTTAAGGAGGAAAAGGTCTCAATTTGTTGATATACACACATGCTGCACTGATACACACATACACATTTTCTGGCAAACAATAGCAATTCATTTATATTAATGAGAAGACTGGTACTTAAAATTACACCAATCCTAAACAGCAGCTAGGTGGCTCAGTGGATAGAATGCCGGGTCTGGAGTCAAGAAGACTCATCTTCCTGAGTCCAAATCTGACCCCAGATATTTACTAGCTGTGTGATCCTGGGCAAATCATTTAACCCTGTTTGCCTAAGTTCCTCATCTGTAAAAAATGAACTGGAGAAGGAAGTGACAAACCAGTCTAGTATCTTTGCTGAGAAAATCCTAAATGAGGTCACAGAGAGTTAGACACAATTGAAAACAATGGAACAACAACAAAATAGAAAACACATCCTCATATACGTCATTAACAGGGGTACAGAACTACAGACATCACCTATTATGGAAAACATTGCGGTAATTCATTCTATTGGCCCTGCTATACAGGCTTTGTATGAAACTGCTACTAAAAGAGATAATAATAATAGTTAGCATTTACATAGTGCTTTAGGTGTGCATAATCTCATTTGAGCCTTTTAGCAGGTTTTTATTATCCTCAGACAGCTGAGCCTCCAAGAAGTTAAGCAACTTGCTCATGGTCATAAAATTAGCTAGTGAGTGTCAGAGGCAGGATTCGAACCCTGGTTTTCCTGACTCAAGCTCCAGGGCTCTATCCACTAAGCTGTGGTTTCTTTCTATACAATCTTAGGCTTGGCTATTTGATACAAATGTGGTATTGGTGGTTGTGGTTGTTGAGTTGTTTCAGTTGTATCCTACTTTCTGTGATCCCATTTGGGGTTTCCTTGGCAAAGATACTGGAGTCGTTTGCCATTTCCTTCTCCAGCTCATTTTACAGATGATGAAACTGAGGCAAACAGGGTTAAGTGAGTTGCCTAGAGTCATATAGCTAGTAAGTGTCTGAGGTTGAATTTGAACTCAGGTCCTCCTGACTCCAGGGCCAATGCTCTAGCCACTATGCCACCTAGCTGCTCCTGATGCAAATGTAGAGTCCAAAAAGAGAGGAAAACAATAATACTATTTTCCTCAGGGCCTATTAGACCATACCTGGAATACCGAATTCAGTTCTGGGTGTCACATTTTAAGAATGACAATGAAAACCATTGTCTCCAGAAGATGGCAACTAGGATGCTGAGGGATTTAGAAACCATGTGATAGGTGGGTGACCCCAAAATCTAAGACTTCCTTACTTCTTTCTACTCCCTATAGTGTTCAATAAACAATAATTTGTTTAATTTAATGCCATATAAGAAAGTAGAAGAAACTGAAGACAGTATAAAAAAGATTATGGAGAAACATGATCGTTATCTTAAAGATGTGTATGTGGAGGGTGGAGGTGAGATGGCAAAGAGGGGTCACACCGGTTCTATGTTGCTTCAGGGCACAGAACTATGACCAATGAGTAGAAACAGGAAAAGGCAGCTCTTGGCACAATAAAAGAAAGAACTTCCTGGCAAAAACAAACAAACAAAAAACCTTGTGAGGTAGTCCCCCCTCACTTGGGAACATTCAAGAAGCAAAATGGTTACTAGTTAGAGATGCCCTAGGGGAGGGAGGGAGTGAAGGAGAGAATAAACATTTATACAGCATCTACTGTGTGCCAGGAACTGTGCTAAACACTTCATAAGAATATTTCTCATTTGATTTCCCCACAACCCTGCAAACTAGATGCTGTTATTTTCCCCATTTTATAGGTGAAGAAACTGAGGCAAACAGCAGCTAAATGACTTGCTTAGGGTCACACAGTTAGTAAGTGTCTAAGGCTGGATTTGAGCTAGGTCTTTCTGACTCCAGGCACTGTGCTCTATCCACTGCACTACCTAGCAGGCCTGGAAGGGGTTCCTTTCATGGAGTGATTGGCTAAACTCAATAACCTCTGCATTTCCCTTCCAACTTAAAGGCTGTATGTTTCTTTAATAGCCAGAGTCCTCGAAGACCCTCCTTATATCTTCGCATTATTCTCAATTGATGGGTTAGTTTTTTTCATACTGTCTTTCCATCATCTAGAACTCAAAGCATCAGCAGCATTCCCCGCATCTGGCTTGTGATATACCAGCAGTCTCCGAGTTGGAGAATTTGAGAAGCAGCAGCTGTAGCATCAACCACCCAATCTTCCGAATGGGGTCCAAGGTCAGCATCTTCATGGGCCAGCTTTTCCACTGGTTAGTCTTCCTTATCTCATTCATCCCATGACTTTCTACCTTCTGTTTCACTCTCTTCCATCAGGTTACTTTCATAATGACATTTGATGTGTCCCCTACAGCCAACCTTGGAGACCAAGTACTTTTCAAAGCCACTGTGAGCAGGTAAACCAAAGTACATGAAAACCTGCTCATTCATTCGGGAGAGTTAGTTGTTGTATGTGCCGCGCACTGAGACATAAAGTACTTAGTGCAGTAAGAAGCCTTTCCTGGTACCCCTTAATTCTAGGGCTTTCTGAGATTATCTCCAAATGATCCTACACATATCTTGTTTGCACATAGCTGTTTTTATGTCTTCTCCCTATTAGATCATCAGCTCCCCAAGGGCAAGGATTGTTTTTGCCTTTCTTTGTATCCCCAGAGCTCAGTACAGTGCCTGGCTCATAGAAGCACTTGATAAATACTTCTTAACTTGACTTGCGGTTAGCTTATCCTACCCAAAGCATGAAAGCCTTCTCCTCTGGGGTCCCTTCCCAGATGATCTTTCTCTTTTTTTTTTTCCAGTGAGAACAACACACCTATGACCAGTAAAAATGTCTTCCAGCTGAAACTACCAGTGAAATATGCGATCTACACAGTGATCAACAGGTACCATGCTCTGTTCTCTAATACTCAGTCATCCCAAAGGGCCTCCTTCATAATACCTCTAGGAGCTGCACTTTTATGTTAATGTGATTTTATTATTGTCCTTCATATTAGAATATCAAGGCCCCAAGGTTGCCCAGTAGTTAGTATTGCTGGACCTGAGTCAAGAAGACTCATCTTCCTGACTTCAAATCTGGCCTCACTTACTATCTGTGTGACCCTGGGCAAGTCAGTTAACCCTGTTTGCCTCAGTTTCTTCATCTGTAAAATGAACTGGGAAGGAAATGGCAAACCACTACAACGTCTTTGCCAAGAAAATCCCAAAATAGGGTCACGAGAGTCAGATACGACTTTAAAAAAATTAGCATATCATGTTAATCATAACAGTATAACTGAGTGCCAGAAACACGGCCTCTCACATTTATAGATTTCCTTTCATGTGAAGCACCTTCATGTAAAGATGATATTTATTTAGAACTAAAATTACAAAAACATCATCTCAACACATTCTCCCAATGGCCATATGAGGGAAGTAGAGTATCATTATTACAGAGTATCATTATTCCCATTTAATAAATGAGGACATTGAGCCTCAGAGAAAGAGTGATTGGTTCAGTGGTAAAGCCAGGACCCAAATCCAGGACCTAAACCCAGTTCTGGTGGTTCTAAATCCAGGGGTCTTTCCATGATGCCAAAACTGGATTAACTCATTTCTATTCAGACTAACAATAGAAAGAAAAGATACAATCGCTGTCCCAGCTCTCATTACATTTACAAACTTGCGGTGGAAATAAAACTTAGAACTAAGAAACAGAAAAAGAGAGAAGATGATTAAGTGTTAATTCCTTGGTTCCCAGTCTCTAAAAGTTTTGGGAAGGAACAACTCAGTTTATATCTTGTGTGCTTCACAGAGTGATTTTGCAGAGAAGGTGACAACTTGAGCTGGGTCTTGAACAATGGACACATGGAAGAGAAAAACAGCGTGTGTTTTCAGAGGGCAATGAAGAGGCCAGTTGGGGTGGAGCTGAGGGGCTCTGAATGAGGAGGGGTTTTTTTTGTTTTGCTTTTTTTGGTGAGGCAGTTGGGGTTAAGTAACTTGCTCAGGGTCACACAGCTAGTAAGTGTGTAAGTGTCAGAAGTCACATTTGAACTCAGGTCCTCCTGACTCCAAGGCCAGAGCTCTATCCACTGTACCACCTTGCTGCCCTGAATGAGAAATTTTAAGAGTAGTAAAAGTTAAGGGGTGAGGCAAGCGAATAATAATAGCTAATATTTATATAGTGCTAGGCGCATTATAAATATTATCTGATCCTCACCACAACCGTGGGAGGTGATGCTCTTATCACCCCCATTTTACAGATGAGGAAACTAAGATTAAGTATTTTACCCAAGGTCACCCAGATATTAAGGATGAGGAGTTGTATTTGAACTTGGGTTTTCTAACTCCAGGCCCAGCGCTCTCTATACTGCACCACCTAGCTGCCAGATTACCGGGGACCTTGAAAGTCAGGGTTTAAAAAAGATGGTAGGCAATAGGGATCCATGGAAAGTTGCTGAGCAAAGGAATGACAACAACAAATTAAATAAAGTCAACAAATAGTTGTTGAACACCTGCATTGTGTCCTTGGGAGCAGGGACTGTTTCATGTTTGTCTTTGGGTCCCTAGCCACTGTGAACAGGTGACACCAAAGTACATGAAAACTAGCTCATTCATTCAGGAAACATTTAGTAAGCACCTATTATATGTTGTGTGCTGGCATATAGTCCTTAATATACTAAGAAGCCTTTTGGCTTTTTCAGTTGGTTTGGGGTTTTTTTGTAGGTTTTTTTTTTGGACTGGACTTGTTATTTCTTCAGTCTAGGAAATTCCTTCTACTAATGCAGACCAGCATCCACTCTGAAATTGATAATCTAGTAGAAAATCTTCTGACGCACTAAGATTGGGTGTAGGGTGAATTCAGGTCTTCCTGATTACAAGATCAGATCTCCACCACCTAAGCCACATTGCCTCTCATCTTGCATTTCCTTACATATTGAACCTTTCATATTCATATCTATCCCCTTCCATGCATATTGTGGAAACTAACTGGTACTGTAACCAGCTATTACCTTTGGCCACAGGATGCTGTTGATGAGCAGACAGACGTGCTTAGTCCTGAAGTCACACTGAGTTCACCATCATATCACACGCTTTGGACAAGCTTCTTATGCTCATGAGGGGTCTCTGAAAGGGAAATCTAGTGGTTACTAAGGGCTGACCTTTTCTAAAGGCTCTTTCATTGAGGTTAGAGCGGGACCTAGAGGAGGATGTGGCCAGTGGTTTGAGCTTCACGGTAGCAGAAGGAAGTGCTAGAGCTAAGCCCTGGGGAGCAGAGGTGTGAGCAGCTCCCGGAAGGGTGATTAACTACTGGGAGTGAAACAGCATGAAGGGGCAGCCATTTACTAAGGACCTAAAAGAGAACTTAGAAATCATTTAGTCTTCTGAAAGACTTTCGATAAAAAATGCTATCCATCTCCAGAGAAATAAGTAATGGAGTCTGAAGGCAGATTGAAGCATACTTTTTTTTAACTTTTGTTATTATTCTTGAGGTTTTTTTTTTTTGGTCTTCATTTTCTTTTACAACATGGCTAATATGGAAATGTTTTGCACAACTACACTTACATAATTTATATTAAATTGCTTGCCTTTTCAAGAAAGAAGAGAAGGGGAAGGGAAGGAGAGAATATGGAACTCAAAATTTTTTGTGAAAAATGAATGTTAAAATTTTTTAAACAAATGTTAAAAAATGTTTAAAAAGTATGTTTACATGTAATTGAGAAAAATAAAATTAAAATTAAATGTAAAGAGAGATCATCTATTCCAATGTGCTCATTTTACAGATGAGGAAACTGAGGCCCACAAAGGTTAAGTGAGGTCTCATGAGTAGTCGAGTCAGAATTAGAACCTAGGACAGCTGATTCCACATCCAGTGTTCTTAGCAGAGAGAGTGATGCTACAAATGCTTTCAAATTTAATCTGCTATTGTGTCTCTTACTGGGCAGAAGAGAAGGCATGCTTCACTTCTATTCTACATTCTACTCTCTTCTCCTCATCCTCCCCAGAGACACACACATCACCTCAACGCCCTAGCCAGCATCATCCCCCCCTCTACACCACACCAGAGCAATAGGGCAAGGCCCAAACCCAGGCCAAGAAGGTCTACAATTTTCCAGAGGAAGAGATTTTGAAAGGAGAATCTTGTGGTTTGAGTTCTTAATCTAAACTTGGGTTTTTCTAAGCTAAATGGCCTTGTGTGGCACAGGACACAGATAGCTGGTCTTAGAGTCAGGAAAACCTAAGCTCAAATCCCAATTCTGACACTTGGCAGCTGAGAAACTCTGAGCATGCCTCTTAATCTTTTTGAGGATAATAGCCATTTCCCAGGCTTCTTGAGAGCTGCAAATGAGACAGTGCACATGAAGTAAAAATGCCTAATCTGGAATTAGGAAGACCTGAGTTCAAATCCAACCTCACTTACAGACACTTACTAGTTGTGTGACCCTGGGCAAGTCACTTCACCTGCCCGCCTCCACTTCCTAAACTGTAAAGCAGGGGGTCATAATAGCACCTACTTCCTAGGCTCCTTGTGAGGATCAAATAACACAATGTCTGTAAAGCACTTAGCATAGTGTCTTCCACAGAGTAACTGCTATATAAAATGTTAACTAAAGTCAATCACCGTTAACTAAGTATATACACACATGTGCGTGTACATTATATATATATATATGTGTGTGTGTGTGTGTGTGTGTGTGTGTGTGTGTGTGTGTTTTTGTCATGGACTCATAACACCCTAGAACTGATAAACTGGAAGTTACATTATTATTTTTTTTTTCCTAGGGCAATGGGGGTTAAGTGACTTGCCCAGGGTCACACAGCTAGTAAGTGTTATGTGTCTCAGGCCGGATTTGAGCTCAGGTCCTCCTGAATCCAGGGCCGGTGCGCTATCCACTGTGCCAACTAGCTGCACTGGAAGCTACATTAGAGAAGGTATAATTCAACTCCTTCATTTTACACAGTAGGAAACTGAGAATCCAGGAAATGAACTTGGCCAAGAACACATAGCAAGTTAGTGGCCATCTGGATCAGAGTACAAGTCACCTGATTCCCAGTGGGGTAGTCTATGCTAAATTTAATGTATTATTGTCTAGTTGTTCAGACATGTCTGATTTCTATATGAGTCCATGGACATTGTCAATGGGGTTTTCTTGGCAAAGATATTGGAGTACATTGCCATTTCTTTCTCCAGCATGTCCCCTTTTTACAGATGAGGAACTGAGGCAAATATGGATTAAGTGACTTGCCCAGGGTCACACAGCTAGTGTCTCAGGCTGAATTTGAACTCAGATCTGCCTGATTCTGGTCCTGGTGCTCTATCCACTGCACCAACTACCTGCCCTATCCCTAGTATAGCAGATACATTTGTACCTGCTATGCCTTTGTATACCTTTGTCCATTTCCTCAGGCAGGGGTTTCCCAGGTGTGCAGGTGATTAGAGCATCTAAAACACTCAAAACTCCAAAGCCACAATAAAATTTGCTTTCCCAAACACCTACTCTTTCCATAGTCTCTACTTGAGCAACGGCCCCTTCCTCTCAGTCCACAATGGGGCCCCATTAGCCCCACCATCACAACTGTGTGACTTTGGACAAGTCACTTCCCTTAGGCTAGCTGATCTCTAAGGTCCTTGTTAACTACAAATTCTGTGTATACATTGCCTAACTAATCTCAAACTGGACCCTGTTTGTACAGCTTGAAGCTTATTCAGGGGCTCTCCATGGTGTTTATTCCATTAACACTTTCTCTTTTTCCACCAGCATTGAAGATTCCACCAAATATCTTAACTTCTCAGTTTCAGAAGAGAAGCAAGTTAACACGACTGAGCATGGATACAGAGTGAGGGAGGAGGGACCAAAACCCCCGGGGCATCTGGGAAAGACACAGTGACTGAGGAGCAGAACCAAAATTAGAATGGAAAAAATGGGGCTTTGCCCCATGGCACAGACATGGGATGGGATTCTTCCTTGCCTCACAGACCTCCAGAGGCACAGAGAAAAACTACCCCCTGCTCCCACCCCCAGGGTAGCAACCCTCACCCTTGTGGCCTAACCTTCCATGAGGGGGTCAGGTCTTTCTGGAGCATGGGATACCTACCATCTTTCAGCCTAAACATATCAGTGGTAGGACTGTCTTATAGGCCACCATGATCCACACTGCCCCCTCCCCACTGCATTTGCCACAGGCTCATTTTCATTGGGTTTTGGCTGAATGCAGGTACGAAATGTGTGGGTTGGGAATGGAAATAAAATCTCGTGTAAGTTGGGGAAGAGTCAAGGAGAGGGCAGGATTCAAAACATTGTTTTCCATCCATCCTCTCTGCAGATAAATAACCTGGGACAGAGGGCTCTACCTGTCCACATAGACTTCTGGGTTCCTGTGGAATTGAACAAGGAGTCTATATGGAATCTGACTGAGGTCATTTACCCCCAGGTAATCTTGGATCAAATGCAACAGTTACCCTCCCATATCCCTTCTTTGCACTGGACCATAGCTTCCCTATTTCTCTGACAAATCCTCAGCCTCCTACTTCACACTAAAGACCTTATCTCTGTCTGATTTTTCACTCCCTAGGATTCATCAATTCAGTGTGCCATAGAAAGAAAAGAACCCAGTCACTCTGACTTCTTGACCCACATCCACAAGAGCCCAGTGGTGGTGAGGATGGACTCTAGAATCATCCCCAATTTGTTAAAAGAACATAGAAGTTCAGTGTTCTCTTCAGTGGTTGTTGTTTTACCTCAGAGACACCACTGTCTCATATCTAACTCTCCCCACTCAAACTAAATAGAAGTCAATGTTATTTTGAGCCCGAAACCCTAAACCTGACTCCTTCAGAACTTTGTCTTCTCCCCTCCCCAGAATTGCTCCATTGCTGTCTGCTTGAGAATTGGCTGTGATATCCCCACCTTCAAAATCCAAGAGGAGACTGACTTCCTCATTAAAGGCAATTTCAGCTTTGGCTGGGTCAGCCAGGTATGTGGGGCAGCATAAGGGGTGGGGGTGGGGGCGATGTAGGAGTATGGCAGCTTTAGAACTGGAAGAGACCACAAAGGACATCTGAGGCCAATGCCCTCTTATTTTGCAGATGACATAGCTGAGACCCTGGGAGGTCACCCAGGTAGTAAGCATTAGAGGAGAGATTTGAACCCAGGTTCTCTACATCAGGGATTCTTTACCTGGGGTCCATAAACTTGTTCTTTAACAGATTTTTAAAAATTTTGATGACTACATTCCAACATGATTGGTATCCTTTGCAATCTTCTGTATTTTATGCATTTAAAAACATTATTCTGAGAAGTGGTCCATAGGTTTCACCAGACTGACAAAGGAGTCCATGACACAAAAAAGAGGTTAAGTACCCCTAACCCAGTGCCTGTGCTCTTTAAATGGCATCCCGGCTTCATCCCAAGGGTCCTATGTCTGAATCAGCTCTATGGTCCTCGTTCTCAGATGCTGCTACTCCTACCCCAAAGGAGACACATTTTTGCTGTTCTGTGACTTCCCCAGAGCCAGCCACTTCAGCTTTCCTTCCTCTCTTTTGCAGACTCAACAGAAGAAGCTGTTGTTTGTGAGTTCAGCTAAGATTAGTTTTGATGAATTAAAGTATTCCCAGCTTCCAGGACAAGAGGCCTTTTTGAGAACCCAGGTAATTGACCACGGAGTCAGTAAGGCTGGTAAATCTCTTTCTTGGTATAATTTAAGTTGGTATTTAGTGGGCATTTTTGCTTAAGGTTGGGAGCATACAATAAAAAGCAGATTTCTCCTTAGGTCCCCAGGTGCTTTTATACAGGGGCAGGTCCCAGAGTCCCAGGAAGAAAAGTAGTAGGAGGCTGAGGTGGTGCGCTGGACCAAGAATCAGGGACACCTGAGTTCAGACAAGACATGGCTGGCTGCCTTAGTTTCCTCATCTGTAAAATGGGGATGATAATAGAACCTACCTCTCAGACTTGTTGTATCTCAAATGAGATAATATTTGTAAAGCGCTGTGCAAACCTTAAAGGCTTGTGTAAATGGTAGCCATTATTCTTAACTAAGATGATGATGAGGTTTGTCAGCAAAATCTGGTCCTTTCAAATGAAAAGCACTCTCTTAGCATAGTCTCTGGCACATGATAGACATTTAAGGAATGTTGATTGATTAATGGACTGCTTGATTGACTGATGGGGCTCTGCTTCAAACCAGGTAGAGACAGTGGTGGAACAGTATGAGATCTACAATCCCATTCCCCTCATCTTGGGCAGCACTGTGGGGGGACTCCTGCTGCTGGCACTCATCACAATTGGGCTGTATGAGGTGAGACTCCTCCTCCCCAGCCCCACCATCCCCCTTCTCCCATGCTTCTAAGTTCCCTTTACTCCCTCCTGACTTGTCCTTCCTGATTTTACTTCCTTTTGTGCCACCCACAGCTTGGTTTCTTCAAACGTCACTATAAGGACATGATGGAAGATAAAGCCCAGGAGGCTGATCTGAAAAATGAAGACTCTCAAGCCCCCACCTCCTGATGCAGCCATCCCACTCTCCTAGGCCTGTTATCATGGGGTGAAATCTCAGCCCTCCCTTTCCCTGGACAAAGCTGGGCCTGAGATGACAGCTTTTCATCAGACTGCTTCTACAAACTCTCCTTCCTTGGCCCACAAATGCAACCGAGTCTTTCATATGACACAACCATGGGGTGCCCAAAACCTGTCACACTTCCTGGGAAATACTGCCATTCTGGCATGTTTGAATAAAACCTCTTGCCTTTGAGTCAATCCACCCATTCTTTAGCCTTGCAACTTCCCTGTTGGGGCTGGCAGGCTGGAGGGCTGGGGCACCATCAACGTCGTGTGTAAATGGAGTCAGTCTTCTCCCTTCCCTTTCTAACAGGAAATAAATTAGAGTGACACACAGTGCCTGGATGGGGTTGATCCTGTCAGTGATGAGGGTCAAGCACAGGAAAGGGAAGAGTCACCAGGCCCAAGGTTCCCAGCACTGGGTATCAGAAATCTTTGTCTCATACAAGAATAAAGGTGTTGGCTATCTCCCTGTTCCCTTCATCGCTACGAAATTATCATTAGTAGCTGAAATTATCATTAGTAGCTGACTCTCAGTTTTCCATTGGAAATTTAAAACGAAAACCCAATAACAACAATCGGCACATGTGTCTGAGAAGTAGAAACAGGGAATGTAGCTCCCAGCAAAGGTTGGGGAACACTAGCAAGCACCCCCACACACACACAGCTTGTCTATTCTGGGACTGGAAGGGTTGTTCTTATCAGCCTCAAGGTGAGGACAAGTAATTAGCTGTTTTTTCACACCAGCTACCCAGTGTGAGAAGGGGGCAGGGAAGGACTAAAAGTGCAGGGTGCTGTGTTTGCAGGTCAGCATCAATGGTGATTTCCCACACATAGCCCTCTCTCCCAACCCCCAGGGAAGACGAACACTAAGAATAACCTTTCATCTGGCCCCCACAGAGCAGGTCAGTGGGCTGCTGAGAAGACAGTAGGAAGAGACTGGTCCTTTACTTATTCTTTTCTTCCTAAAGGTCCTTCCACTATATTCCTCTTCAGACTAGCGATCATTAGACAAGTCCAATTCTGAAAGGCCGTTAGGCGACAGGAGTCACAGTTTCAGAGCTGGAAAGAATCTTGGAGGCCATTGGATCTCATTTCTCATTTTACATATGAAGAGGAATCTGAGGCAGAGAGAAGTTAAAGGACTTACCCAGGATTTCAGAGCCATAAGGGTCTGAGGTGGGATTTCAATCCAGCTCTTCCTGTCTCTGATTTCAGATCCACCATGCTATGCTGCCTCAAGATTTTTCCCTGCCCTTTGTGAACAAGCCTGTTCTAGACTTTCTGAACTCACAACCACAATGAAACACTTCATACTTATGTGGGAGGGATGACTTTATTGCTTCTTGGGTCCCCATAATCTTACCTGTCCACCCACAACCATGGGGCCCAAGGAAACTCATAGTTCTTACTTGAAGTGTTCACAGTCTGTAGGGGTTTATTCTCTACATGTTTCTCTCTTAGAATAAAAGTCCCCTGAGAACAGGAATGATTTTACTTTTGTCCGTGCATCACTACGCATGGGTTGTTTTTTTTAATCTAGATTACAGGACCTTTTTTTTCCTTCATGTTGTGATACCTCTTTCAATATAATTGTATTCCTCTGCAATCCTATGTATTTTATTTTATGCTTTTAAATCTGATAAGAGATTGATAGGCTTCAATGGACAGCTAAGGGGGTCCATCAACCCAAAAATGTTAAGAATCCCTGTCCTACAACTTAGCACTGTTCATGGCACACGGTATGTCTTTAAGAAATACTTGTTTATTGATTGAATAAGAATCCAATTAATACAATAATTCAATAAAAGTCACATTTGTATAACGCTTCTAATTTAATTCCCAAACAACACTTTTACCGCTGAGGAAGCTGAGATTCAGAGAAAAGATGGTTTGCACCTCTGTTCAAGTGCACAAATGAGAAAAGAGGAGGTTGGTCATAGTCTGAAGCAGTCTTGCAAGTAGGTCCCATGAGCTGAGGGATGCCAGGAGTGATCCACAACATCTCTCCTACCCTGCCTATCCTGGTGCTTGAAATTCCACTTAGGACATGCAATCCCTTAAGTCTTGAAGACCTTTGGGTCCCAGGAGTCCTCTGTTAAAATACAAATAATAAGTCATTAGTTGCTCTAAAAAGCAATTGGCTGAAAGCAAGATCCCAAACAGAAGAGGAGGAAAAAAAAAAACAGGTGAAGGACTTAGCAGGCTTTTGCCTGAAAATGGCAGTGAAAGGACGTTTGCTGGTCATACGCACAAAATGAACCTCTAAAATGGTATTGGAAGAGTCAGGGCCAAGATGGTGGAGGAAAGGCAGGCACTCACCTGAGCTCTCTCAGATTCACCTCCAAACAACTTTAAGTAATGCTTCAAAACAAATTCTGGAGGGACACACGGAAAGATGATGTGAAACAATTGTCTAGTTATTGCACCAGGGTGGGAGTAGAATGCAGTCCAGCGCAGGCCACACTAGCACAAATCAGGCCCCAACAAACCAGCAACAGGACTTGGGTGGATGGGAGTGACTGAATCAGCAGCAGCAGTAGCTTCTAGAGAAACTGGGGGTTGGACAACTGGTCAGAAGAAGATTACAGGAATCCCTTTCGCTGGCACTGGGTACAGGACTCTGTTGCATTGCCCATACTCACATCTGGGTCACAGCCCTGTGTGCTAGGGAGGAGCACTGGCATGCCAGAGCTTGCAGCTGAAGGAGAGGGAGAATGCTTGTGGTCACTCAGACCAGAGCGCAAGCCAGGACAGTAGTAAATATTCTTCTCCTTAGATCATACCACCTTGGAAGAACTGAAAGCTTACAAATCCTAGGCCCGACCTAGGCCTGAATACAGCTACACAAAAAACCTGAAGCTTGGGACAGTGCCCCTCCACCCTGGGAGCAGAGCCCAACTTTAATATAAGGTTAAAAATCAAAACACAGGATGGAAAAATGAACAAACAGAAAACAAAAAAAAGACGCTGACCATAGAAAGTTATTATGACAGGGGAAAGCAAAACACAAACTCAGAAGACAACAAAGTCAAAACTTAAGTATATCCAAAGCCTCAAAGAAAATGTGAATTGGTATTAGGCCCAAAAAGAATTCCTGGAAAAGATTCCGTCCTCCCCCCCCCCAAAATTAACAGCTTCATGAGTAATGAGTGGGTTCTTTAACAAAATTAATGAAAATAAAATAAAAAGAAACTGTAAAGGGGGGGTGGATATTTACAGCAAACATCACTGATAAAAGTATGCTATCTAGTAGATACAGGAAACTGACACATATGTGATCAAGAACAATTCTCCAATAAATAAATCCTTAAAAGATATGAACAGCTTTCAAAAGGAACTTATTAAAACATACTCCAAATCACTAAAAGAGAAACACAAATTAAAGCAACTCTGAGCTTTTACTTCATATTCTCCAGGTATTTAGGCAAAGGTGACAAAAATGGGAAGTGTCATTGTTGGAGCAAATGTTGAAAGACAGGCATACTAATACTCTGTTGGTGGAGCTGCAAAGTAGTTCAACTGCTCTGTATAATAAGTTGAAATTATCAAAGAAAAGTGGTTAAGCTATTCAATAAAGGTATAATGTGTATCATAGCCTTCGAAACACTGCTCCCACCATTGGTCACATGTTCCCAAGGTCAAGGACAGAAAAAAAGGTCCAACATACGATAAAATATTAATAGCACTTTATATAGTAGGGAATGGCTCCTCCCTTTAAAGAAGCCCTGCTCAGAGCTGCACCCGAGTGCTGATCAAATTGTGTGGCTTGGTAGAAAGAATGAAAGAGAAGCCAAGGGTTCTGGAAAGGAGCCAAGGGGGGCAGTTCATTGGCTGCAAAATCTGCTCTTTTTGCTTGCTTCTTCTGTTCTGTGATTAACCCAACTTCTCCACCCCCATTTGCAGCTGCGTAATTTATTGAGCTAACCCCTATCAAATCCTTGTCAGCAGTCTGCTTCCGCCCCTCCTTTTCTCCTATCCCACTTCACCCTGCACTACTCACTTCCTAGGAGGCTCCAAGAACCACTCCAACTATGGCATCTGGTGCTGTGTTCCTGCTCACAGGTGAGTGGAGACCCCTTCCTTTGGAATGGGGAAGGGAGGTGAGATGATTGGGTAAAAAGAGTAAGTCCCCATCTAAGTCTATCCATTGGAGCTCTGAGAAGGAAAAAGGAGGACAGATGGAAAGCAAGGAGGGAAAAAGACCAGAATAGGTCCCCAGGGTTGGAGGTGAGGTGGAGGAGTGGCATAGGGTGGCAGAGTGAATAACAAAACCGATTCGATGAAGACTGAAGGATACAAACTACAGCCACACCAAATGTGGTAAGTTCCATAGATCCAGCTTTGGAGCCACCTTTTCTATGAAGTTCTCCAGATCCCCCTAGTTACAAGTAACTCCTCCCTCATCAGCTCTTGTGGCATATTTTATATTCCCTTTAAGGGACAGTACTGTGTTAAAGAGGAAAGAACACTGGACCTGGGCTCAGGAGACTATTGACTCTCACAACCCTTTACAGCTGTGTGACTCTAAGCAAAGTATTTAAGCCATCCGAACCTTAATGTCCTTCTCTGTAAAATAGGAATAATAATGCTTGCCCTACCTCCCTACTAGGGCTGTTATGAGGAAAGCAGTCCTTTAAATCATAAATGTGAATTTCTAGTATTACGGACTCATATTCCAATTCACATCATATTCATCTGGATCTCCTCCTACTAGACAATAAAGTCCATTACAGCAAGAACCATATTAAGTATCTTCCCCAGCACTAAGGACAGTGACGTTACTCCTAGAGATAATATGTCTGAGAGAGGGAAAAAAATGTGTTCCCTGTCCTCTACCCATAAAAAGTTACTCCATATTAACACCTGAGGTTGCTGTTTGCCCTTTGTTCTTGAAGAGGACCATGACACGAGGGAGGTGATGCCATGACATGCAAGTGAATTGGATTTAAGTGAGGGAGGGCTGTGCAAAGTCACCAGCCTCACTTTCTCCTCCAGAGCCATCTGCGTCCAGTGGCCAGATATGGATCGGGATGACTGGAGATGGCCCAGGATACAGTGGGGAACCTTGGTCTTAAGATCTCAACCACCCTGACAGTATAGGGGTGTAGGGTAAGAGTAGAACAAGGAAGAGATGGGCACAAACACTGCTCTGGTGGGATAGAGGCTGGAAAACAGAGAGGCATTGACCCCTAGGCACAGTAATGGTGGGGCCCCCAGGGTCCTGATCACCAGCTCTTGGATATTACATTAATGCTTCAGTTCTTTCTATGTTTCAGGTGTTCCATTCCCAGAATGATCTTTACCCCATCACTTTCCCATTCTTTTGCTTAAGCCCTGTCCCTCTCCTCCCCAGATTCCCTATGGTTCTTGCTATTAGACTCAACTTTCTCACACTAAAGGGAAAGGAGTATCTTAGAGTTCTACAGGAAAGAGAAGTCAGATTATCTGAGAAAGCTAAGGTGAGGGGGAAAGCACATGAAATGCCTCATGGCTCTTCTCCCTCTTAACTACTGGCAGACATAACGAAAAATGCACATTCTTGGCCCTTGTCCTGACTCTGTTACTGATGGATTGATGCAGACCAGGAAACTGGACCTTGGAGTTTGCACAATCCATTTAAATTTAAGAAACATGGGACAGTGAAGAGCACTGTGTTCATGTGACATGAAGATCGGTTGAGGAAATTGAGACTGCTTAGCCTGGAGAAGGCATCATAGTTGTCTTCAATAAGGAACAGATCACTTAACCTCCATGGGCCATATATGTTGATCTGTATCAATCAGTAAGTATTTATTAAGCACTTTCCATATGCCAGGTACATACTGGTGATACAAAGAGAAAAAACAAAACCATTCTAACAGGGTCAGGGAGGACAACCCATACACAGAAGGAAATTGATCCAGGACTGGATGATCTCTAAAGTCTTCCAAGCCCCAAGAGTCTGTGATTCTTCTGCTGCAATCTCTGAAGCAAGTCACTTAGTTTCTCAGAGCCCTCAGTCAACACTCTAAGTTTAAAAGCTGTATTGGTGGAATGATATGCCTCCTCAGATGTTCCTAAGTCAATAACATCAAGGTATGGGTAAAGAAATGCAGTGGGGTTTTCTATAAACTTTGGGTTTGAATATGCAAATAAATGTTTGTTTTCCTCAACATCTAGAAACCTAAGGAATCTAGGGAATAGGTATCATTTTGTGACACATTTGATGCATTAAGGTTTTGTTTTTATTTTTTAAAACAGCCCTAAGGAAGATTAATTTCTAAGAAAGTTGTGATTAGTCATAGTTGCATATATATGTGTATGTGTGTATAAATATATATGTGTGTGTACATATACATATGTGTATATACACACATATGCATATACACAAAGACGCACTGCTAGGTGGTATGCAGTGGATAGGGTGCTAGGTCTGGAGTCAGGGAGATTTAAATCTGGCCTCAGACACTTTCTAGCTCTGTGACCCTGGGCAAGTCACTTAGCCTTGTTTGCTTCAGTTTCCTCATCTGTAAAATAAGCTGGGAAGGAAATGGCAAACCACTCCAGGATTTTTGCCAAGAAAACTCCAAATGGAATCATGAAGAGCCTGACGTGACTAAAAAACAATTCAGCAACAACATATATGTGTATGCATACATGTGTGCATATGTACACGTGTGTGTGTACACAGATATCTTATCTCTCCCATTACATTATAATGTATTTAAGGTGTCAGCCACTGGGAAAATCTGGGTACCTACCTTGCTCTGAACAGCAGTTTCTAACTGCAGCCAGGAAACCGTTCTCCACTCCCTCTAGCCCCAGCCTGCACAGCTCAGCAGTTTCTAACTACCCCTGTTCCTGGACAGAGATAGTTCCAAGGACATTTCTTATAATTTCTCAACACCTTCAACACTGCCTTCCTACAGTTCAACTGTTCTGTGTATCCAGACTATACGCCCTTCTGCTATTTCCCATAGCTATACACAATAAGAATCTCCTGCTCCCCTTCAGTCTCAGGTATCCCTGTCTCAATAAGGCAGCCTGTTGTCCCAAATTGCAATTCCTTAACCTGGAATAAATGCCTCATTTTATTTACTGATCACCGAGTCGGTCTAAATTTTTTTTCAGGTTGACAAAGGTCAAGTATCATGTCTTCTATTTTGTTTGAAATTCCCAATATAGCTTAGTTATTCAGGGCTCCCATGAGGCACTTAGCAAATGGCATTGAATGACAGCACTGTGGGATGCTAATTTGATCATGGGATGCATTAAGAGAGGCAGAGCTTCCAGAAACAAGGAAGTGATTGTTCCTCCATACTCTGCCCTGATCAGACCACATCTGGGACATCATGTTCAGATTTTGAACCATTTAAGAAGGACAAAAATGAGCAAACAGAGGAAAGAAGAAAAGAGAGTAAAGAGCATTGGGTCCATCTCATATGAAGATTGGTTGAGGGAACTAGAGATGTTTACCCTGGAGAAGATACAGAGGGGAATTATAGTTGTCTCCAAGCAGTTTAAAGGCTGGAATGTAGCCTTGTTCAGTTTGGCACCAAAAGGAGGGCAGAAATAGGAGCACTGGGTGAATGAATGGATGAATGAATTAAAAAAACATTAAGTTCTCACTAAGAAGATGCAAAAAGGCAAACTGATTCTCAATGTCAAGAAAAATTTCCCAGGAATCAAGATGGTGGAGAAAAAACAGGAATTCTCCTTGGCTCTCCCAAATTCCCCTCCAATCAACTTTAAATAATACTTCAAAATGAATTCTGGAGCAGCAGAACCCACAAACAGATGGGATGAAACAATTTTTCCAACCCAAGACAACTTGGAAGCTTTGCAGAAAAGGTCTGTTACACTGGGGTGAGAGTAGAGTGCAGTCCAATGCAGGCAAGGCCCAGTAAGATAGCAGCAGCAGGCTTTGGGGGCAACTGAATTGGCAGCAGTAGCTTCCAGAGCTCTCAGCCCATAGATGGTAAGGGGGTTTGACAACTAGTCAGAAGGAGATTACAAAGGGTTCCTTTGCTGGCACTGTGTGCAGGGCTCTGTTGCATTGCCCTTATGTAGATCTGGGGTTGCAGTCCCAAGGCAAGAAAGAGCACTAGCACTACCAGAACTTGTGGCCAAATGGGAGTAGGTGACCCTGGTCAAAGTCCCAAGGTGGAAAAGAGTGTTTGTGGCTATTCACAGATCAGAGCACAGGCCAAGGAGAGTAGCAAACACACCTCCTCTTAAATCATACCACCTTGGAAGAACTGAAAACTTACAGACTCCCTAGAACTAGTTCTGAAAACAGCTGCACAAAAAACCTGAAGCTTGGAATAGTGCTCCCTCTACCCCAGAAGCAGAGCTCAACTTTAATATAAAGTTAAAAGTCAAGAAGTAGGACGGAAAAATGAACAAACAACCAAAAAAGACCCTGAATACAAAAAGTTACTATGGTGACAGGGAAGAGCAAAACGCAAACTCAGAAGAAGACCACAAAGTCAAAATTGCTACATCCAAAGCCTCAAAGAAAATGTGAATTGGTCTCAGGTCCAAAAAGAATTCCCAGAAAAGCTCCAACAAAAAAATCAAATAAGAGAGGTAAATGAAAAATTGAGAAAAGAAATGACAGTGGTGCAAGAAAATCTTGAAAAAAAGAGTCAGCAGCTTGGTAAAAGGAGGCTCAAAAAATATGGAAGAAAAACAACACCTTAAAGAACAGAATAGGCCAAATGGTAAAAGAGGCACAAAAATCCAATGAGGAGAAGGAAGCCTTGAAAAACAAAATTGGCCAAATTGACAAAGATATACAAAAATTCACTGAGGAGACGAACTCCTTAAAAAGCAGAACTGGTCAAATGAAAAACTCATTGGAGAAAGCAATTCCTTAAAAATTAGAATTGGGTAAGTAGAACCTAATGACTCCATGAGACATCAAAAAACCATAAAACCAAACCAAAAGAATAAAAAAATAGAAGAAAATATTAAATACCTGACTGGAAAAACATTTGACCTGAAAACTAGATCAAGGAGAGATAATGTAAGAATTATTGTACTACCTGAAAGCCATGATAAAAAAAAAATAGAGCCTATACATAATCTTTCAAAAAATTATCAAGGAAAACTACCCTGATATCCTAGAACCACAGGGTAAAATAGAAATTGAAAGAATCCATCAATTGGCTCCTGAAAGAGATCCTAAAATGAAAACTCCCACGAATGTTATAACCAAATTCCAGAGTGTGAGAAGTAAGATTATATTTCCACAAATTATTATGGAATGATTATATTTCCATATAAGGAAATTGACAGGAAAGTAGCTCTAGGTCAGGAGCTTTAAGAACCAGCTAAAATAGAGTGAAACTGGTTGTCCGATTAAAGAGGCTGGAAGGAGGACAAAGGTTAAGCTTTACTTAGCGTGCACATGCTTGAAACTTCTCTAGGGGAACACGTGGTGGGTGTTTTGGGAAGTCTGTGACCTGCGCCGACTTCTACCAATGAAAGTGAGGTAGGAGGGACTCATGGCCAGTAATAGGAATATAAGGATTGCTCTCAATTCTGTAGGGGGTATGTGCTCATCTCAAGTTCTACACCTGCTTCCTGCGGGAAGCATATTAAAGGTTTCACTGCTTCATTCATCCTGAGTCTGTCTAACTTACTGTGCCTATTTGGGCACCAGACGTTACTTCCAACAAGAGCTCCCAGGTCAAGGAGAAAATATTGCCATCAATTAGAAAGAAATTATTCCAATATCATGGGGTCAACAGTCAGGATAACATGAGATTTAGCAGCTTCTACATGAAAGGTTTGGAGGGCTCAGAATATGATATTCCAGAGGAGAAAGGAGCTAGGATTACAACCAAGAATCACCTACCCAGCAAACCTGAGTATAATACTTCATAGGGGGAAATAAGCATTTAATGGAATAGAAGACTTTCAAGCATTCCTCATGAAAAGACCAGAGCTGAACAGAAAATCTGACTTTCAAATACAAGACTCAAGAGAAGCATAAAAAGGTAAACAGGAAAGAGAAATCATAAGGGATTCAATAAGGTTTACATTCCTTCTTGGGAAGATGATACTTGTAACTCCTAAGAACTTTCTCCTTTATTAGGGCAGTTAGAAGGAGTCTACATAGACAGAGGGCATGAGTGTCAGTTGAATATGATAGGATGATATCTAAAAAATAAAATTAACAGGTGAGAAAGAGGAATGCACTGGGAGAAGGGGAAAGGGGAAGGTAGAATAGGGTAAATTATCTCACATAAAAGAGACACAAAAGAGTTTTTACTGTGGAGGGGGAAATGGAGGAGGTGAGGGGAAGCACTTGAACCTTACTCTCATTGGAATTGACTTAAAGAGAGAATAACTGAAGAGCATACTCATTACTTGGGGAATGGCTGAACAAGTTGTGGTATATGATTGCGATGGAATACTATTGTGCTATGAGAAATGACGAGCACGATGCTCTAAGAAAAACCTGGTAAAATGTACATGAACTGATGCAAAGCAGAACCAGTAGGACGTTGTATACAGTAACAGCAATATTGTATGATGATCACCTGATAATGAATTAGCTATTCTCAGCAGTACAATGATCCAAGACAACACTGAAGGACTTATGATGAAAAATAGTATCCGCCTCCAGAGAGAGAATTGATAGAGTCTGGATGCAGATTGAAGTATACTTTTTTTTACTTTATTTTTCTTGGGGTGTTTTTTTTGGTGGGGTCTGTGTTTTCTTTTACAACTTGACTAATATGGAAATACGTTTTGCATTGACTGCATGTGTATAATCCATATCAAATTGCTTGTGTTCTCAATAAGGGAGGAAGAGAGGGAGGGAAAAGACAGAGGGAGAGAATTTGGAACTTAAAAATTTTTTAAATGAATCTTAAAAATTGTTTTTACATGTAATTGGGAAAAAATAAAATTTTAAAGAAATATGAAGAAAAAAAGAAAAAAATTCTCCAATACAGCTACAAAAAAATGAAATGGATAATGGGTCCCTCCTCATTGGAAGTCTTCAAGCAGAGAGCAGATGACCACTTTGGGGGATTTTATTTTAGGTATACAGTAGACTAGTTGGTGACTGAGGTCCTGCCCAACTCTAAAATTCTGTGATCACATGACTTTGCTACCACCTGTAACCTCCCCTTTGTCTCCCTTTTGGCCACAGAGGTTTTTTAAAAGGGAAGGCTGAAGGGAAGAAGCAAGGCTGAGTTATTACCCTTATAAAAATTAAGTAAACAGGGATCTGGAGCAGATAAATGGGCCCAGGGTGCTGGATGCAATGTTGGTAGAAAAATGAGATCCTGGAGTAGAAACAGGAAATTTGCATTCTGGAAAGAAATGAAAGGCTTTAAGTGAAAATTAGGGGAACAAGACATGATGCTACCTATAACAGAAAGAATAGCAGCTCTGGAATCACATGTTGTTGTTGTTTAGTCATTTTCAGTCACGTCTAATTCTTCACGATCCTATTTGAAGTTTTCTTGGCAAAGATATAGGAGTGATTTGCCATTTCCTTCTCCAGCTCATGTTATAGATAAGGAAACTGAAGCAAATAGGGTTAAATGATTTGTCCAAGGTCGCAGAGCTAGTAAGTGTCTGAGGCCAGCTTTGAACTCAGGAAGATGAGTCTTCCTGACTCCAGGCCCAGCACTCTATCCACTGTACCACCTAGCTGCCCACTGGAATCACAGTTCCTGTGTTCAAATCCCACATCTGATGGTAACTCCCAGTGTAACCTTAGGCAAGTCACTTACCTCTCTGGGCCTCAGTACCCTTATATGTCAAACGAGAAAGTTGGACTAGTTGGCCTTTGAGGGCCCTTCCAGTTCTAGATGTGTGATCCTATGATTCATATATACATACATATATATATATATATGATATATATACATACATATATATATATATATGTATATATACATCTATGTACATATGTATGCATGTGTATTTCCAGCCCTGGCCTCTTGTCATGGATTCAACCTGGACATCAAACACCCCATTATCTTCCAGAACAATGTGGCTGGTTTTGGGCAGAGCGTGGTCCAGTTTAAAGAATCTCGGTAAGTATTGCTGGATACTGTACTTTTCCCTTCCTGGCTTTCTGGGCTCAAGTCCCATAAGCTGAGCCGGGAGCATCATTTTGCTCCTTCCACCAGGGGTACCCTGAGACTATCCTTTGTTGAGAATGTGAAACTATCCTTGAATGCTCAGCACCATCATTCTAGGACACCCCAAAGTGGTATTTTGGGGGGTTGGTTATGAGAGCAAGCGGGGGTGGAGGGACAGATCACATGTTAGACCTGAAGATCAAGTTTTACCCCCACTGGCAGCTTTCCCAGCAACTGAAAGAATGGGGGAAATGGAATAAATGTGCCAACCTATTTCCGTACTTCCCTTTTTTTTTTTTTGGCTCAGTTCTCACACTAACCCTCCTAAGAAAGAGCCATGAACTCTAATAATGCCCTTTTTATGTTCTTGCATGAGTGCCAACATTTTAATCATTTAATCATAAATATCTTATCTTTTCCCTTTCAACCTCTGATTACATGCCGATATTCCCTCTATGTCCCCAGCCTCGTGGTGGGAGCTCCCTTGGTGAGGATTTCTGCCAACCAAACAGGGAGACTCTACGAGTGTAAATATGGTACTGAAAGATGTCTGCCCATCCCCTTACAGAGTGAGTACCTGTCACCCTTGTTTTCATTTCTTACCTCCTCATTGGTCTCCCTCCCACAGGTCTCTCCCCACTCCAATCTTCCACCCAGCTGCCAAAGTGATTTTCTTAAAGCACATGTCTGACTGTGCCATTTCCCTGCTCAATCAACTTGAGTGGTTCCCTATCACCTCTGGGATGAAATACAGCCTCCTCTATTTGTCATTCAAAGCCCTCACAATTTGACTTCAACCTACCCTTTTTAGGCTTATTATATGTACTACTCCCCTTCAGACATTCTTGAGTCCAGTCAAACTGGCCTTTTGGCCGTTTGTCACACATGGTGCTCAATCTCCTATGTCTGTGCTTTTGCACAGGCTGTCCCCCTTTGTCTGGAATACATTTCCTTACTCCTGCCTCTTAGAATCCCTAATTTCCTTCAAAATTCAATTTAAGAACCACTTTCTAAAAACTCTTTCCGGATTCACCTTCCCCCAAATATGTTTTTATATGCATCTATATCTGTATTTATATTTACATGCATACTCTCATTTGGGCAGCTAGGTGGCTGCAATGGATAGAGTCCTGGGCCTAGAGTCAGAAGAACTCATCTTCCTAAGTTCAAATCTGTTCTCAGACACTTACTAGGTCTATGACCCTGGGCAAGTCATTTAACCCTATTTGTCGTGGTTTCCTCATCTGCAAAATGAGCTGGAGAAGGAAATGGCAAACCACTCTAGTATCTCTGCCAAGAAAACCCCAAGTGGGGTCACAAAGAGTCAGACACACTGAAATGACTGAATAACAACAACAACAACAAGATGTAAATTTAAGTTTCACAAGAGCAAGGACTGTTTCATTTTTGTCTTTGTATATCCAGCACCTGGACCAATGCCTGGCATGTAGTGCATACTTAAAGAAATGATTGTTAACTTGGAGAGCAAGGAATAGTTTACCTATCAGATCTATGGGGAACAGAAGAATTCATGACCAAACAGGAGATAGAGAACATTATGAAAAGCAAAATGGAGCATTTTGATTACATTAAACTGAAAAGTTTTTGCACAAACAAAGCCAATGCAACTAAGATTAGAAGGAAGGTAGGAAATTGGAAAAGAATTTTTACAACCAGTCTCTCTGACAAGGGTCTCATTTCTAAAATATATAGAGAATTAAGACAAATTTATAAGAATACAAGCCATTCCCCAATTGATAAATGCTCAAAGGATATGAACAGACAGTTCTCAGATAAAATGCTCTAAATCATTATTGATTAGAGAAATGCAAATCAAAACAACTTGGAGGTACCACATCACACCTATCAGATTGGCCAACATGACAAAACAGGAAAATGATAAATGCTGGAGAAGATGTGGGAAAATTGGAACATTAATGCATTGTTGGTGGACTTGTGAAATGATCCAACCATTTTGGAGAACAATTTGGAACTATGCCCAAAGGGCTATAAAAATGTACATACCCTTTGACCCAGCAACAGCACTTCTAGGGCTATATCCCAAAAAGATCATACAAATGGGAAAAGGACCCACATGTACAAAAATATTCATAGCAGCTCTTTTTGTGGTGGCAAAGAATTGGAAATTGAGAGGATGCACATCAATTGGGGAGTGGCTGAGCAAGTTGTGGTATATGAATGTAATGGAATACTACTGTGCTATAAGAAATGATGAACAGGCTGACTTCAGAAAAACATGGAAAGACTTGTATGGTCTGATGCTGAGTGAAGTGAGCAGAACCAAGAGAACGTTGTACATAATAACAGCCATACTGTTCGACGACTAATATTGATAAACTTAACCCTTCTCAGCAATACAAGAATCTAAGACATCTCCAGAGGCCTCGTGATGGAAAATGCTATCCACATTCAAAGAAAGAACTATGGAAGTTGAATTGCTATCTTTTTTTTTCTCTTCTGTTGAGTTTTATTTCCTCTTTCTGATGGTTCCTCCTATCGGTTTTAATTTTTACTTAAAATGTCACTAATGTGAAAATATGTTTAATAGGAATGTAAATGTATAGCCTATATCAGATTGTGCGCCGTCTTGGGGAGGGTGGTGGGGAGGAAGGGGAGAAAAATTTTCAACTCAAAAGCATATGGAAGTGATTGTTGATAAATCAAAATAAATTAATTTAAAAAATTTTAAAAAAAAGAAATGATTGTTAGTTGATTGATTACACGCAGCAGATCTCTGCACCCAGGAAGCTAAGTTGGGTCAGGGATTTGGAACATCAGGAAATCTGGTTTGGATTAAGGTTTAGAGCTCAGAAAAGGACAACAAAGTAATGAAAATTAAAGTCCTGGGGTCAGGGACAATGTCCTTAGATTGGTTCAGAGAAGAAACTAAATTCCCTATACAGTAACCCAGTTCAGTGAATCCTAAGGCCCGGGGCTGGATACTTCTTATGCTGCCCTCACTCATAGATGAAAGGTTAATTCTTTTGTTCTTAAGTCCCCCATCTCCCTCCTTAAAATGAAGTTCCTCATCCACTTAGGTCCCTATACACTGTTTATAGGTGTGACTGTGCATATCTGACCATTTATGTATGTCTGTGTCTCCCCAGTCCCCCAAGAGGCAGTGAACATGTCCCTGGGACTCTCTCTGACTGCTGATACAGACTCCTCACAACTACTGGTAAGTTCCCAGGTCACAGGACAACTAGGGTTCTGTAGGGTGGGAGGGGTGGGGGACCAAAGGATACAATATCTGGATGTGGAAAAAGTTGGCAAATGGGAAAAGAATCACGTCAAGTCAACAAGCATTCATTAAGTGCCTACTATACGTCAAGTACTGTGCTAAGCATTGGAAACACCAAGCCAAAAAAAAAAATCACCTCCTCTCAAAGAACTCACAGTCTAATGAGGGAGATAACATGCAGAGAACTATGTACAAACAGGTATAGATAGGATAAATTGGTGTTAATCTCAGAAGGAAAGCACTGAGATTAAGGAGGCCTGGGAAAGGCTTCTTGCTAGAGCTTGGGTAGAATACCTTGACACAGGGGTCAGTCCCTTCCCCTCAAATCCATCTTCTCCCCAGGCCTGTGGACCTACAGTACACCAAACCTGTGGGAAGAACATATACATGAAGGGTTTCTGTTTTGTGCTGGATTCAAAGGTACAACAATGTAAGACAATTCCAACAGCCCTACAGGGTAAGTCATAGTAGGGTGACCATATTCCTGTGAATGATGACTGCATTTTTCCAAAACCAAAAATTGGGACATGTCTTCTAACCAAAAATATTCTTTCTGTAGTATCTCATTACAAATACCTTTTCTTGAAACTGGGACCATTGTGGAAAATTGGAGATCTATGGTCACTGTATATATGGGAGGCACAAACCATTTATGTATTCTGTATTCAATATATGATACCTAGGTGTTTCAGCAGAGAGCCCTGGGTCACAAGGAGTTCAAGTATAGGGCAAACCTGTCTATATGTCTGGCTACTCTAGGACTCATCAAACCTAACTCTGGGAATCCTGGCAGAGGCTCCTAGGGTCCTATGCCAAAGCCCAAACCCATACTCTTCATTGAAGTGATGGAAGGGAATCTAATATTCTGATGTCATGGTGGAGGAACTCTGGTATAGTAGGAGGAAGCAGGGACTGGGGAAAGGAGTAGGAACTCTTTCCACTGGACTAGGAGTACTTATCTTCAAGGGCAAAGGTTCTGCTTTGGCCAGTGTTGAAAAGTCCCTACTCTAAGGAGCTACCGATGATTTGAAGAGTTTAAGCAGTAGGTATACATAAAGGTAAGGAGGAGATTCCTACATGGGGTGGGAGGTTGGGTCTAAATTACACCTAAGAGATTCCAACTCAAAGACCACCATGATTCTATTTGGAAAGAAAATTTTCTATCAGGAGACTTCATTGACCAATTTGTGACTCTTATGCCTCTCCCTTTTCATACTCAGAGTGTCCAAAGCAAGAAAATGACATTGTCTTTTTGATTGATGGTTCTGCCAGCATTGAGTCCCATGACTTTCAGCAAATGAAGAGTTTTGTCAGAGCTGTAATTGACCAGTTCAAAGAAACCAACACCCAGGTGAGGCCTGGGAGAGAAAGGTCTGATTTCCACTATCTGTGGATCACAGGTGGCATGGCAGCTAAGTTCACTTTACTATGAGAATGGGGATTTTGGGTGGTTGGAAGGAGGATGGATGAATGATTTTCTGGGTTGGGACTAGAGAGCAGTGGAGGCCACTGCCACCTTTCCAACCTCCTCCTCTTGGTTTTTCCAGTTCTCATTGATGCAGTATTCAAACCTACTTAAAATACATTTTACTTTTTTGGACTTCCAAAAGAGCACCAACTGGGGAAAGCTAGTGGATCCAATTCTGCAGCTGAAAGGTTTGACCTACACTGCCACTGCCATCAGAAAAGTAGTGTAAGTCCCCTCCTTCTTACATATTGCTTTCACTTGGACCTCTTGCATCTTGGTGATCCACTGACTGTTTCACTCTCTCCCTAACCTCAAAATTGGTGTTGTCCTATCTGCCTTGTCAGCCTCTTGATAGAAGACACCTGGGGCCTGCTAGGAAAAAGTGGCACTAGGAAACAATGAAGGTGCCAAATGAAGCAGCTTTAAGTGCTGTGCTCTCCCAAGTTTTCTGATGTAGGAATTAACCACTACCTTGGAGTATTTTACCTCCTCGTGATTCAGGAGAAGCTGACCCATGACTAATCCCAACAACGAGGACTCAGCTTCGACCATGGACTCAGGGAATAGGACAGTAGTGACAGTTATTCTCTCAGGAATATAATCCAGTAGCCATTTAATAATAACAATAATATTAATAATGATAAATAACATTTACATGTTGACTATGTGCCAGGCACTACACTAAGGGCTTTACAATTATTATCTCATTGATCCTCACAACAACCCTGGGAGGTAGTTGCTCCTCATTTTACAAATGAGGAAACAGAGGCAAACAGAAGCTAAGTGACTTGCTTGGGATCACACAGTCAGTAAGTGTCTGAGGCTAGATTTGAACTCAGGTCTTCCTAACATCAGGCTCAGAGCTCTCTCCACTGCACCACCTATGCTTGCCTAGAAATTAAGGTCTGTGGGGCTAGAAAAGAAGAAAATACAGTTTCTGTCCTAAAGAAGTTACTCTTAAAATTCTACAGAACACAAAGTAATGTCATCATCTAGAGCTGGACATTTCTTAGGACTATCTGTCCTCACCACCTCTCCTGTCCCCCCAAAACAACACTGTTTCACTTTTATAGTCAGATATTCTGGTACCCCTCTCCAGAAGCAACTGTTACTCTTTTACTTTTTCTTTCCAACAAAAGTCATGTCTTTGTTCAGTAGGAAAAGAAAAAATCCCCAAGAGGGTTTGTCTCTTTCTTTTCCTTGGGTAGAACTGAATTATTTCAAAGCTGGAATGGAGCTCGGAAAAATGCCACTAAGATCCTCATTGTAATCACGGATGGAGAGAAATACAAAGACGAGCTACAATATAAAGATGTCATCCCCCAGGCAGACCAGGCAGGAATCATCCGATATGCAATTGGGGTATGGGCCCCATTTTTCCCATCTATTGCTTTTCCCCAAAGTAGGATACTCATTCCCCTTTTAGAGAAAGGCACATCTTCCCCCTACCTTTGGTCCCTGCAATTGCTATCCCTGCCCTTTCCTGGCAGGCAGCAATTCTTCCTAAGAAAGCCCCATCCTTCAGCCACGAAAGTCTCTCCTCATCAGACTCTGCCACTGTTTGCTGATACTAGGTAGGAGATGCTTTTGAGTATGTCAGCGCCCGGGAGGAACTGAACATAATTGGATCAAAACCTGCAAATGAACATGTGTTCCGAGTGAATAACTTCAGTGCTCTAAAGAACATCCAGGAGCAGCTTCAAGAGAAGATCTTTTCCATTGAGGGTAGGTTGTAACCCTGGTTCACTGGCAGAATGAAGTTATCCTGATCCCATGTCTGACTCCAAATTCCATTTTTTGGCACTTAAAACTTCTCCATCTCCCTCCAACCTACCTTTCCAGGTGCATCCCATTCCTGCAATCTATGGTCCAGCCAAAATGGCTTTCTTGATATGTTCCTCACATATGACAATATGACTCCAATTTCCATGCTTTTCTCCATCCTTAGAATGCACTCCCTCCTCATTTCCCTCCTCTAAAAATCCTTAGTTTCCTTCAAATCTTAGCTCAGGTTCCATGACCTACAAGAGACCTTTTCTGAGGCCTCCATGTGCCAATGACTCCCCTCCCCAAAATAGTTATCTTGCATCAATTTTGTATGAGTTACTTGATGGCAGAGATTGTCTGATTTCTGTCTTTGTATCCTCAAAACCTAGTACTGTGCCTGGCACTTAATTGGTACCTGATCAGTGTGGATTGATTGATTGATTGATTGATTGATTGATTACTCCAGTCCCAGTCCCTAGTCTTGATAGATTTCTTGTCATGACCTGGTCTCTTCAGGCAAAAAGTTGGAAGTAGTATTCACAACATTTGCTCCTGAGAATGAAATACCAGCTGTCAACTTCAAAGCTTGTCCTCCCCACTCATTTTCAGCCTTTAAAGTTTCCAGGGCCTCTCAGAATCAGGTGTGTTATATCCCCACAGGTACTCAGTCTGGAAGCAGTATCTCCTTCCAGCATGAGATGTCTCAGGCAGGCTTCAGTGCTGCCCTTACACCTGTGAGTGAGTCCCCCACTAAGCGAGGGTTATGTGGGGATGGGAAAGGGAGGGGGGAATTACAAGCAAGTATGGGGGAGATTAAAAAAAAAAACTGTGGCCATGACGGGTGCTTCTTCTGGGGATGGGATATTTCCATGATCTCAAGACCTCTAGATCCAACATGTTTTTTGGTCTCAGATGGGACCAGTCCTGGGAGCTGTAGGGAGTTTCGATTGGTCTGGAGGTGTCTTCTTATACTCCCCAAATCAAGGCCCTGTCTTTATCAAGACATCCAAAGAGGACATGAATGATGCTTATCTGGGTAAGGAAAACTGTGAAAGAAAAAAAAGAGAGAGAATGGGGAGTATAGGGTGGGAAGAGAAAGCTCTTGTGTCTGGGAAGAGCAGTGCTTCCCTGGATGCCCCCTCCCCATCCCATCAGGGGAGCAGAAGACAAAAGGCATGAGGTAACTATAGGGATCCACAGGCGCTTTGTCTCTTCAGGTTACTCTGCTATGGTAGCCATTTGGAATGGAGTTCAGAGACTTGCCCTGGGGGCCCCTAGATACCAGCACACAGGAAAGGCTGTAGTCTTCACCAATGTTGGTGGCACCTGGGAGCAGGAGGCTGAAGTCGAAGGGACACAGGTAAAGAATTAAGAGCCTGGGGTTATGAGGAAGGAGCAGAGGGAAGAGACAGAGAGAGACAGAGAAGAAGCATGGGAGAGAGGGAGAGCCAGAGATGCCATGTGAGTATGAGTGTGTGTATGTGTGTGTTTTCTGGGGCTAAGTGGACTTTGGAACTCCATGGAAGAAGGCTCTTGAATTTGGGGAAATAGAAGGATCATAGTGGCTCTATTTCTTTGGAAGAGAGAGGGCAATATGACTTCAGAATCTGTCATTCCAGGTAGGATCCTATTTTGGAGCAACCCTATGTCCCATTGATGTGAACAGAGATAACAACACTGACCTGATCCTCATTGGAGCCCCCTATTACTACGAACAAAAACGAGGAGGCCAGGTGTCCATTTGTCCCATACCTCGGCAGGTAAGGGAGTTAATGGGGGATAGGGAGTCTGGTTCTTGGGTGGGAATGAGTATCTAAAATACATGGTTTGAAGATTACCTGAGTTTCAGAGCTTGTCACAATTTTCATTTTCCAGAGGGCCAAGTGGAACTGTGAAGCTGTTCTCCGGGGGCAGCAGGGATACCCCTTGGGCCGTTTTGGGGCAGCACTGGCAGTGGCAGGGGACACGAATGGGGACGAAATAACAGATGTAGTGGTGGGGGCACCTGGGGAGGAAGAAAACCAGGGAGCCATCTATTTGTTTCATGGTGTGTCTGGATTTGGTATCAACCCTTCCTATAGCCAGGTAAGGCATGATTCCCAGACATATGTCATCTCAGAATTGGGAGGGATTTTTGAGGCCACCTAGTCACCTTCATTTATGCCTTCATCCAAGTCACTGACAAAAATGTCCAACAAAATAGGCCAAAACTCTAGGCATTTGATTAGAGACATCATTAATTCAGCATGATTAGCAAACATGTCTCATGTGCCTACTACATGTACTTCATGAAATACGCTATGCGTTATATATTGTGAACTATATTAGGTGCTAGGGAAACTGAAATCAGGAAAAAAAAAAAACTAAATCAGTCCTACCTTCAAAGAGCTCACATTCCACTGGGGAAAAATCAATACTGTTTTGATCTGAAAATCCATAATTCAGTTCAGTAAACAATTATTAATTCCCTATTATGTTGAAGAAACTGTGCTACGTGCTGGAAGTATATTAAAAATGACATAGTTCCTTCCCTCAGGGAGTTTATGTTCTATGACTAGAAATATTGCATGGACACAGATAAGTGTATTACATGATCCAGACAGATTTGATAAAGAAGAGTGGCCACTTTCAGCTGTAGGAATTAGGGAAGGCTCCCTGGAGGAGGTGGCACCTAAGCTAAGCATGGAAGGAAAAAAAGAATTCTAAGAGGCAGAAATGAAGGCATGGGAGAGAGCCTATGCACATGCGCAGAAGCAGAAGTGACATATCAAGTTAAGGGAATTGCTAATAATCTGGTTTAGTTATAATGGAGAATGGAAAAAGGAGAATGAATATGAAATGAGTCTGGAAAGGTAAATTGGAGCCAGATTGTAAAGGGCCACCAAACTTCCCATGATCTCTGATCCTATTTCAATTTCACTCCAAGAGAATAAGTGGTTCCAGCCTTTCTCCCACACTCCAATATTTTGGGCAGTCAGTGAGTGGGGGACAAGACCTCACCCCAGGATGGACTTGTGGATGTGACTGTGGGAGCCCAGGGACAGGTGCTGCTGCTCAGGTGAGAAAAGCCCCCACCCCCTTCCCTTCTGTTTTCCAGTCACCAATATACTGCTTCTAAATACCTTACTCTGCTTCCAGAACCCGTGTATTCTGTTCTTGGTCACTGTTTTATACCCCATAGGACATGTCCAGTCCTGAAAGTTGAAGTGTCAATAACATTCACACCTCCAGAGTTGGCAAGATCTACATTTGAGTGTTGGGGACAGGCTACCAACCAGGAAGCAGGGGCTGCTGTAATTTGCCTCACTATTTACAAAAGTATTCCAGACCAGTTGGGTGAGTCTTCTAACAACAGACCTGGCGATCGCCATCTCTCCTATACTATCATTCAGCTCCTCACTAACATAGGAATACTTCTCTAGACTGAAGAGTTCCAGACTCGGTTATCTCTACTTCCTGATTTCACTTTCAGGTGATGTCCAAAGCTCTGTGGCTTATGATCTTGCTCTGGATGCTGGACGCCTGAGTCCTCGTGCCATATTTGATGAGACAAAGAACTGGACACTAAATCGAATTAAAACGCTGGGACTAGGGAATCACTGTGAGAATGTGAAACTGCTGTTACCAGTGAGTCTAGAGTAGAATGTCTGGATTTTAGAAGGAAAGAGAAGTGTTGAGGAAAGCACATTTGAGGAGCGGAACACCTGCACTCTGGTTGGAGGGTGGGTGAAGGTGGTAAAAGATGGAGAGTAGGCAAGGGGAAAAAAGAAGGGCAGAATACTTGGCACCCAAGAGAGGTTAAAGGCTTGGAAAAGCAGAGGTAATGGCCTCATGTGCACAAGAAAGAAGGAAATGGAGACCATGCCTCAATTTGAAAAGACAGTGAGGTCAAAGGAGAGATCAACAGACTGAGAGCCAATGTTCCTCAGTTCATCGATGTTTATTTTTTCTCAGTATTGTGTGGAGGACTCAGTGACCCCTATCAGTCTGCGCCTCAACTTCTCTCTGGTGGGACAACACATCCCCTCATCTGGGAACCTCAGACCTGTTCTAGAAGTGGGTTCCCAGGACCTCTTTACTTCCCGTGTGAGTATTTAGTATATGCTCAAGAGTTTACAGTGGCTCGTTTTTGCCTACCTACTGAATCAACCCAAAGTTCCTCTGCCTGTTATTTAAGGTCTTCCATACTCTGTTCTTCATCTTACACATCCAAACTTATTTCATGCTGTTCTCTAAAGCAGATTGATGTGTCAGTCTCACTGTCCTTAATGTGCCATCTTGCGCTTCTCTCCTGGTATGCCCTTCCTAGCCTGCCTATCTAAATCCTACCCATTCTTCAAGGTCTCGGGACTTCTTGAAGCTTCCCCTTAACAGCTCTAGCCTATGTTGATTTCTCCTTCCTCCGAAATCCTGTTGCACATAAAATAAGTACCAAACTATTTAACACTAGTTTCCTAATTTTTTTTCAGTATCTGTCAGTATTTTCTTCCAGTTCAAAGATTTTCTCATCAAAATTATAACTAGGGATAGACCAATATGGCTTTGTACCAGTCTGCCAACATCCTGTGGTTGATGTTCCTTCATGTTCTGTTGTCCTCATTGTTCTCCCATGGCTTGCTGGCTCAGTACTTCACAGTGTTCTGCAGACCCTCTGCCATGAAGTGCCATGAAGGATCTGCCCTTCTGCCCTTCCATTATCACACTTCCCACCTCTTCCTTCTCCTCTTCCCAATTCCAATCTGGGGGAGGGAGTGAGCAAGAGATAGCTTGGTGGAACTCCTCAGCACACCCACTTTGGGGACTTTTTACAATTACACACACACACACACACACACACACACACACACACACACACACACATACTATTATCTCCTCTAGAGTGACTCAGTGCTATTGCACCATGGGTGTAATAGGTCTCCTCTTCTTCTAACCCCACTGCCTGCCTCCTCCATCATCCTGTGCCTCCTTCCTGGGGTTAAAACCTTCTTCTGAATTTGTCCCAGGCACTGGAATTCCTAATTCCAATTTTGCTTGTCCTAGTTTTCCTTTGAATATCCCCCAGTGTGGAGTATTAGATATCCTTGTTCACTGAGGTAGCCAGAATCTCTAGGTTCTAAAAGGGTTAGTGAAAAGATTGGAGATCAAGATTCAGATATGGGATATGAAGAGATTAGGAAGGCATTTTCTTTGCAGCTCCCCTTTGAGAAGAACTGTGGAACAGATCACCTCTGTGAGGACGACCTTGGCATTACCTTCAATTTCTCTGGGTAAGTGAACTATTTTATCTGTCCTCCAATCCATTCACTTTATAATCTCTGTTACTTTTCCAACACTCTTCCAGTTTTTCTTCCATTTCAACTGTGCCTGCTACCATCATCTTTTAATTTATTCTGCTGCCAATTCTTAAGTTAATTCCATATTTTCACCACTAATCTGGAAACTCTGTTTTACCAACCTTAAAATATGAGATAAATGCTAGCCCTTATTATTGTTGCTACTGTATTATCTCCTTGTCCCAACATGCCTTGGGTGCACCCAGTTTACCCTTCATTTCTGTCAATTTTTTTCCTGATTAAACTTTTTCCTTTAATCCCTTCAATGTGTCTATCATCAATTTTACTGTGTTCCACAATGGAGACAGGACAATTGGTCTACAGGTCATGAAAGCAGCAATTGTTGCCAGGAACTTTGAAAAGGGCAACTGTGTCACCCTCAGAGGATGCCTAGAGCCAGGCTATATAAAGCACTCTCGTTGAAACTTCTAGATCAGAGTTTCTAAACTGGTTCTCCCATTGCTGAGGTGACTGTGTCAGGAGGGAGAGCCAAGACAGCCAAAAGAACTGCATTCTTGGATGTAGCTTCTGTATTCTCTTACATTTGCCTGTGCCAAATGTTGCAAGATCCTGGCAACAGGAGTTTGTGGCACCCTGACATTTTATCTTGAGGGATTTCTAATTTTGTTTCTAGTGCAACTGTTGACATCATTTCAGCATATCTTTGTTCTGACGTTTTGGCCTCGTATTCTTTTATTTTATAATGCTGCCCCCTCCATTTTATCAGAGTGCTTTTTTCCCTACTATCATTATTTTTAATGGTCTTAAATTTTCATGAGGATTTCAGACAGTTTTGCTTCTTTGGGGCATTTCTATTGCTACTTCTGTAAAGGGTCATGAGGAGGTAAACTCTCTTATGACTTCTTACTTGGTCATCTCTCTGGGTCTTGTATTACATTCATACATCAGACATCCCAGCTTTGAAATCAAGAAACCTGCCAGCCTCTGGTTCTTCCTACAACCATACTTCAACGCTTATTGCAAAATTCTGAATTCCTCATGTCAAATCAAGGCAAGGCAAGAAGCATTTATTAAACACCTATTGTGTGGTAGGCAAAGAAAGGCAAAAATAGTCCCTTCTCTCAAGGAGAGTTCACAATCCAATGGGAGGGAGACAATATGTAAACAACTATGTATAAGCCAGATGTATACATAATAAATTGGAGATAATCTCAGGGGGAAAGCACTAATATTGAGGAAGATCAGGAAAAGCTTCTTTTAGAAGATGAGATTTTTAGCTGAGACTTAAAGGAAGCCAAGAGGCAAAGGTGAGGAGAGAGGGACTTCTAGGCATGGAGGAGAGTCAAAGAAAATGCCTGGAATAAAGAGACAGAGTGCCATGTACAAGAAAACAGTAAGGAGACTATATATTTTCACAGCCCCTATCCCTTATTTCCACGTTCTTCCGCAGACATCAGCCCCCGTGGTATATGAAAGTAATAGAATATTATTGTGCTATAAGAAATGATGAGCAGGGCAGCTAGGTGGCGCAGTGGATAGAGCACCGGCCCTGAAGTCAGAAGAAGCTGAGTTCAAATGCGGCCTCAGACTAAACACTTGACACTTACTAGCTGTGTGACCCTGAGCAAATCACTTAACCCCAATTGCCAAAAAAAAAAAAAGATGATGAGCAGGCAGACTTCAGAAAAACCTGGAAAGATTTATGTGAACTGATGCTGAGTGAAGTGGGCAGAACCAGCAGAACATTGTACATAGTAACAGCCACACTGTGCAATGACTAACTTTGATAGACTTAGCTCTTCTCAGCAATGCAAGGATCTAACAACTCCAAAACACTCGTGATGGAAAACCCATCATGAGGCTATCCTCATCCAGAGAAAGAACTTAGGAGTGTGAATGCAGATGGAAGCATACTATTTGCTCTCTTTTTCCTTTGCTGTTGTGTTTTATTGCTTCATTCTCATGATTGCTCCCATTAGTTCTAATTCTTCTTTACATCACGACTAATGTGAGAATATGCTTAATATGAATGTACAAGTAGAGCCTATATCAGAGCGTATGCCATGTTGGAGAGAAGGGAGGAGAGGAAGGGGAGAAAATTTAAAACTCAAATTCTTATGGAAGGGAATATTGAAAACTAAAAATTAAGTAATTGCTAAAAAAAGGAAATCAGCTCCCAAACTTAATCATGACCCCTAATACTAAGCCTTTCTCCTTGTAGCCTACAGACTATGGTGGTTGGAATGATCTGGAGTTGAATGTGACAGTGACGGTGACAAATCAGGGGGAAGATTCTTACAGGACCATGGTGACCTTCTTATATCCCCCAGGACTGTCCTATCGACGAGTATCAGTGACCCAGGTAAACATCAAATTCGTATGAGAGTGTCTTCCTAATCTCTCTCTCTCCTCCCCCCAGCTACCTCGTTCCTCTGCATTGTCTTCCAATTGTTTCTTTGTTGTCTCTTACAACCGACCAGAGCTGGCATCCTCGCAATCTGTGCGTCTTGCATGTGAGGCAGCAGCGCCAGAGAACAAGGCCCTGAAAGGTACTGGCTGCAGCATCAATCACCCCATCTTCCAGGAAGCAGCTAAGGTTAATACCTCCTACTTTCCCATTCTCTCTGTCTCTCTCTGTCTCTCTTCCTCCTCTTTTCTCCTTCCTTATTTTCTTCTCTTCCTCTTGGTTCATGGTCCTCTCTGTCCTGCTGTTTCCTTCTCATTGTTAGTTTTTTCCTTTTTGTGACCTACTCTTACAGATTCCAATTTAATAATAATTAATGTTTATTAATATTTGTCCAATATTCAGAAAAACACTTATAAAATTAGGTGAATTAGGGGCAATTCTTCCTATCACAAAGGAATTCTTCCCCTTCATGGTTCTTTTAAATGGAAAATTCCCCTATTACTTTCAAAATACGACTACAGTAATTGACATGTGATTTTACAACAAGCTCATCACATGATCTATGTGTACTTCTATAGTGACTTCCAGGGAACTATACATATGTATGTACTAGGGAATTATGTTTTATAGGATGCTATTTGAAATGAATGAGCAATCAGCTGGGATTGGGAAATGTTTTCATTACATAAAGCCTTACATTGTAATCACAACATAAGTTTGGTCCCTAGAACCAAAAACAGAGTTTACCTTGGTGGCCTCTCTCCATAATAATCTCTCTAATTCACTTTGACCTCACCCAGAAACACCAGGATTTGGCTCAGGACATCAGATACAGGATAGGTTTTACTTAATCTCAAACACACAAAAAATGCAAAATGAACTTAGTTAGCCCTGAACTCTTTTTTATAATTGTGAACACTCTTTTCTAATTTTCTGAATAGCCTGTGCCACATTCCCTCTGGACTTGACTCACAGGATCAAGGATGACCCAGGCTAAATTATTCTTCAGAACAAATGCTCTGCTTTGCCAATCCTTATGTTTTAGTTTTATGGACCTCTCTTCAGGGCCAAGACTGAGCATCTCTATTTTATATCCTTCCAAGTCGCCATGTAGTGCCAGACCTTAAATGCACAAAATTTCCTGTAGAGGCCAAGTAGAAATATTAACTTCTCTGCAGTTCCATGTACAGCATTGCATGCTTACGTATGCATTTCTCCCCTTTCTATCAACTCCTTTGGAGGACCTCTCTGAAGAGTCTGGTGTCTTTTCTCTTAGTAGGACTTCTCTTTTCTCTGAACTTCTTTTTGATTCTCCTTCTGATGAGTCCTCATCTCCTTTTAAAAACCACATCCAAGGGCCAGCTCGAGATGTGGAACTTTATTAACAATAACAGCAGGTCAGTAACACTGACTGGAATGTTCCATGAAAAAAAGCCAGTGAGTCAAAGACGACCCAAGCCTAGGACAATTCACCTCATTCTGAAAACTGTGAGGAGAAGTGAGAGAAAGAGGGTTACTTCTGGAAGCATACCCACTACCTAATGGTATAACCAGATTTAATTGTTACGCATTTCATTTCAGAGAGTCTGAAATAAGCACTTGCTATGTGATTAGTGTGCTAGGTACTTATAGGGAATTCAAAAGAAGCAGAGGATATGAAGAATTTATATTTTTAGTGATTTCCTGCTCCTTCCTCCCTTAGGTCACTTTTGTAGCCACATTTGATATCTCTCCCACTGCCACCCTTGGAGACAAAATGCTCATGAAAACTAAAGTGAGCAGGTGAGCCCAAAATGCATGGAACTTCTTCCCTCTCAGTTCATGTTACCTCCAAACCACTCCTCCTCTGAAGCCCCACCAGATGTTTCCATTCAATTGAACTAGCATGTATTAAGCATATACTAGGTACCAGGCACTGTTCTAGGTGCTAGTGACACAAAGGTGTTTTTTTTTTAATAATCCTTTCCTCCAAGGAATTTATGTTCTATTGGGGCGAAACAACATATATAAAGATAAGTAAATACAAAACAATTTGGAAATGAAGGAATCAGAATGTGATTCTTATGGGAGGTGGCCACAAAAGGTACAGATGAAGAGTAAAAGCATTCCAGGCATAGGGGAATATGTGCGAAGGCTGGGATGACCTACCTTCTCTTTTCCTACAGTGAAAATAACACACCTAAGTCCAACAACACCACCTTTCAGCTGGAGGTACCAGTGAAGTATGCTGTCTACTTGGTAATCAGCAGGTATCAGCTCTCTCGGTCACTGACAAGACATGTGCCTTGGCATCAACTCCCACTTTATACTCACAGCCTTCTTTTGGCATGAAACCACTGCTTCCTTGTACTTGTTGTTTAAATCTCAAAGTGGATTTGCTCATTTAAGATCAGGAGTTTTCTGAATTATCTGATGTGGGATGCTCATACTCCTAAGTAGGATGTGGCCTGAAGCCACACAGAGGAAGGGAAAGAATAGGGTTCCTGTGAAACTAAGGAGAAGCAAGAGGTGTTAATACTGTCAGGGAGGTCACCAAAAAAAAAAAAGGCAAAGCTTCAGAACTGGGATAGATTATACCAAACAACTGTGGCTAACCGGTTCTGGGACCAATATTCTGGATAAAAGAAAGTGACAGAGGGAGTGCCAAAGAGACTGTGAAAGGAGGGGAGAACCCAGAAAGAGTTGAAAGGAAAACTATTTTTAAAACCAAGATACTAGACCAGAGATGAGTCAATATTGTCAAGTGACATAGGCTGGTGCTGCCAACCTCTATTTCAGGAATGCATGGGACTAAAAAGATTTCTAGTCTCCTTACTTGTCTCAAATTTGGGTATTGGGGCTTCTTTTTTTTTTTAGGATTTTATCTGGTTTGGGCTGTAAGGGATATTGGGGTTCTTGTGAAGGAGAATTCAGGGAGGATGTAGCGCAGGGTAAAGAAGACTGTGTTAGCTGAAAACAAAACTGCAGAATTTTTGTAATCCATAAAGCTAAGGAGGATACCAAGGTGGTACAGTTCATAAACCAAAGAGCTACTCTTTCCACACGCTCTACTTCAGCAACTGCCCCTTCCTCTCAGTCCACAATGGGGCCCCATTAGCCCCACCATCACAACTGTGTGACTTTGGACAAGTCACTTCCCTTAGGCTAGCTGATCTCTAAGGTCCTTGTTAACTACAAATTCTGTGTATACATTGCCTAACTAATCTCAAACTGGACCCTGTTTGTACAGCTTGAAGCTTATTCAGGGGCTCTCCATGGTGTTTATTCCATTAACACTTTCTCTTTTTCCACCAGCATTGAAGATTCCACCAAATATCTTAACTTCTCAGTTTCAGAAGAGAAGCAAGTTAACACGACTGAGCATGGATACAGAGTGAGGGAGGAGGGACCAAAACCCCCGGGGCATCTGGGAAAGACACAGTGACTGAGGAGCAGAACCAAAATTAGAATGGAAAAAATGGGGCTTTGCCCCATGGCACAGACATGGGATGGGATTCTTCCTTGCCTCACAGACCTCCAGAGGCACAGAGAAAAACTACCCCCTGCTCCCACCCCCAGGGTAGCAACCCTCACCCTTGTGGCCTAACCTTCCATGAGGGGGTCAGGTCTTTCTGGAGCATGGGATACCTACCATCTTTCAGCCTAAACATATCAGTGGTAGGACTGTCTTATAGGCCACCATGATCCACACTGCCCCCTCCCCACTGCATTTGCCACAGGCTCATTTTCATTGGGTTTTGGCTGAATGCAGGTACGAAATGTGTGGGGTTGGGAATGGAAATAAAATCTCGTGTAAGTTGGGGAAGAGTCAAGGAGAGGGCAGGATTCAAAACATTGTTTTCCATCCATCCTCTCTGCAGATAAATAACCTGGGACAGAGGGCTCTACCTGTCCACATAGACTTCTGGGTTCCTGTGGAATTGAACAAGGAGTCTATATGGAATCTGACTGAGGTCATTTACCCCCAGGTAATCTTGGATCAAATGCAACAGTTACCCTCCCATATCCCTTCTTTGCACTGGACCATAGCTTCCCTATTTCTCTGACAAATCCTCAGCCTCCTACTTCACACTAAAGACCTTATCTCTGTCTGATTTTTCACTCCCTAGGATTCATCAATTCAGTGTGCCATAGAAAGAAAAGAACCCAGTCACTCTGACTTCTTGACCCACATCCACAAGAGCCCAGTGAGGATGGACTCTAGAATCATCCCCAATTTGTTAAAAGAACATAGAAGTTCAGTGTTCTCTTCAGTGGTTGTTGTTTTACCTCAGAGACACCACTGTCTCATATCTAACTCTCCCCACTCAAACTAAATAGAAGTCAATGTTATTTTGAGCCCGAAACCCTAAACCTGACTCCTTCAGAACTTTGTCTTCTCCCCTCCCCAGAATTGCTCCATTGCTGTCTGCTTGAGAATTGGCTGTGATATCCCCACCTTCAAAATCCAAGAGGAGACTGACTTCCTCATTAAAGGCAATTTCAGCTTTGGCTGGGTCAGCCAGGTATGTGGGGCAGCATAAGGGGTGGGGGTGGGGGCGATGTAGGAGTATGGCAGCTTTAGAACTGGAAGAGACCACAAAGGACATCTGAGGCCAATGCCCTCTTATTTTGCAGATGACATAGCTGAGACCCTGGGAGGTCACCCAGGTAGTAAGCATTAGAGGAGAGATTTGAACCCAGGTTCTCTACATCAGGGATTCTTTACCTGGGGTCCATAAACTTGTTCTTTAACAGATTTTTAAAAATTTTGATGACTACATTCCAACATGATTGGTATCCTTTGCAATCTTCTGTATTTTATGCATTTAAAAACATTATTCTGAGAAGTGGTCCATAGGTTTCACCAGACTGACAAAGGAGTCCATGACACAAAAAAGAGGTTAAGTACCCCTAACCCAGTGCCTGTGCTCTTAAATGGCATCCCGGCTTCATCCCAAGGGTCCTATGTCTGAATCAGCTCTATGGTCCTCGTTCTCAGATGCTGCTACTCCTACCCCAAAGGAGACACATTTTTGCTGTTCTGTGACTTCCCCAGAGCCAGCCACTTCAGCTTTCCTTCCTCTCTTTTGCAGACTCAACAGAAGAAGCTGTTGTTTGTGAGTTCAGCTAAGATTAGTTTTGATGAATTAAAGTATTCCCAGCTTCCAGGACAAGAGGCCTTTTTGAGAACCCAGGTAATTGACCACGGAGTCAGTAAGGCTGGTAAATCTCTTTCTTGGTATAATTTAAGTTGGTATTTAGTGGGCATTTTTGCTTAAGGTTGGGAGCATACAATAAAAAGCAGATTTCTCCTTAGGTCCCCAGGTGCTTTTATACAGGGGCAGGTCCCAGAGTCCCAGGAAGAAAAGTAGTAGGAGGCTGAGGTGGTGCGCTGGACCAAGAATCAGGGACACCTGAGTTCAGACAAGACATGGCTGGCTGCCTTAGTTTCCTCATCTGTAAAATGGGGATGATAATAGAACCTACCTCTCAGACTTGTTGTATCTCAAATGAGATAATATTTGTAAAGCGCTGTGCAAACCTTAAAGGCTTGTGTAAATGGTAGCCATTATTCTTAACTAAGATGATGATGAGGTTTGTCAGCAAAATCTGGTCCTTTCAAATGAAAAGCACTCTCTTAGCATAGTCTCTGGCACATGATAGACATTTAAGGAATGTTGATTGATTAATGGACTGCTTGATTGACTGATGGGGCTCTGCTTCAAACCAGGTAGAGACAGTGGTGGAACAGTATGAGATCTACAATCCCATTCCCCTCATCTTGGGCAGCACTGTGGGGGGACTCCTGCTGCTGGCACTCATCACAATTGGGCTGTATGAGGTGAGACTCCTCCTCCCCAGCCCCACCATCCCCCTTCTCCCATGCTTCTAAGTTCCCTTTACTCCCTCCTGACTTGTCCTTCCTGATTTTACTTCCTTTTGTGCCACCCACAGCTTGGTTTCTTCAAACGTCACTATAAGGACATGATGGAAGATAAAGCCCAGGAGGCTGATCTGAAAAATGAAGACTCTCAAGCCCCCACCTCCTGATGCAGCCATCCCACTCTCCTAGGCCTGTTATCATGGGGTGAAATCTCAGCCCTCCCTTTCCCTGGACAAAGCTGGGCCTGAGATGACAGCTTTTCATCAGACTGCTTCTACAAACTCTCCTTCCTTGGCCCACAAATGCAACCGAGTCTTTCATATGACACAACCATGGGTGCCCAAAACCTGTCACACTTCCTGGGAAATACTGCCATTCTGGCATGTTTGAATAAAACCTCTTGCCTTTGAGTCAATCCACCCATTCTTTAGCCTTGCAACTTCCCTGTTGGGGCTGGCAGGCTGGAGGGCTGGGGCACCATCAACGTCGTGTGTAAATGGAGTCAGTCTTCTCCCTTCCCTTTCTAACAGGAAATAAATTAGAGTGACACACAGTGCCTGGATGGGGTTGATCCTGTCAGTGATGAGGGTCAAGCACAGGAAAGGGAAGAGTCACCAGGCCCAAGGTTCCCAGCACTGGGTATCAGAAATCTTTGTCTCATACAAGAATAAAGGTGTTGGCTATCTCCCTGTTCCCTTCATCGCTACGAAATTATCATTAGTAGCTGAAATTATCATTAGTAGCTGACTCTCAGTTTTCCATTGGAAATTTAAAACGAAAACCCAATAACAACAATCGGCACATGTGTCTGAGAAGTAGAAACAGGGAATGTAGCTCCCAGCAAAGGTTGGGGAACACTAGCAAGCACCCCCACACACACACAGCTTGTCTATTCTGGGACTGGAAGGGTTGTTCTTATCAGCCTCAAGGTGAGGACAAGTAATTAGCTGTTTTTTCACACCAGCTACCCAGTGTGAGAAGGGGGGCAGGGAAGGACTAAAAGTGCAGGGTGCTGTGTTTGCAGGTCAGCATCAATGGTGATTTCCCACACATAGCCCTCTCTCCCAACCCCAAGGGAGACGAACACTAAGAATAACCTTTCATCTGGCCCCCACAGAGCAGGTCAGTGGGCTGCTGAGAAGACAGTAGGAAGAGACTGGTCCTTTACTTATTCTTTTCTTCCTAAAGGTCCTTCCACTATATTCCTCTTCAGACTAGCGATCATTAGACAAGTCCAATTCTGAAAGGCCGTTAGGCGACAGGAGTCACAGTTTCAGAGCTGGAAAGAATCTTGGAGGCCATTGGATCTCATTTCTCATTTTACATATGAAGAGGAATCTGAGGCAGAGAGAAGTTAAAGGACTTACCCAGGATTTCAGAGCCATAAGGGTCTGAGGTGGGATTTCAATCCAGCTCTTCCTGTCTCTGATTTCAGATCCACCATGCTATGCTGCCTCAAGATTTTTCCCTGCCCTTTGTGAACAAGCCTGTTCTAGACTTTCTGAACTCACAACCACAATGAAACACTTCATACTTATGTGGGAGGGATGACTTTATTGCTTCTTGGGTCCCCATAATCTTACCTGTCCACCCACAACCATGGGGCCCAAGGAAACTCATAGTTCTTACTTGAAGTGTTCACAGTCTGTAGGGGTTTATTCTCTACATGTTTCTCTCTTAGAATAAAAGTCCCCTGAGAACAGGAATGATTTTACTTTTGTCCGTGCATCACTACGCATGGTTGTTTTTTTTAATCTAGATTACAGGACCTTTTTTTTCCTTCATGTTGTGATACCTCTTTCAATATAATTGTATTCCTCTGCAATCCTATGTATTTTATTTTATGCTTTTAAATCTGATAAGAGATTGATAGGCTTCAATGGACAGCTAAGGGGGTCCATCAACCCAAAAATGTTAAGAATCCCTGTCCTACAACTTAGCACTGTTCATGGCACACGGTATGTCTTTAAGAAATACTTGTTTATTGATTGAATAAGAATCCAATTAATACAATAATTCAGTAAAAGTCACATTTGTATAACGCTTCTAATTTAATTCCCAAACAACACTTTTACCGCTGAGGAAGCTGAGATTCAGAGAAAAGATGGTTTGCACCTCTGTTCAAGTGCACAAATGAGAAAAGAGGAGGTTGGTCATAGTCTGAAGCAGTCTTGCAAGTAGGTCCCATGAGCTGAGGGATGCCAGGAGTGATCCACAACATCTCTCCTACCCTGCCTATCCTGGTGCTTGAAATTCCACTTAGACATGCAATCCCTTAAGTCTTGAAGACCTTTGGGTCCCAGGAGTCCTCTGTTAAAATACAAATAATAAGTCATTAGTTGCTCTAAAAAGCAATTGGCTGAAAGCAAGATCCCAAACAGAAGAGGAGGAAAAAAAAAAACAGGTGAAGGACTTAGCAGGCTTTTGCCTGAAAATGGCAGTGAAAGGACGTTTGCTGGTCATACGCACAAAATGAACCTCTAAAATGGTATTGGAAGAGTCAGGGCCAAGATGGTGGAGGAAAGGCAGGCACTCACCTGAGCTCTCTCAGATTCACCTCCAAACAACTTTAAGTAATGCTTCAAAACAAATTCTGGAGGGACACACGGAAAGATGATGTGAAACAATTGTCTAGTTATTGCACCAGGGTGGGAGTAGAATGCAGTCCAGCGCAGGCCACACTAGCACAAATCAGGCCCCAACAAACCAGCAACAGGACTTGGGTGGATGGGAGTGACTGAATCAGCAGCAGCAGTAGCTTCTAGAGAAACTGGGGGTTGGACAACTGGTCAGAAGAAGATTACAGGAATCCCTTTCGCTGGCACTGGGTACAGGACTCTGTTGCATTGCCCATCCTCACATCTGGGTCACAGCCCTGTGTGCTAGGGAGGAGCACTGGCATGCCAGAGCTTGCAGCTGAAGGAGAGGGAGAATGCTTGTGGTCACTCAGACCAGAGCGCAAGCCAGGACAGTAGTAAATATTCTTCTCCTTAGATCATACCACCTTGGAAGAACTGAAAGCTTACAAATCCTAGGCCCGACCTAGGCCTGAATACAGCTACACAAAAAAACCTGAAGCTTGGGACAGTGCCCCTCCACCCTGGGAGCAGAGCCCAACTTTAATATAAGGTTAAAAATCAAAACACAGGATGGAAAAATGAACAAACAGAAACAAAAAAAAGACGCTGACCATAGAAAGTTATTATGACAGGGGAAAGCAAAACACAAACTCAGAAGACAACAAAGTCAAAACTTAAGTATATCCAAAGCCTCAAAGAAAATGTGAATTGGTATTAGGCCCAAAAAGAATTCCTGGAAAAGATTCCGTCCTCCCCCCCCCCAAAATTAACAGCTTCATGAGTAATGAGTGGGTTCTTTAACAAAATTAATGAAAATAAAATAAAAAGAAACTGTAAAGGGGGGGTGGATATTTACAGCAAATATCACTGATAAAAGTATGCTATCTAGTAGATACAGGAAACTGACACATATGTGATCAAGAACAATTCTCCAATAAATAAATCCTTAAAAGATATGAACAGCTTTCAAAAGGAACTTATTAAAACATACTCCAAATCACTAAAAGAGAAACACAAATTAAAGCAACTCTGAGCTTTTACTTCATATTCTCCAGGTATTTAGGCAAAGGTGACAAAAATGGGAAGTGTCATTGTTGGAGCAAATGTTGAAAGACAGGCATACTAATACTCTGTTGGTGGAGCTGCAAAGTAGTTCAACTGCTCTGTATAATAAGTTGAAATTATCAAAGAAAAGTGGTTAAGCTATTCAATAAAGGTATAATGTGTATCATAGCCTTCGAAACACTGCTCCCACCATTGGTCACATGTTCCCAAGGTCAAGGACAGAAAAAAAGGTCCAACATACGATAAAATATTAATAGCACTTTATATAGTAGGGAATGGCTCCTCCCTTTAAAGAAGCCCTGCTCAGAGCTGCACCCGAGTGCTGATCAAATTGTGTGGCTTGGTAGAAAGAATGAAAGAGAAGCCAAGGGTTCTGGAAAGGAGCCAAGGGGGGCAGTTCATTGGCTGCAAAATCTGCTCTTTTTGCTTGCTTCTTCTGTTCTGTGATTAACCCAAGTTCTCCACCCCCATTTGCAGCTGCGTAATTTATTGAGCTAACCCCTATCAAATCCTTGTCAGCAGTCTGCTTCCGCCCCTCCTTTTCTCCTATCCCACTTCACCCGGCACTACTCACTTCCTAGGAGGCTCCAAGAACCACTCCAACTATGGCATCTGGTGCTGTGTTCCTGCTCACAGGTGAGTGGAGACCCCTTCCTTTGGAATGGGGAAGGGAGGTGAGATGATTGGGTAAAAAGAGTAAGTCCCCATCTAAGTCTATCCATTGGAGCTCTGAGAAGGAAAAAGGAGGACAGATGGAAAGCAAGGAGGGAAAAAGACCAGAATAGGTCCCCAGGGTTGGAGGTGAGGTGGAGGAGTGGCATAGGGTGGCAGAGTGAATAACAAAACCGATTCGATGAAGACTGAAGGATACAAACTACAGCCACACCAAATGTGGTAAGTTCCATAGATCCAGCTTTGGAGCCACCTTTTCTATGAAGTTCTCCAGATCCCCCTAGTTACAAGTAACTCCTCCCTCATCAGCTCTTGTGGCATATTTTATATTCCCTTTAAGGGACAGTACTGTGTTAAAGAGGAAAGAACACTGGACCTGGGCTCAGGAGACTATTGACTCTCACAACCCTTTACAGCTGTGTGACTCTAAGCAAAGTATTTAAGCCATCCGAACCTTAATGTCCTTCTCTGTAAAATAATAATAATGCTTGCCCTACCTCCCTACTAGGGCTGTTATGAGGAAAGCAGTCCTTTAAATCATAAATGTGAATTTCTAGTATTACGGACTCATATTCCAATTCACATGATATTCATCTGGATCTCCTCCTACTAGACAATAAAGTCCATTACAGCAAGAACCATATTAAGTATCTTCCCCAGCACTAAGGACAGTGACGTTACTCCTAGAGATAATATGTCTGAGAGAGGGAAAAAATGTGTTCACTGTCCTCTACCCATAAAAAGTTACTCCATATTAACACCTGAGGTTGCTGTTTGCCCTTTGTTCTTGAAGAGGACCATGACACGAGGGAGGTGATGCCATGACATGCAAGTGAATTGGATTTAAGTGAGGGAGGGCTGTGCAAAGTCACCAGCCTCACTTTCTCCTCCAGAGCCATCTGCGTCCAGTGGCCAGATATGGATCGGGATGACTGGAGATGGCCCAGGATACAGTGGGGAACCTTGGTCTTAAGATCTCAACCACCCTGACAGTATAGGGGTGTAGGGTAAGAGTAGAACAAGGAAGAGATGGGCACAAACACTGCTCTGGTGGGATAGAGGCTGGAAAACAGAGAGGCATTGACCCCTAGGCACAGTAATGGTGGGGCCCCAGGGTCCTGATCACCAGCTCTTGGATATTACATTAATGCTTCAGTTCTTTCTATGTTTCAGGTGTTCCATTTCCAGAATGATCTTTACCCCATCACTTTCCCATTCTTTTGCTTAAGCCCTGTCCCTCTCCTCCCCAGATTCCCTATGATTCTTGCTATTAGACTCAACTTTCTCACACTAAAGGGAAAAGAGTATCTTAGAGTTCTACAGGAAAGAGAAGTCAGATTATCTGAGAAAGCTAAGGTGAGGGGGAAAGCACATGAAATGCCTCATGGCTCTTCTCCCTCTTAACTACTGGGAGACATAATGAAAAATGCACATTCTTGGCCCTTGTCCTGACTCTGTTACTGATGGATTGATGCAGACCAGGAAACTGGACCTTGGAGTTTGCACAATCCATTTAAATTCAAGAAACATGGGACAGTGAAGAGCATTGTGTTCATGTGACATGAACACTGGTTGAGGAAATTGAGACTGCTTAGCCTGGAGAAGACATCATAGCTGTCTTCAATAAGGAACACATAATTTAACCTTTGAATATCCCCCAGTGCAGCATTAGATATATCCTTGTTCATTGAGGTAGCCAGAATCTCTAGGTTCTAAAAGGGTTAGTGAAAAGATTGGAGATCAAGATTCAGATATGGGATATGAAGAGATTAGGAAGGCATTTTCTTTGCAGCTCCCCTTTGAGAAGAACTGTGGAACAGATCACCTCTGTGAGGACGACCTTGGCATTACCTTCAATTTCTCTGGGTAAGTGAACTATTTTATCTGTCCTCCAATCCATTCACTTTATAATCTCTGTTACTTTTCCAACACTCTTCCAGTTTTTCTTCCATTTCAACTGTGCCTGCTACCATCATCTTTTAATTTATTCTGCTGCCAATTCTTAAGTTAATTCCATATTTTCACCACTAATTGAAACTCTGTTTTACCAACCTTAAAATATGAGATAAATGCTAGCCCTTATTATTGTTGCTACTGTATTATCTCCTTGTCCCAACATGCCTTGGGTGCACCCAGTTTACCCTTCATTTCTGTCAATTTTTTTCCTGATTAAACTTTTTCCTTTAATCCCTTCAATGTGTCTATCATCAATTTTACTGTGTTCCACAATGGAGACAGGACAATTGGTCTACAGGTCATGAAAGCAGCAATTGTTGCCAGGAACTTTGAAAAGGGCAACTGTGTCACCCTCAGAGGATGCCTAGAGCCAGGCTATATAAAGCACTCTCGTTGAAACTTCTAGATCAGAGTTTCTAAACTGGTTCTCCCATTGCTGAGGTGACTGTGTCAGGAGGGAGAGTCAAGACAGCCAAAAGAACTGCATTCTTGGATGTAGCTTCTGTATTCTCTTACATTTGCCTGTGCCAAATGTTGCAAGATCCTGGCAACAGGAGTTTGTGGCACCCTGACATTTTATCTTGAGGGATTTCTAATTTTGTTTCTAGTGCAACTGTTGACATCATTTCAGCATATCTTTGTTCTGACGTTTTGGCCTCGTATTCTTTTATTTTATAATGCTGCCCCCTCCATTTTATCAGAGTGCTTTTTTCCCTACTATCATTATTTTTAATGGTCTTAAATTTTCTCATGAGGATTTCAGACAGTTTTGCTTCTTTGGGGCATTTCTATTGCTACTTCTGTAAAGGGTCATGAGGAGGTAAACTCTCTTATGACTTCTTACTTGGTCATCTCTCTGGGGTCTTGTATTACATTCATACATCAGACATCCCAGCTTTGAAATCAAGAAACCTGCCAGCCTCTGGTTCTTCCTACAACCATACTTCAACGCTTATTGCAAAATTCTGAATTCCTCATGTCAAATCAAGGCAAGGCAAGAAGCATTTATTAAACACCTATTGTGTGGTAGGCAAAGAAAGGCAAAAATAGTCCCTTCTCTCAAGGAGAGTTCACAATCCAATGGGAGGGAGACAATATGTAAACAACTATGTATAAGCCAGATGTATACATAATAAATTGGAGATAATCTCAGGGGGAAAGCACTAATATTGAGGAAGATCAGGAAAAGCTTCTTTTAGAAGATGAGATTTTTAGCTGAGACTTAAAGGAAGCCAAGAGGCAAAGGTGAGGAGAGAGGGACTTCTAGGCATGGAGGAGAGTCAAAGAAAATGCCTGGAATAAAGAGACAGAGTTCCATGTACAAGAAAACAGTAAGGAGACTATATATTTTCACAGCCCCTATCCCCTTATTTCCACGTTCTTCCGCAGACATCAGCCCCCGTGGTATATGAAAGTAATAGAATATTATTGTGCTATAAGAAATGATGAGCAGGGGCAGCTAGGTGGCGCAGTGGATAGAGCACCGGCCCTGAAGTCAGAAGAAGCTGAGTTCAAATGCGGCCTCAGACTAAACACTTGACACTTACTAGCTGTGTGACCCTGAGCAAATCACTTAACCCCAATTGCCAAAAAAAAAAAAAAAGATGATGAGCAGGCAGACTTCAGAAAAACCTGGAAAGATTTATGTGAACTGATGCTGAGTGAAGTGGGCAGAACCAGCAGAACATTGTACATAGTAACAGCCACACTGTGCAATGACTAACTTTGATAGACTTAGCTCTTCTCAGCAATGCAAGGATCTAACAACTCCAAAACACTCGTGATGGAAAACCCATCATGAGGCTATCCTCATCCAGAGAAAGAACTTAGGAGTGTGAATGCAGATGGAAGCATACTATTTGCTCTCTTTTTCCTTTGCTGTTGTGTTTTATTGCTTCATTCTCATGATTGCTCCCATTAGTTCTAATTCTTCTTTACATCACGACTAATGTGAGAATATGCTTAATATGAATGTACAAGTAGAGCCTATATCAGAGCGTATGCCATGTTGGAGAGAAGGGAGGAGAGGAAGGGGGAGAAAATTTAAAACTCAAATTCTTATGGAAGGGAATATTGAAAACTAAAAATTAAGTAATTGCTAAAAAAAGGAAATCAGCTCCCAAACTTAATCATGACCCCTAATACTAAGCCTTTCTCCTTGTAGCCTACAGACTATGGTGGTTGGGAATGATCTGGAGTTGAATGTGACAGTGACGGTGACAAATCAGGGGGAAGATTCTTACAGGACCATGGTGACCTTCTTATATCCCCCAGGACTGTCCTATCGACGAGTATCAGTGACCCAGGTAAACATCAAATTCGTATGAGAGTGTCTTCCTAATGTCTCTCTCTCCTCCCCCCAGCTACCTCGTTCCTCTGCATTGTCTTCCAATTGTTTCTTTGTTGTCTCTTACAACCGACCAGAGCTGGCATCCTCGGCAATCTGTGCGTCTTGCATGTGAGGCAGCAGCGCCAGAGAACAAGGCCCTGAAAGGTACTGGCTGCAGCATCAATCACCCCATCTTCCAGGAAGCAGCTAAGGTTAATACCTCCTACTTTCCCATTCTCTCTGTCTCTCTCTGTCTCTCTTCCTCCTCTTTTCTCCTTCCTTATTTTCTTCTCTTCCTCTTGGTTCATGGTCCTCTCTGTCCTGCTGTTTCCTTCTCATTGTTAGTTTTTTCCTTTTTGTGACCTACTCTTACAGATTCCAATTTAATAATAATTAATGTTTATTTAATATTTGTCCAATATTCAGAAAACCACACTTATAAAATTAGGTGAATTAGGGGCAATTCTTCCTATCACAAAGGAATTCTTCCCCTTCATGGTTCTTTTAAATGGAAAATTCCCCTATTACTTTCAAAATACGACTACAGTAATTGACATGTGATTTTACAACAAGCTCATCACATGATCTATGTGTACTTCTATAGTGACTTCCAGGGAACTATACATATGTATGTACTAGGGAATTATGTTTTATAGGATGCTATTTGAAATGAATGAGCAATCAGCTGGGATTGGGAAATGTTTTCATTACATAAAGCCTTACATTGTAATCACAACATAAGTTTGGTCCCTAGAACCAAAAACAGAGTTTACCTTGGTGGCCTCTCTCCATAATAATCTCTCTAATTCACTTTGACCTCACCCAGAAACACCAGGATTTGGCTCAGGACATCAGATACAGGATAGGTTTTACTTAATCTCAAACACACAAAAAAATGCAAAATGAACTTAGTTAGCCCTGAACTCTTTTTTATAATTGTGAACACTCTTTTCTAATTTTCTGAATAGCCTGTGCCACATTCCCTCTGGACTTGACTCACAGGATCAAGGATGACCCAGGCTAAATTATTCTTCAGAACAAATGCTCTGCTTTGCCAATCCTTATGTTTTAGTTTTATGGACCTCTCTTCAGGGACGAGACTGAGCATCTCTATTTTATATCCTTCCAAGTCGCCATGTAGTGCCAGACCTTAAATGCACAAAATTTCCTGTAGAGGCCAAGTAGAAATATTAACTTCTCTGCAGTTCCATGTACAGCATTGCATGCTTACGTATGCATTTCTCCCCTTTCTATCAACTCCTTTGGAGGACCTCTCTGAAGAGTCTGGTGTCTTTTCTCTTAGTAGGACTTCTCTTTTCTCTGAACTTCTTTTTGATTCTCCTTCTGATGAGTCCTCATCTCCTTTTAAAAACCACATCCAAGGGCCAGCTCGAGATGTGGAACTTTATTAACAATAACAGCAGGTCAGTAACACTGACTGGAATGTTCCATGAAAAAAAGCCAGTGAGTCAAAGACGACCCAAGCCTAGGACAATTCACCTCATTCTGAAAACTGTGAGGGAGAAGTGAGAGAAAGAGGGTTACTTCTGGAAGCATACCCACTACCTAATGGTATAACCAGATTTAATTGTTACGCATTTCATTTCAGAGAGTCTGAAATAAGCACTTGCTATGTGATTAGTGTGCTAGGTACTTATAGGGAATTCAAAAGAAGCAGAGGATATGAAGAATTTATATTTTTAGTGATTTCCTGCTCCTTCCTCCCTTAGGTCACTTTTGTAGCCACATTTGATATCTCTCCCACTGCCACCCTTGGAGACAAAATGCTCATGAAAACTAAAGTGAGCAGGTGAGCCCAAAATGCATGGAACTTCTTCCCTCTCAGTTCATGTTACCTCCAAACCACTCCTCCTCTGAAGCCCCACCCCAGATGTTTCCATTCAATTGAACTAGCATGTATTAAGCATATACTAGGTACCAGGCACTGTTCTAGGTGCTAGTGACACAAAGGTGTTTTTTTTTTAATAATCCTTTCCTCCAAGGAATTTATGTTCTATTGGGGCGAAACAACATATATAAAGATAAGTAAATACAAAACAATTTGGAAATGAAGGAATCAGAATGTGATTCTTATGGGAGGTGGCCACAAAAGGTACAGATGAAGAGTAAAAGCATTCCAGGCATAGGGGAATATGTGCGAAGGCTGGGATGACCTACCTTCTCTTTTCCTACAGTGAAAATAACACACCTAAGTCCAACAACACCACCTTTCAGCTGGAGGTACCAGTGAAGTATGCTGTCTACTTGGTAATCAGCAGGTATCAGCTCTCTCGGTCACTGACAAGACATGTGCCTTGGCATCAACTCCCACTTTATACTCACAGCCTTCTTTTGGCATGAAACCACTGCTTCCTTGTACTTGTTGTCTAAATCTCAAAGTGGATTTGCTCATTTAAGATCAGGAGTTTTCTGAATTATCTGATGTGGGATGCTCATACTCCTAAGTAGGATGTGGCCTGAAGCCACACAGAGGAAGGGAAAGAATAGGGTTCCTGTGAAACTAAGGAGAAGCAAGAGGTGTTAATACTGTCAGGGAGGTCACCAAAAAAAAGTAAGTAAGTAAGTAAATAAATGAATGAATGAATGAATAGATAAATAGATAAATAAATAAACAAATAGATAGATAGATAGATAGATAGATAGATAGATAGATAGATAGATAGATAGATAGATAGATAGATAGATAGATAAAGGCAAAGTTTCAGAACTAGGATAGATCATACCAAACAACTGTGGCTAACCGGTTCTGGGACCAATATTCTGGATAAAAGAAAGTGAGTGACAGAGGGAGTGCCAAAGAGACTGTGAAAGGAGGGGAGAACCCAGAAAGAGTTGAAAGGAAAACTATTTTTAAAACCAAGATACTAGACCAGAGATGAGTCAATATTGTCAAGTGACATAGGCTGGTGCTGCCAACCTCTATTTCAGGAAGGCATGGGACTAAAAAGACTTCTAGTCTGTTTACTTTTCTAAAATTTGGGTGTTGGGGCTTCTTTTTTTTGAAGGATTTTATCTGGTTTGGGCTCTAAGGAATATTGGGGTTCTCATGAATGAGAACTTGGAGGGGGTGTAGTGCAGGGTAAAGAAGCCTGTGTTAGCTGAAAACACAATTGCAGAATTTTTGTAATCCATACAGCTAAGGGGGATTCCAAGGTGGCACAGTGCATAAAGCAACAGGTTTGGAATTGGGAAGACCTGAGTTCAAATCTGACCTCAGACACTTACTAGCTGTATGACTCTAGGCAAGTCATTGTACCCTGTTTGCCTCAGTTTCCTCATCCATAAAATGACTGGAGAAGGAAAGGGCAAACCACTCCAGTATCTTTGCCAAGAAAACCTCAAATTCGGTCATGAAGAATCATATATGACTGAACAACAACACTTTTTGAGCTTGTCTGTAAGGCTGGTCTAGGTTAATTATCCATCTATCTGGGAGCACTGGGCAAGTTCCTCACCACTCTAAAATTCAATTCCTCAGCCACACAATGAAGAGGTTGGATTAAATGATCTCCAAGATCTCTTCCAGCCCTGATATTCTAGTATTCTAGGCATCATACTGAATACTGGTTCACATCTACATATTTCTATGAATATACCAGTAAAAGGATTGTTTTTCACACCAATAGCTCCCCTCTACATTTGCACTACTTGCAATCTATGCCCATATTGCATGCCTATTCACAACTCACATTAAGCACTCAGACCTACCTACTGTCCCTAAATACCCACAGCCTATATTTACCCATTTCTATGAAAGCCAGCACGGCATAATGGATGATAAAATGCTGAACTTCAAATCTGTCAGGAAATCCTGAGTTAGAGTCCTCCCTTGGACATTAGCTATGGGCAAATTACTTAACCTTTGTTAGCCTCAATTTCCTCATTTGTAAAATGAGGACAATGATCCCTTCAGCACCTATTTCACAGGATCACTGGGAGACTCAGATGAGACAATGTAGCAAAATGCTTTGGAAACTTTACAGTGCTATGTAAATGTCCATTATAATTTGTGGTGGGACTCTTACACCATATTGGCATGGACACGTTTTGCATGTTTCTGTGTGCACAATCCAAAATTTAGTCCCCATAGGATCATATGTTACCCCAATATATAGACACACAGTTGTTCAGGGGAACAACTGAGGGCTTCCCCAAGACCTGCTTTTCACCAATAGTTCCTCTCTCTCCAGCAAGGAAGAATCCACTCAGTACTTAAATTTCTCTGCTTCCGAGGAGAAGAAAAGCCAAGAGGTCAAGCACAGATACCAAGTGAGAGGATGGGGAATACAACTTCCAGGTTCTGGCTGGGGAATGAAAAAAGCCACTGGCCAGTGGGAGAGCATAGGGAAAGAGCAGCCAAGTGGCTCTGGGAAGTACTGAAATGGAAAAAGAATTTGGGATGAAGGACTGAGAATCTACCATTGGTCGCATTGAGCTTTATTTTTTCTTTTGGCAGGTGAACAATCTGAGTAAGCAGGATCTGCCCAGCAGCATTAACTTCTGGGTCCCTGCAGAGCTAAATAGGATGATTGTGTGGGATGTGACCACAGCCAATTCCCCCCAGGTGGCGTTCTTGCCTCCCATCCCAGAGTAATCATATATCTTTGCCCTCAGACCAAGTGTCCATTATAGTCTATCACCAATGGTATCTCTCTCTCTCTCTCTCTCTCTCTCTCTCTCTCTCTCTCTCTCTCTCTTTCTCTCTCTCTCTCTCTCTTCTCTCTCTCTCCAGAAGATTCCATGTGTCTCAGAGAGGAAACCCCCCAGACATTCTGACTTCCAGACCTAAATTCAGACAAGTCCTGTGCTGGTGAGAATTAATCCTAGGATCTGCCCCCAGAACCAGCTGCCCATGGTGGAGGCTGAGGAGGGGGGAGTAAAGAAAGATAAACAACTGGATTTCTCAATTTCAGAGTTGGAATCATATCACTGTGACAGTATATAGGAATATAATATTGGCCCACAAATACTCACAACACCTCATATCAGACAAATCTGTATTCTTTGTCTATTATCCACCCTCAAGCTGACCACCCCCAGCTTTGCCTGTTTCCTCCCTTCCAGGACTGTTACATTGCAGTTTGTCTCAAAATTAGATGTAATATCTCCTCTTTTGGTGTCCAAGAAGAACTTGACTTCACTCTCAAAGGCAACCTCAGCTTTGTCTTGGTCAGCCAAGTAAGTACAGATTGTACATGAAAATTTTATCCAGAGCTAGCTGCTCTTCCTGCCTCAGAGCCAGGCACATTTCCTAAGCTTTATGGCTGCCCCCAGAACCAGTAATTCCAACCTCTCTTTGGTGGACACTGCAGAAGAAGCTGCAGAAGAAGCTTAGCTGAAATAATTTTTAATGAATTGGTATATTCCCAATTTCAAGGACAGGAGGCCTTTTTGAAATTCCAGGTATGTATAGGTCAGGCAGTGGTAAATTCTGCTCTTGGTATAAGAATCAATAGTGCTATCATGATAAATGTACCTATCTAACCCGCCAATTGGTAGTAGGAGTGGGGCCTGGAGAATTTCCCCAACTTGCAGCAGATGTTAGAGATGGTAGGAAGGGAAGCATTCTAGAAGCGTGGGGCTCAGGCTCTGAGGTGGCAATGAGGTTTGTCAGCAAGATGTCTGATCTCTTTTGATGGGTTCTTCCATGAAATTAGACAGAAACAATCCTGGAGCAATATGAAATTCACAGCCCCATCCCTCTTATTGCTGGCAGCACAGTGGGGGGACTCCTGTTGCTGGTGCTCATAACAGCTGGGCCTTCCAAGATAAGATTACCCACTGCATCCCATGCTATCTACCTGTACTGACAAGGATCCCTCTTCCCCTTTTTCCATCTATCCTTTCTTTCCAACTTCTTTTTTCTTCACTTCTCCCTTCCCTGTTACCATCTTTTCTCTACTTCCCAACATTTCTGCAGTTAACCATTTTCTTCCTTTTTTCCACAATGTCCTGATTCACTTTCTCTTTATGTTTCTCCCCCTCCCCTAGCTTGGCTTCTTTAAATGTCGCTACAAAGAAATGATAGAGGAAAATACCCAGAGTACTCACTTCAGCAATGAGGTTTCCAACTCTTTGACAGATGATTTGCCTACCCCATAGGAACTGTTTCTCCTGTCAATCAATCTTTCCATATGAGGGCTATGTATGTATACAACTGTATTTTCATTTGGATAGACCCAGAAAGGATGTCAAACATGCAGGGTAATTTTGTTTTTCTGTCATATGCTATTGTTTTCCCCGAGTAATGGAAATTTTGCATTTTCCTATGTCTATCCATTTTACAAAGGAAGAAACACGTGAAACTCCCTGTATGCAAATAGCTGCCAGCTTCACTGTTAGCTCATGCCACATTACTACCTGCTATATTAAATGAGAATGTGAAATGTATGTTTTCCATTGTGTGTTTTCTTTTTATGTGCCAAGTATCTTACAGTAGGAGTGTGCAACTTTGTGTCAATAAAACAGTTTCTCTGTGAGACTGGAAATACACAAGAAACTCTAATTTATTAAGTAGTCTCTTTCACAAAGACTACTGCTATTATATCATTAAGACTGGAAATGACAGTGAAAAAAGTATCATCTGCCTTGCCACTGCACCCTAAGCACCATGGGACCTTTCCATCTGACTTACAGCTGAAACTTACCATTTATTTCATCTCCCCCATTAGAATGTGAGCTCTTTAACAGCAGGGATTGTCTTACTTTTCTATTTGCATCCCCAATTCTTATAATAGAGCTTTGAACATAGTAAGTGTTTAATAAATGTTTTATTCATCCATTTAAGAGAGAATAGAATGTTGGGGAGTTAAAGCCTAACACATTCTGGAAGGAGTTCACTGTCATGGCCAGATAGAGAGAAAAGACTAAGAAAACTTCCTGAGAGACTAAGTTAATTGTCAAGGATAAAGAGTCTATAGAAACATTTTTGAGATGAGTGAGTTTAATTCTTATTGTGTATAGAAGCCATACTGAGGAGAAGATATTCTGAAGAGAATTCTTGAGAGATTCTGACAGCCATTCTGAAGGAGCTCAACGATGAAATTATAGTTCCAGTAAACTGTAGTGTGAAGAAATCAGTAGTTACAATTGATGGTTAGAAGTATTCTAGCTGAGAGTTTTCTCACAACTGATATATTGTTGAAATGTTTCAGTATGTCTTTGTATTATTTGTTACAATGTTAAATTGTATCACCAGTTAACATTTGTGTTTATTTAGGCCTATGAGATAAGAGACAGGAGTGGGGAACCTGCAGCCTGAAAGACCACATGTGGCCTTCTAGGTCTTTGGGTGAGTCCAAGTTTTCCAGAACAAATCCTTTTACTAAGGGGATTTGTTCAGTGAGGTTTGAATTCAATCAAAGGGCAGCACTTGAGGACCTAGAGGGTCATGTGTGGCCTTGAGGCCAAAAGTTCCCCACCCCTAGGAAGGATTGATATTGAGAAAGATGAGCAAAAATTCATGAGTAAAGATCTACCTCTAGTTGGTTTATAAATTGGGGGCCGAGAGCTATTTAACATGAGACTGCATTTCTATGAATTTTTGAGGCAATTTCAGAACATATTCCTCAGTTCCCTTAGAATTCAGGATGAAAATTAATAAGAAGATAAACCAAGAAGTTAGAGAGAGGTTGGTGTAATTATCAACAAGTGTGGTGTACCCAGTATGGCCCTCCCACCTTACTACTCACGGAAATGGGAGAGTTTTCTCTCCCTACTAGAGAAAATAGGCATTAAGTTTTTTCCTCTTTTTCTGTTGGAGAGCAGAACAGGTCAAAGGCAACTAATTCTGCCTTTAAGGGGAAAAGTAGGGGGGGGAGATAGTACACCACCTAGTCAGGGGCAATGAGGCCCATTAGAACAGTCAGAGCTGGTCCCAGACACTGGTCTGGGAGAACAGGCCACTTCTCTGTCACCTTGGACAAGCAAAAACCTCTCAACATCCCAACATTCTGGGAGATTATAAATTACAGTCTATTTGCATCTGTGGAGGGAATTTCTAAACTATGAGTTCCCTATACCAGATGAAAAGTGAGAAGTGTGAGAGTGGAGAAAAAGTGCTAGCTGGGAAGTCACAGGCCTCATCCCCACCCTAAATGAGATTTGGCATCAGATCTCACCTCTCATTCTGCCTGTTGTACCTGAGGGCAATTCATTAACCTTTCCTGGGCTTTTTTCCTCAACTGCAAAATGAGGGAATTTAACTAAATGGCTTCTGGGGTCTTCTCCAGATCCTATGAAATCACAGGACCAGGCCCCCCAAAGCCATACAAACTTTAGTACTACCTGATCGCACTCACAACACTAAGGAAATGCTTTCTAAACTTCCGTTTCTCTAGGACCAAACAATTTCATTTTTAAATCGTTTGGAGAGGGTAGGTGGCCTAACCCTGACCTAAGGCAAGCCAGTCTGTACCCCTCCACACCAAGTACAGTAGAGTGAAAGTCAGGGCTCTGGGTTGGTGGGATGGGGGGGTGAGGGGTACCTCTGGAAGCTGGGGGGGAGGGGGCGGACAAGGGGGCCTTAAGGCACGCGTTCCAAAGCTCCGCCTCAGCTTCTTGAACTTGGATCTCGAGTTGCTCGCTCACCCCCCTCAGCTCCTCCCCAGCTTCACCGACTCCCCCCTCAACCCCCACACTGGACATGTGCGTTGAAAAGTTTTTAAAAACCGCTCAGCTGTGGGTTCTCACTGGGGGCCGTGGTTGGCCAGTATTTATTGAACTTCAAGGGCGCCCGAGTTCAGGGGTGTTCATAGCCCGTGGGCAGAGCGTTCGTGCGGGGATTGTGGAACAAGGTGTGGTTGCCGTCACCCCAGGAATAAGGCTGTGGAGAAAAAGTTATAGAGAGAAAGAAAGAAAAGAAAGAAAGAAGGAAGGAAGGAAGGAAGGAAGGAAGGAAGGAAGGAAGGAAGGAAGGAAGGAAGGAAGGAAGGAAGGAAGGAAGGAAGGAAGGAAGGAAGGAAGGAAGGAAAGAAAGAAAGAAATTTGGAACTCAATTTCAAAAAATGAATCTTAAAAAGAAATTAACAGATAATTGTGGGGTTTTAAAAGTCCTGGTGGCTCTCGCTAGGGTCTCCCAAGCCCCAGGCGTCCTGCCTCCTGCTGCAGCTGTCTCCTCCCCCGACCTCCCGGCCTCGGGATCTCCACCCGAACCTCCCCCCTCCCCCCACCCAGGTGTTCCTGCGCTACCTTGGTACGGATGCGGAGGTGGTGATAGGGTTTGAACTCGGGCCGTTGACGGTGACCTGAGTGGAGCCAGGAGTTGAGGGTGCAAACAGCCACCGCTGGGAGAGCGAGCACGAAGGTCAGCAGACGCCAGGTTTTTCCTGATCAGACCGGGCAAGAGCAGAAAAGAAAGGGAGCTGAGCAGAAATGAAGGACAGAGGAGACAGAATAAAGCCCATCCTTCCCTAGGCCATGAAAAAGAGCATTTGATTTAAACATAAACGAGAAACGCAAAAGAGTTCATTTCGGAGGAGGGATGAGTTGGGTGCCTGGGTACTGGGAGTGGAATGGAGGTTGGGCAGCCGGACAGGAAAGGGAAAGTAAAGAGTAGAATGCCAAAGTTTGCCCCTTATGACTCACCCCCTGCTCCTCCGTGCCCTTCCTTGGCCGCAGTAGCCAGTCCCCTGCTCAGGGGCCTCAAACGCAGAGCCATCATTTTGCCCAGTGAGAGAAACTGAGAAACAGACCACTGCCCTCTGAGTCTCCTTCACTGAGTCCTACATTCCCCTCTCCCTGGGCCAATCACCTGTTAGGTCTCAGACATGGGGTAGCTATTTTTAGAGAAGTGTCTATATTTATCGGGTTGTGCTTGCTCTTCTGGAAAAGTACAGGGAGTCAAAAAGTCCCTTTTTGCTGGTTATTTACCTCCATCCCAACTATGCTGTAGCACTTACTCTGGCATGAGGACATTTCAACTTCAATACAAGACTTTCCCGCTTAATTTTTTAGTGCTAAAAAAGTTTTAGCAAATGTCCACTGTTCCCCTTTTGTGGGAGGATAATTTGTTTACTATCCTATTTGTTTCCATGTAAGGGGTGTGAAGGTTTCACAAAGGGGGAGGTAAACAAGAGGAACTGAGACCACCAAAGATGCAGGAGATGTAGAAAAAAGTGAAACATCCTATAACTCAAAGGGGAAGTTTGACAAAGAATAAGCGAACCAGATTGGTTGGTTTAGGCCACGTACTTAAGAGTTCACAGAATCTGAGTGGAAATGCATTTTAGAGACCATCCAGTCCAACTACCCACTTAATGAAAGAATCACTTAACACAAACTTCACAAGTGTTAATCCAGTCTCTGCTTGAATACCTCAGAAAGAGAATCTCATTACCATACAAGTCAATCCTTTCCATTTTTGGAGACTCATTGTTAGAAAGTTCTTCCTTGTGTTAAGCCAGAATGTCTCCCTTTAACTTATACCTGTTATTGGTCCTACTTCTGCCTTCTGAAGTCAAATAGCATTAATCTAATCCATCTTTCCAGCCCTTTAAATATTTGAAGACAGTTGTTATTCCCTCTCATTCCTCTCTTCTTCAGACTAAAAATTCCTAGCTCAGATGATGCAGTTTCCAGACCACCCAACATTCTCATTGCTTCTGGAAAAAGTAGAGGAATTTTATGAAGAACTTGAAAAGATATTCAAACTAAATTAACTACACTTAACTGATGCTCAGTGGCATAAATTCAAATTTAGCACCAAAAGAGTAGCAAAAAATGTTGGAAAATATTGGTTAAGATCCAGAAATGAAAGAGGGAAAAGGTTTGTAAACTGCTAAAAAGCTTCAAGCTTATGTATGACATTGTGAATGCCTTATTCAAGAATTCAGTTCAATTCAGTAAACATGATGCTTGTGCGTGACTATTAGGCTGTGCTAGAAGCTGAAGATATAAAGATAAAAATGAGAGTACCTGCCCTCAATGAGTTCGTATTCTATTGGGAAGACAAATATGTGCAGAAATAAGTAAAATACAAGGTAAATGGAGCACCAAAAAATTGGGGGAATCAGGGAAAGCTCCAAGGAGTAAAACCTGAACTGAGCCTTGAAAGTAAGAATTATATAACAGGCAGAGATGAGGAAGGATAGTATTTCAGGTATTCTAATAAGGGGAACAACATGTAAATAACTATGTACAGACAGGATTTAAACAGCGTAAACAGAAAATAATCTTAGATGGAAAGGTGGGGGAAAGGGCTCCCTGAAGAAGGTGAGATTTGAGCTGAACACATCTAGGGAAGGCAGGAGGCAAAGGTGAGGAGGGAAAGCATTCCAGGCACGAGGAATGACTAATACAATGACACAGAGTCAGGAGATGGAGGACCAGATGAGAGATAGCAAGTACATGGATTAGCAAGATCCTGCCTAGAAAGACACAGAGAGTAAGAAGACTAGAAGAGTAGCAAGGACCCATTTAAGAAGGGCTTGCAATGCCAAACAGAGCATTTCATGTTTGTTCCTGGAGGTAACAGTGGAGTTTATTTGTAGTAACATAGTGAGATCTATGCCTTAGGAAAATCACTTTGGCATATGAGTTGAGGAATGATTGGAGTGGGAAGAGACTTGAGGCAGAAAGGCTAATTAAAAAGCAATTAAAATCAGGCAAGAGGTGGTATGGGTTTATGGTGGGGGGGGTGAGACAAATGTGAGGGATATGTGCCAGGCACTGTAAGCACTAGGCATACAAAGAAAGGCAAAAGAAGACCCCCCACCCTCAAAGAACTCACAATCTAATGGGGGAGACAACATGCAAACAACTATGTACAAACAAGCTATAGGCAAGATAAGCAAGAAATAATTAAAAGAGGGAAGGTATTGGAATTAAAGAGGAATTAGGAAAAGTTTCCTGTACAAGGTGATATTTTAACTGAGATTTGAAGGAAGCCAGGGAGGCCAGGAGGTGGAAATAAGGTGGGAGAGCATTCCAGGTATAGGAGAAAATACCTAGAACTGAGAGATGGAGAATATTGCTCATGAAAACAGCTGGGAGGACATTATCACTGGATCAAAGACTATCAGGGGAGAGGGAAGGTATAAAGTAGAAGAAGATTAGAAAGGTGGTAGGGGTGCTAGGTTATGAAGGACTTTGATAATATATATACACATATGTATGTATATAGGTGCATATATGTATATATTGTTAACAGGATTTTCATTTGTTCTGCCATTTCCTAATCAATGGTGTATCTTTTTAAGTTCCAGCTTTGGGCCACCATAAATATAAATATATACATATATATATATATATTTACATCTAGGATCTTTTCCTCTTTCATTAGTCTCTTTGGGGTATAAGTCTAGAAGTGGTATAGCTAGCTGGGTCAAAGCACTATTTAGTAACTTTTTTGTATATAATTCCAATTTCCTTTCCAGAATGGCTGGGCCCATTCACAGTTCTACCAATAGTGCATCAGACAGTGCCTATTTTCCCACAACTCCTCCAACATTTGTCATTTTCACTTTCTGTCATCTTTGCCAGTCTGAGAGTTATAAGGAAGAACCTCAGAATTGGCTCTAATATGCATTTCCCTAATTAATAGAAATTTGGAGCATTATTTTTATATGAATTGAAATAGTCTGGCTTACTTACCTTGAGAACTGCCCATTCATATCCTTAGATCATTTTTTACCAATTGGGGAATGGTTATTTTTCTTATAAATTTGGATCAATTTCTTATATAACTTGGAAATTAGACCTTTGTCAGAGAAACTTGCTACAAAAATCTTTCACCAGTTGTTTCACTTTTAATTTTAGTTTTATTGAATTTGTTTATGCAAAAACTTTTAAATTTTATGTAATCAAAATTACCTGTTTTTTTTTTCTGTGATCCTCTCTATCCCTTAATTGGTCATGAACTTTCCCTCTATCCATAGATGTGACTGGTAATTTTTTTCCTTGTTGTAATTTGTTCATGATATGATCTTTTATATTTAGTTCACATAACCACTTGAAGTTTATCTTGGCGTAAGAGGTATTGCTACAAATCTATTTTTTCCATACTATTTAATTTTATCAGTAATTTTTATAGACTAGTGAGTCTTTCTAGTAGCTAGGGTCTTTGGGTTTATCAGATAATAGTAGGCTTTGCTTCTATAAGTTGTATACCTAATCTGTTCCATTGTTCAATGTTCATTTTTTAACCAATCCCAAATTGTTTTGGGAATTACTTCTTTGTAGCAGGTACTACTAGGCCTCCTTCATTCCTACCTTTTTTCATGATTTCCCTTTAGGTTCTTGCCCTTTTTGCCATTCTATAAATTTTGTTACTAGTTTGTCTATAACATAATACTTTAGTATTTTCAAAAATGTATTGGGCAGTTACTGGAGTTTGGGGAAAGGAAGAAGCTCAAAATTAAAAGAGATATGACCTGTATTCTGAGATATTTTCAGAAAATATGCAATCACTTCTGATCAGAAGTTGCAGATTTGTCATTATTAAAAGGTTAAGAGCTAATATTTTATTCACAAATTACAGAAATAGAGCTGCTACAGATTCTTCCCCAACCCTATCAAGTCCACTGTTCATATTCCTTTCTACATTTCTGGATTGTATCAATGAAAAGACTATTGCTGTCCTTTGTATAAAAAGATGATACTATTTTATTATAGTTATTAGAACATGCAATTTTAAAAGTGTTTCTACACAGCCTGTTCTGATATGCTGTTGCTCAGTTATCCTCCTAACCAATGTAAGTCAGCTGGGCAGGGCTCTAGTTTATAGAGCTACAACTGAGTTTGAAGCTGTCTTCCTGTAGGATTAATCCCAAATCATGGCATTGTTTTCATGATCCTGTAACCAAGTGAGGTAACTAACCTAGACTGTACACAAGGTGGCACTAAAGTAGTGAATTATTCATTTTGGAACATTTTCTATTTACAGAAACTGATGCTGATTATTGATAGTACTAAGGGCTCCAATTAAGAAAGTTACACGAAAAAGGATGGAGGATATTAGGTCTCCCAAATACTCTAGCAATAATCTAAAGGACACAAGACAGAAAAATAATCAAGAAATTCAAAAGGAAACATTAGTAAGCTGTTTCATTCAACCCAAGACTGAACAAAAAGCTAGAAGTCACAGTGCTGACTAACCAGGAAAAACCAGCCAAGAACTCAGTTGAACAAGCTAATGGTCTGTCGATGCCCTGACCCAGGAAGCACTAGAAGGAAACAGGAAACCATAGTAGCACCCTGGCCTGAGATAGCCAACCTCAGAACTGACTGGGGATACCAAAGCCTGCTGGTCCTCTGAGCCCAGACGTAGAAGAGGAAGGAGGGGGAGAGGTGAAAACCAGCAGCAAGACCTCAGAAAATTGAGATTAGAACCAAATAGCACCTAACCACCCATCCTAGAGTGTAGAAGGGGGTGCCCTGGCCTTGCCTTGGCACAATGCTCTGAACCAGGAACTCAGGCTGGAGATCTGAATAAACATAAAAAGATACTGAATACTACAAAGAAATTGTGTGAGCTGAGTCACCTAAATAGAAAAGTCAGAAAAGAGTAGGTCTACAAGAAGTATAAGCAAAGGAGGGGAAATGACTTGGCCACAAAAACTGTAAAAAGGTCCCCAATAAATAAAGTAAGAGATAAACATTTAAATAGGAGCTCTGGAGAGAGAACTGAAAGGAGAACAAATAGTTTAGAAAATAGGAAACCTTACCCAAATACTGGACTCCCTAAAAATTCGAACTGACCAAACAACTCAATAACTCTATGATTCAGTAAGGT